GCGCTACGAAATCTGTTGGCGCTATATAAATGGCAATAATAATAATAATACGTGGAAGCCTTGTTATCCGTGCTACTCGTAATTACCTGGCATTACTGGAGTTATGCATGCAGAATTCGGTCAGCATTCAGAGATTTAGTCTGGAGTTTGACTTGGTTCGTCATTTGGAGCAAATTAGTGGGCATGAATACCACACTTCCTGTCGGGCACTAGCCAGGCAACGGTGTTTCCTTAAAAGCCTATTTAGTGGATTTTTCGGTTGCCAGTGATTTTGACAGTCTTCGTCACGTTCTCAAGAGGCCCTCTATTAGATCTCGTGACCCTGGTGTGCTTTTTGTACAGGTATTTGTTTTCTGATTGTTATTTTTTTCTTTCGTTATTTTTTTCTTTGTCTGCTCTATAGATGAGCTATTATTTATAAGTGGATGTATAGATTAGGTGTATGTATGGACACTGATATGTTTATGGTTCTGGGATGTGGAGATTTTATATAAATAATATATTTTTTTAAAATTCTTTGTAATTTGAATCTCTTGTGTACCCTCTATTTCTGCAGCTAAGTAGTTTTTACCAGCTGCCCTGGAATTTTTTATTTTTGGCTTCTCCAGCACATAAGCAAAATAGGTTGCACCCTAGAGATTCAAGATAAGCCATTTTCATGGTTTGTCCTATCAATAAAATAGAGCACTGGGGGTGATTCTATCGGTCTCAGAAGCCTTTACATATATATCTATATGTTGCAGTTCCACGGAGATACCCTGTTCCCTCTGCTGTGAAGCTTGCAGTGGAAGATAAGCTGTGCTTATCTTGTAAATGTATGACAGCAGATACCCCTACGAACCATTCCGCAGGGTCCAAGCCCTTGGATATAATTGCTTTTATTAAACAAGCAGAAGGAGTCAGAGAAGCTCCCCCAAAGGTTTAAATTGGCTAAATCCAGCAAAAGGCAAAACTCTGAATATGACACTTCTGCGGATGCGAGAGCGAAATCAGACATGGTTATTAGTCCTCAGAGGGAGAAGAGATTCCTCAAATCGGCAGATTTTGATGAGAGAAAAACAAAGGCTCTCTTTGAAGCAGTATGTAAAACTTGCAACCTGAGAGAATCCTCAATATAGTCTAAGAAAGAAAAAAAAGACTGCTTTTCCTTAGCATGTTACTATTAGTCTCATTCAGGATAAATGGAATAAGGCAGAGAAAAGGGTAGACATTCAAGGCAAATGGTATAAGTTCAAGAAATTGGATTCTGCTGCTTGGGTGTCAGCCCCTTAAATGGATGCTGCAAAACTGACGTTGCCTATTGCGGACTCAAGATCCCTTAATGAACCAAGGGAGGGAAGAATAGATATAAACCTCCCTAAGGCGTTTTGCCCGCTTATAAAAGCCTGTGGCAAGCAGGTGAAACGCGTTGATGTAAGGAGTGGCACGCGTGCTGCAAGCTAACAGAAAGCATTTAGCAGTTGCGGCTGCAGTGTCTCTTTGGTTCTCAGATCACTCATCCCAGCTAACACACAGGAGACTGGTGCATTGGAGTGGATAGATTAAAGTAAACTGTTAACATAACCTATTATAAGAAAATTAGTGTCACCCCCAATTATTTATTCATGGGTTTATTCACTAAGCGTTTGCACTTATATAAAACAATGATATCAAACTTCCCTCTGATTTCTGCTCTGATGCTTCCGTTGACCTGGCCCGGTCCATTGGCAGGTCTAGGATGCTTAATATCTCAGGACGCAGAGCCTTATGGCTCAAGGCAGGGGATGCCAATACTGCATCTTAACCTTTGCTCTCTCCCTTTTCAACGGGACGTGCAGTTTTGTTGCGAACTAGACAAGTATCAGAAAAAGCAGCATAAGGACATAAAGCACTATTACCTACTGATAGGAAGACCAGACATTCTTCAGGTAATAATAGAAGATCCTTTCGGAGGGCCAGGCTGTATAGACCTGAGAAGCAGTCCTTTCGCCAGCAGTAAAATCCCTAATTGTAGAGATTCGACTACAAGGTATTCACATTTATCACTACCTAGGAAAAGAATCGACATTGGATCTATATAGACATAACAAAGAACATCCTATAACAACACAAATAAATCTTGAATGTGGGGGGGAAAAAAAGCCACATGAACCACTCACTGCAAATGACATACTTAGAATGAATTACGACACGAGACAAAGGACAGTTTGTCTCACACAGGGCAGAGCAGTCAAGCTGAAGAAGAAGAAAACTTCAGACAAACTCCCTCTACATTACATTCCAGCGCAACTTCATGACCTTATTGAGATCCCTATAGTCTATAAAAGGTTTGACAAGCTTGGCTCAGTGGCATAAGGATCCCTCAAAGTTCCTTTCTCTCACAATTCAAACACCAATCCCTCGACCAAAGGATCCTCCTATAAACCACGGTCAAGAGTGCTTTAACATAGTGGGAAAAGGGCACAAACCTGTTTCTCGAGGTTGCCCTGGGAGAAATAGAGTGGAAGGTGGTAACAACAGATGCTTGTCTCTCAGGAATGGGATCCTTCATGTCAGTCCTTTGTACAGAGGACATGGCCATAAGCCATGAAGGAGAGTTCATTCAATGTTCTTGAATAAATGGCAGTTTTCAAACCACTTCAACACCTGCAAATACAAGTCCAAGGTCAATGGATGAAGCTTCTGGTGGAGAACACCTCACTATTCAGTTATGTCAGACATCAAGGGGGAACTCATAGTGTACATGATGATGACGATCATGTTCCCTCTCATGAACTAGGCTCTGATCCATCTGCAATTCACCTGCTAAGTCCCTTCAATGTCTAACAGATTTCCTCAGCAGACACCAGATACGACCAGGGGAATGGTGCTTAGCCAAATGGGATGACTGTGGAAAAATGAAGAGTTACATAGTTACATAGCTGAAAAGAGACTTGCGTCCATCAAGCTCAGCCTTCCGGTGACAGACATCATGGGGCCCCTCAAGAACAGACAAGTCAATAGGTCCCTCTCCAGGACTTCTCTTCCTTAAGCATGGTGATGGGTGCTCTTACTTACATTTGGAATTTCAAGAGAGGATGTTTTTTCTTCTATCCCTTTGATCTTCAAGCTGCTTCAGAGAATACAGAGAGAACAAGTGGAAGTTGTAGCAGTGACCTAATTTCAGCTGAGAAAGCCTTGGTTCCCACTTCAATGGAGTCTCTTGATAGACACTCCAATGCCTCTTCCAGTCAAGCCAGACCTTCTGTTTCAAGAGCACCTGTTGCATCCAGCTCACAGGACACTCCAGTTGAAATCCTGGAGATTGAGAGGAGACAACTTAGGAGATAAAGGTTTCTCAGATACAGTCATTACTACCCTGTTACAGGCCCGGAGGAGGAATACTTTTGCAGCCTTTTACCGTACCTGGGATGTCTTAAAAAACTGGGCAATCAGGAACAGAGTCTGTCTAGTGGCTTTTCCACAGCAGATTTACTGAACTTTCTGAGATAAAGGGCTTAGCCTTCATAATCTTAAGGTAGAAGTCTCTGCCCTACCAGCTCTCTCAGGTTTTAGATTGGCATTACATTCAGATGTTGCCAGATTTTTCAGAGCAGTTCTTCAGATCAGACCTCCTTTAAAATCCGCATCCCCTCCTTGGTATCTACCCTTGGTCCTGTTGACTCTTCATTCAGCCCCTTTCTAGTACCCCTGGGTGAAGAGTATTGGAATTGGGATCCCTTTCCTCAGACATCACTATTGTAGCACATATTTCTTCTGACCAGATCTGTAGGGCAGCTATATAGTCCTCGCAGCATACAATCATCCATCACTACCTAGCTGTCAGATCATCCATCACTACAACTAGATGTCAGATCCTTTCAGAACGGAATTCGGCACAGCCGTCCTTTATGCTACATAATTTGAATAAATTATTGGATTTTCAGTAGTAACATATTTGATAGTATACTTATTTCTCTTAGGCATGCTTCTTTAGCTTGGGCATATCACAGGAGCAGTGCTGTCATGACCCATCATAGGGAAAATAAAATATAATTATTTATTTTTTTTACTCACCTGCTGGAAGCTCCAGTAAGTAGATCCTGGAAAAGTAAAATATGGTAAGTATGAATACAACTTCTGTTATCCTATTTAAAGGACCACTATAGGCACCCATACCACTTCAGCTTAATGAAGTGGTCTGGGTGCCAGGTCCATCTAGGGTTAACCCTGCCTGCTGTAAACAAAAATGTTTAAATATGGGTTAATCCAGCCTCTAGTGGCTGTCTCATTTGCAGCCGCTAGTGTCGCTTCTCAGTGATTTTCTCAGTGAAATTTGCAGTGAGTGGCTCTTGCCACACATGCGCATTCAGCCGATGACGTCGGAAGGAGGAGGAGAGTCCCCAGAGCCCGGCGCTGCAGAAAGGCAAGATTTTAACCCCTTCCTCCCACTTCAGGCCGGCGGGAGGGGGGCCATGAGGGTGGGGAGGACCTATTAACACTATAGTGCCAGGAAAACATCTTTGTTTTCCTGGCACTAGAGTGGTCCTTTAAATGGACAGAATATTTACACCCTCCTGCCAGATGGTGTCACTAGGCAGGATGATGGAATAAAACAAAAATATATAGTTATGTGCCCAAAAGAGTGCACTCCAGCAAATCTGCTTGTGTTTAGGTGGATTCGCCTCTACCTGCTAGACATCCGTTTATGCTGGTTGTTTCTAAAATGTATAAAACACTTTAAACATGAATTATCAATGGAAAGGGAAAATACAGAAAATATAGTAATATTACCTGTAGGAAAAATGTAATAAATTGCAAAGTCAAAGATTATTGATCTTTATAGCTGTGTATCAACACATTTTTTTTTATTGAAGATTATTGATCTTTATAGCTGTGTATCAACATTTTTTTCTGCAGTCAACACAAGACACCAGACACCACTGTCTGTTTTCACTGGAAACTGTAACACCGCCAAGTATCTAAAGGATAATCTATCCTAGTACACATACTCCTTGAATGATTGGCCGATTCTTACTTTTCTGCAGGAGACCTACTTTGTAAATAATTTTTATTGATATATTTCACAATTACCTGCCTTTTTTTTATTTGTATTTTTCACAATACGACATTAGTGGGTATTACAAAAATATATTTTTTTAAATGATATCTATCTCTATATCTATAATCAGCATCTATGTCAAATCAGCATCTTGATATGCCACACCTGTGAGGTGGATGGATTATCTCGGCAAAGGAAAAGTGCTCACGAACACAGAAATAGGCCTTTTGTGTCCATAGAAAAAGTCTTAGATCTTGGAGTTCAGCTCATGAAAAATGGGGCAAAAACTAAAGTTTTGCGTTTATAATTTTGTATTATATTAATTTATATAGATATATATATATATATTAAAAAAAAAAAAAAGTATAAATTTACAACTTTCTTCAGTGCAGATCTGTTCTTTTATTAATTTAACTTACACATTGACTGTAAATTTTCCAACATGGTTTACAAAAAATGTTTTTTACAGCCTCAGCAACTAAAGGAATGTCTAAAGAAAATAGAATTACACAATGGGGAAAAAAGCCAGAGTAAATCTGTAAATTTTCATCGATTTACATTTTCCAAACTGGTTCTTTATTATAGAGAAAAGGTCTAGCTTGATTTTAAAATTAAAAACAAATATTTTAGGCATTACATAATTGTACAGATCTTATTGTCATGCCAGCTCAACTTTTTAAACTTATTTTATAGCAAAGATAAAAACATGAGAAAAAGAAAACAAAAAATAAAACTTGTTTATCAGATTTCAAAACAGATTTGTGCCAAAACAGTCTATAAATATTGCAACAATAAACAAACAATGATCCCTGATATGTGTAGTTAATTCAACTGTATAACAGCAGTCTTATAGGGAGAAAACCAAAACTAGTTGTCTCTGTTGGTCGCTTAGAAATAGGAATGAACAAAAAGCAATTCAATAAAATATCAGCAGCAATGAACGTTGACAAACACTACAAAAAAAAACACACACAAAAAAAAACAAAAAACACACACACACACCGGTAAAATGCTACAGTTGCTTGTCTGTCATGAGAGGCTCCCCTGTGGCTAGGCGTTCATATAAATATTGCAGCACAGGTGATTTAGGTTGCTCAGCACCAGGTGAAGAAGGGATTTCAAAGTCAGAGGAGCTCTGGGAGTTTGACTTCAATATGGCATGGTCGCCTTCTTCCCCCTGTGAATTGCCTTTCCTTCTGTCCGAGACAGGTCTTACTGGAGATGTGACGCTGGATGTTTCATCATGATGATCGCGATCATTTGTTTGTGCTGCCTCAGCTACAGATGCTTCTGTAAATACTTGTTCTCCAAAACCCAATACAAGATAAGGGTATCTGTTTAAAGTGCATACACTTGCAGCAGCTTTTTCTTGAGTTGACAGCAGTAAAGTGTCAGCTTGATTATCCCATCCTTGGCTGCCTTGCTCTGAGATATGGGTGGACTGGGAGGAATTTATGGAGGAAATATGAGTTGAATCAGAGTCTGAATCGCTTAAAAGAGGGGACTGAGAACATTTGTGTTCACCAGAAGCTGAAACACACTCCTGTGGGTCAGAAAGATTATCTTTCGTAATGGCACAATGAAAGAAAGTGCACCACTTGGGCACAGCATCATCCTCTGGATCAGCAGTCACATTTTGAGAGCCACTGGCCACTTTATTCTCTTCATTCAGATTTTTAGATGTCATATACCCATTTGTGGTATTGGAATGTACTGTAGGAGATTCATCTTCTTTAAAGTCTTCTTCATCTTCCTCATCCTCTCCATTGGATTCCTCACAGTCCACATAGTTTTTTTGCAAAGAAAAGTTAATCGAGGCTTCGCTTGGACCTATGGGTATATCAATGTTACGGTGATCTTTGGATGAGACATTTTCTTCTTTTACAATCTCTGATGTCCACTTACACCCTCTGGAAATCTTGCTCCTCAAATAAGTCAGTGAGTGGTCATCAAATAAATCAACACAGTCTTCATCTGTTGACATTGTGTTAGAAAAAGATATACATTTATCAACAAAGTAAAAAACAAACACACACTTTGGAAAATATAGGTTTCCTAGTCGGAGGAGGGATCAACTTCAACAATGTCTCCTATTCTGCACCGTAAAAATGTCTTGCTAAACAACAGTCCTGTGCCTCAATAATTACACAGCCTTAGAACATCTACTTGGATATGTAGAAAATAATACATATCACTCTTAGGCATGCAGGTACTTATGCTAATATGATTGTGTCATTAGGAGATCATGCACATAAAAGTTTTTTGTTTTACTTTGTGGGCTAATTGCACAACAAACAATGAGACACAGAAATGGTCCCACATAAAACAAAACAATTAAGACCCACAGGAGAATTGTCTTACTGTGTCACAGATACAATACAGACATACACAAATATTTGGTCACAACTACATCAGAATAATTCTGACACACTATGATATAACGGACAGCTTTTGGAGTCACATAGGACCCCCCCCACGCCAAACCTCTCTGTTATTTATATCTACCTTGGTAGTGTTGTTTATGACTGTACAAGGCAACTAATGTAAAATTATTACCAACTAAGGAATGTACACTCTGCCTTACGCAGTATCTCTTTATGACAGGGATCTCAAACTTTGGCTCATCAGATGCGGATGGCCTACAACTCCCAGAATTCTTTGAATGCAACAGATGGGCAGAGAATCATGCGAGATGTAGTTCATTAACATCCAATGGGACCAGAGTTTGAAATAGGATGCCTGCTTTATGTCATGGTTCCTTACGTAAATAAAATGAATCAACAAAAATATTTTATGAGGGTCCCACCTGTGTTTGATGGATCTGTGGTTTTTGGTCTTTTCAGAGTTCCTAGGGGTTTATACAATACAACTGGACTGTCAAAATTAGACCTACAAAATGGCTTCAAGCTGTAGTGATGAATAGAAAAAAAAAGCAGAAATATTAAACATGTGTAAAAAAAAAAAAGCGCCATGCCAAACAGCAGTGTGTAGCCAACTCTCGGAGTGTGCAATCATTTCACTTTAGATTCCTTGGCTGTAGCTGTGAGCTATAATAAACACAAATTGCATTTGTTGTGTCAAATGAGAGCAAACAGATTTTGTAAAAGAGAAATAATCTGATGTGGGTGAGCTGAATAATCAAATGCATTTTATTAGTTAGGTCTATTATAGCAGGGCATGTGGCATAATTTTAATTAATAGGTTCATTCTAGAATTGAAATCTATTGCTGTGATAAACAGGCCATGTACAGGTAAGATTAGGACTGTTGGCTGAAGGAGATGTAGAGAATATTTTACTGGGAAGTTAAAGAGTTACTTCTGCTTCTACTGCTTTTAGAAGTAATCCTGGTGGTAGGAATATCTATTTGCACTTGTGTACTGGGGTTAGTAACACATTCGGTTCCGGGGTGCAAAAAAATTACATCAGGGCGCATATAAAGACGTGGTCAACGTCTCTCCAATTTTAGTTTTTTTTAAATCCACCAAGTTTTAAAACAAAAATGGGAGGTGGGCATATTTAGAAGTGGTTAATAATTAAAAAAAACAAAAACAAAAACAAAAACAAAGTAGAAAGAAAAATGATGACAGGATGACAGTTACTCTTTAACTAGTTTTTGCTTAAAGGATCACTAAAGGCACCCAGACAACTTCATCTCAATTAAGTGGTCTGGGTGCAGAGGCTTTTATTTTTAACCATGAAATCTAATATACTGTTGCAGGGTTAAACACACCACTAGTGGTGAAGCGTGGGGATTTGCCACGCACGCACACTTGACAACAAATGCTTTCCTATGGAAATGCATTGGATTGGCTGAGTTTATCAATCTTGGCAATCTCAGCTAGGAAGTGGGGTGGCCCCTCAGCTGGGAAGAAATGTAAGTAAAAGTGATTTTGTTTTATTTATTTATTTATTTCCGACAGGGAGGGTTGGGCTTATTCTAATGTGATTCATACAGGTTTCATATTTTATTAGAAAATTGCTATGTTATCATAAATGATATTGCAATAAACCTAATCAGTTATATTTTAGATCTTGGCCAGTGGCTTCCACTTCATTAACTAGACAATTCTATTTGTATCATGTGCTTATAGGTTATTGGTTAAAAAAAAAAACAAAAAAAAACACAATATACTCACATATCTTCTACATTTTTTTTTGTTTTCCCCAAAGGAATCACATTGGGATAAACATACATTGGCTGAATGTAATTCAAAAAATCTTTAATCTAAGAAAAAAGAAAAAAAAGGAACAAAATAGTTAATGTTCTAGGGCAGGGATAGGCAACCTTTTAGCAGCACTGTGCCGATATAGGATTGTGATGTCCCGTAGCGTGCCGGTCCTAATTTTATTTTATTTTTTTAAATTGAGGTGTGTATGCTGCTGTATTCTGCTTGTGTTATTTATACTGTAATTGCTTTGTATCGCTGTATTTGTGTGTATATGAGCTATTATATTGTATATGTTCATGAGTAGATTGTGGTATCGTGTATGATACATATGAATGTGGGCTGTGTATGGGGGCAGCTTGTGGAATTGTGTGTGTGGATGGATATGTCACATTGTGTGTTTGGTAGTGTGTGTATGTGTGGGGCTGTTTGGGGTATAGCATGTGAGAGGCTGCATGTGGGGTTATGTGCATGTATGTGGATTGTTAGTGGTGTTGCGTTTGTGCGGATTGTGTGTATGTTTGTGTGTGGGTTGTCCGTATTACTTGTATGAGGGGAGGGTCTTTCTGCATTTCTGTGTACATCTTGCAGTGTGGGTGGCTTCCTTGGGTTCCAGTGGGGACCAGGCTGGCCAGGTACAGGTCAAGGACAGGAGCTGCAACAACAACTGCAGGCTGCTCTACTACTGTGTGGATTCCCATTCACAAGTGCTGGGAGGAAGTGATCAGAGAGCACTTCCTCTACGTGCTGCAATGCATAAATTGAGAATTGTCCTTCACCACCTCTTCGTATTAGCAGGTATCTGAAGTTTTACTGGGACTCCTGATAGGCCAGAGCCTGTTTGGCTCTAGCAGCCTTGACTGCCATGCAAAGGCACCTCGAGTGCCGTGCATGGCACTAGTGCCGTAGGGTGCCTACCCCGTTCTAGGGCTTTGAAATAAGGAGCAAGTATTTGTGCGAAAAGGTTCCAACAAACAATGGTCACACTCTAATCCAAGCTATAGATGGTCAAGGCAGCAAGTTAAAATTGTGTTTATGCCAACTATGACAGTTTCTGGTGATATACAAGTATTAGGTGCATTTACAAATTTACCAAGAACCAAAAACTGCTAGGGTTATTCACTAATGGAGAATTTTCCAAAATCAGCTAATTTTGCCAAAACTGCCATTGTGACATTTTAGCTATTTTAACCTCAGTTTGGTAATTGAGATTTTAATTGGCTACAATATGGAATTAAGTGAATAATCTTGTAAATGTGAAAATACCATAAAAGGAAAGTTTTATGTGAGACACTGTCATGAAACCTGCCAAACAAATACTATTTTGCTGACATCTGAACCCACAAACCTTTCAGGCTTAAAAGAATAATTAAGGGTGAATAAATGTCCCCCTAAAAAATTTTTTTATAAAAGTAAAAAGTTAAAATCCATACTACAGCACTGGTGATGTTGTTCTTGTCTTTAGAGAAACTGGTCATCTAAACACAATATCTGTCCTAGTATTTGATTATGCTGCCACCTTGAGGTTAAAGAGGAACTGTCACTTCACTTTTAGCACAACCAAATAGCTACCGTGTTTCTCCGAAAATAAGACCGGGTCTTATATTAATTTTAGTCACAAAAAACACACTAGGGCTTATTTTCATGGTAGGGCTTAGAGCCAGTCTGTCAGCCGGTGTCCGCGCTGTGTAACCCCCCCAGAGACCCTCACCTCCCCCTCCCTGTAATACTCTCCCCTCTCCCTCCATCCCTCCCTGTAATACTCTCCCTCCCTGTAATACTCTCCCCCTCTCCCTCCCTGTAATACTCTCCCCCCTCTCCCTCCCTGTAATACTCTCCCCCCTCTCCCTCCCTGTAATACTCTCCCCCCTCTCCCTCCCCTCCTGTAATACTCTCCCCCTCTCCCCTCCCCTCCCTGTAATACTCTCCCCCCCTCCTCCCTCCTCCCTGTAATACTCTCCCCCTCTCCCTCCCTGTAATACTCTCCCCCCCTCTCCTGTAATACTCTCTAAGCCCCCCTCCCTCCCTGTAATACTCCCCCCTCCCTCCCCTGTAATACTACCCCCCCCTCCAATCTTCTCCTCACCTGCTCTTCCCTGTAGCGTGGCCGAGCTCCTCTCCGGTCCGCGACCCGGCCGGACTGACAGGAACTGCACACCCAGGGTGTGCACTTCCTGTCAGTCCGGCCGGGTCGCGGACCGGAGAGGAGCTCGGCCATGCTACAGGGAAGGGGAGGTGAGGCAGTGCGGCAGCCGTCTGAGCGCTCTCTATAGAGCGCTCAGTCGGCTGTGGCATTTAAAGGGCCGGCAGCCGCCGGCCCTGCCTAGGTCTTATTTTCGGGATAGGGCTTATATTGCAGCCCACCCCGATAATCCAGCTAGGGCTTATTTTCGGGTTAGGTCTTATTTTCGGGAAAACACGGCAACTAAAAGAGAGCTATTGGTTTTGCCAAGGGTGTTTTTAATATTATTTAAAGGTCTTAAGATTTTAGCTTGCAAATCTTGGAGACCAATGCGGACAAGTATATAAATTAGTGATGTATGCATGGCATGTGTGTTTATGGCACTGCTGGAGAAATTATACAAGCATATGGAATTTATGTCAACATATGGAATTTGTCAGTTAGATGCTCGAGCGTGCCAAAATTCACAAGTATAACGAAGGTAAGTAAGTTTTGTTAACTTACCTCCATTGCTCATTTCATACCAGTAAATGTTAAAATAATGTTTAATGGGGTGAGGGACCAAAGACTGTGAACATCTCTGAAAGTAACATGTCCTCTTTAAAAGTCACACATTAAAAGCTTTAACAAAATATGCCTTGTAAAGCAGGTCGGATAAATCTGGGTTGGGCAGCTGGGAATATAAAGGTAACACACCATGTAACCACTGGCTCTGCCACCTTGCCTGACATACATTGGTTGAACACAATAAGAGGTCATGTCAGACATATTACAATGGGGGTATTACTATGTACCTTAATAAATGTATAATGAAAAAAATTGAGGAAAACTGTTAACGCTAAGTACACTGTCTCTGTGTTCCAAGCCAACCTAATGAAAGCCTCAATGGTTCAGTCAAATAGCAGGGTGAAATGATCCTTCTTTATTAAAAAAAAAATATATATATATACTATGTCTTTGTAACACCACATACCTCACAATATGATGAATGAAAAGAAAAACAAGCGCGGTAAGAACTTTCTCCAGTTCTACAAAAAGGGAGAAAAATACATATATATTAAAGGATTAAGCTCAACTCAATTTATAACACACAAACACACAAAAAACGGGGAAGATCCTAATAATTAACGGAATAATGCAATATTTGGGAACATGGTATTTCACAGTACAACAATTTAACATGTGTATCGCAATAAAACATTAAAGCTCTCTTTTCCAGTTAAGACAGTCTTTGTACTAAGTGTACAAACTACTTAAATGATAAAACATCCCTTTGGTATTTTTCATTTCTCTCTCTCCTTTGTTTGCTGCTTGTGAACAACTTTCCTGATTGAAGACAAAAACACTTTATAAACCTGCATATGCTCATGGTGGTGTACAGGCACCAATGAACTGCATAGCCTATACTGGGTATTACTTTTGTTTGCCTTTATGTTTTCCTTTTTGTCTTTTATGCCTACATAGGCTTTGTCTTATCATGCGGTACTCTGCTATACCACCAATAAACTTTAAATAAAAATTAGAAAAAAATAAAAATAAAACAAGGTAGAGAATCTTTTCCTTGTTTACTAGGCATATTTATTGATGCTATAGCTGCAATGTAGTCATATTATACTGTATGTATTACTTGCTGAATCCATTATATTGGTTACATAGAACTCCCTTGTTGTGCTGTTTTGCAGTTAGTGTGAAAGAGGGCGTCTGAAGAAGTACTTCCTCCACCATCTCCATAATTATATAGTCAAGGTGATTCCTACAGGATCCCTAGTGGAATGAATGATCGGAATTCTAAAAATGTGTAATGCCGGAGAGACAAAAATTCGTAAACAGGAACTTCTGTTAGCTCTCAAGCCAAGCCCTGCAATGCAGCTGTAATTCTCAGTTTTCTTTACAATGTGTATTAAAGATTTAGCTCATTACATGATAATCAAGTTAAAACAAGGCTAACATTGCAGTCCTATAGTAGAAACTGAAACAATGAGGACTATTTATCAGTGTTCTGAAATGTGTGCTTTATTTTTGGTCTCTAATCTGTTTGTATTATTAAATTGCTCTACAAGTGGTCTAAAATGTATTTATTTATACCAGGAAAGCCACATTGAGATTTCTCTCGTTTTCAAGTATGTCCTGTGTAGAGGTTTCGCTACCTAAACTTCACATTTCAATAAAGACTGCCAAATTTAGAGTGGTAAAATAAAAGAGAAGTGAAACAGAAGACTATTCTGGTGAAAAAGTGATGGAAAGATTGACGAATCTATTGTGTTACTGAAATAAATGTGTGCATTCAAAAAAAAAGACAGAGCCCAAAAAAAGCAAAAAAAAGCAAGTGAAGCAACACTTTAATAGATTATCCTCATTATTCTATTTCTCCTATCGGGACTGCCAGGACGTTACTTTAAGCGGCACTGTCATGGCGAATCCGTTTTTTTTTTTTAACCCCTCTCCCGCCTCCACTACACCCAATTGACCCCCTAGTCACCCCCAAATGCCCCTAAGCCCTCCATATTACCTATTATTCTTTATTTTCTGCCCCGATCTATATTCAGGGCGCCGCCATCTTTGTGTGGGTAGATGAAGTCCCTGTGGGACACGTCATCTGCCCACACTAGATAGACTGTGAGATTCCCGCACATGCGAACGGGAATTTCATCTATTCATTCATTCATTCATTCGTCAGAGTGACGAATCAATGAATAGAAAAATCAGACGAACAAACTAACACTGAATATCAGTGTTTGTTTGTTCGTTCAGTTTATTACAAGGAGGGAGCTACCGGCACGCAGCCGGGTGGGGCCATAATGATAATGAGGGGACACACACCTACTGTCTCCCCGGGCCCCCACCCCTGGGCGGCGGGTGGGGGCCATAATGATGGGGAGGGACGACCTACTGTCCTCCCCCCCGGCGGCGGGTGGGGGCCATAATGATAATGGGGGGGGGGGAAAACCTACTCTTTTTTTTTTTGCACTCGGGTTTTTTTATTTTATTTTAAGTTCGACGGGTATGATGGTTTTTAATTTGGCTTTTTTGAGGCTGAAAAATGAAGATTTTAGAAAAAAGAAGACGTTGAATAGTAAGTTTAATTTTACTTTACAGGTTAGTAATTTTATTCCCTCCTCACTATTTTTTAGGGTGAGGGGGGTAGGTAGGGGCCTTTTTATTTGGGTGGGGGTGTGGGTGACTAGGCGCTTAGGGACCCCTAGTCACCTTTGATGGGGGGAATTTGTCTTAGGGCCCCCACCCACCACCCAGGGGTGGGGGCCGGGGGAGGACAGTAGGTCCCTCCTCCTCATTATGGCCCCCACCCGCCACCGCCCAGGGGGGGTGAGGGAGGACAGTAGGTCCCCCCCCTCCTCATTATCATTATGGCCACCTACCCGCCACCCAGGGGTGGTGGACAGTAGGTGTCCCCCCCCCTCATTATCATTATGGCCCCCACCCACCGCCCTGGGGTGGGGGCCAGGTGGGGGAGGACCGTAGGTCCCCCCCGCCCAGGGGTGGGGGCAGGAGAGGGGGATGACAGTAGGTCCCCCCTCCTCATTGTAATTTATGGCCCCCACCCACCGCGCAGGGGTGGGGGATGGGGGGGGACAATAGGTCTCCCCCCTTATTTTACTTTAGGGCTCCCACCCGTCGTTTAGGGGTGTGGGCCAATAGGTTATTTTTTTTATTTTTTTTTACAGTGAGCAGCCACAGGCTGCTCACTGTTTACTAGACGTGCCCCTACTCGCGGTATAGCAAGTAGGGGCAGCATTTACTAATACTAAGTAATTTTTTACTTAGTAAATGTGGCTGAAAGACCAATTTAGGTCTTTCAGCATTTTAGTAGATAACTCCCTGATACTGTGGGAATTAGGGAGTTATCTACTAAGCAGCTGCAAGATGCAGCCACAGCACGAATAGGATCGGAGTTTCATTCATTCTAATGAAATTCCGACACAAATAAAGTGCCGAATTGCATCCTAACACGAATGGATTAACTGTTCTCATTCAGTTAGAATGCAATTCGGTAGTTTCGGCTAAAATGACAGGAAGCATCGCAGAGGAAAGGTAAGAATTATGGGAAATTGCTCTGACCAGCGGAAATGAAGCACACTTTGCTCCTCCGCTGGTCAGAGCTGGTCAAGCGGAGGAAACTTCCATGAGGCAAAGAGTCCCTACTTTGTCTTATGATTTTAAAAAAAAACTAAAGAAGAACAGATCTTGAGAGAGGGGTAGAAGAAGAAGAGATTGAGGAAAGGTAAGTTCGGCATGACAGTGCTGCTTTAAAATGCTCAACACTACTTAAATGGAGTAGCGCTGCTTACTGACTGCTAAATGTCACAAGTAGCAATGATAGGTGAAAAGAGCCTGTGCTTGCTATAATAATATCCCCATGGCAAAGAATAAACAAAAGTGAACAGACAAAAAACAATTTTTTACAAGAAACCTATATATTACGTGCACTAAAATTCACTTCTAAATTCCAGATCTCTCCAATTAAATGTGACTACTTCCCTTATTAAATAGAAGAGATTTTCATTTAAAAGTCTGTAAGTGTGAAAGGTAACAAAATAAAAGATATAAATTCAAGATTTAGAGTACACTGTTGATCCCAGAATGGTCAGAGGTAGCACCCTCCTAATCACCTAAAGATATGCAAAGTGAATCACTTTTGGAAATCTTTAGTTATCAGATTGAACAATGCAGCCAAAGTTGTAACTCCACAATTTTGGTGAAAACCATTTATCTCTTCCTTTTCAGACTTGGGTCCATGAACTAGGGACATGGATGGAAATTTAAAGCTTGCAATTTCAGACTCATATGAAACAAAAAATATACCCAGAAATGTATTGGTTGAGATTTTTAGTCCCCGGGTTCTTTTGCGCATTAACCCTCTCTCACTTTTTTCTTTCTCTTATCTCTTCTTCTTTTTGCGCTTATCTCCTGACAAATTTCCAGAACTAAGTGAGATACATCTTCGTTTTACTTTACTTTGAAATTTTTTGTTAAAGTATTCAAACTATAATAAGCACTAGGTCTACTATTTTGTTTATATTATTAGTTTTATTGACAATCTACTTTCTTTTTCTACTGCCGCCTCAAAATGTGATGTGAAAATGTCTTATGATGTTATGACAATAACTGTTTGTTATATTCTCTGTAAAACCTTAATATTTCAATAAATATTGCTTCATCTCAAAGCAAAATTATAGAAAGAAAAAAAAAGTCTCAAACTAAAAACAATGGATTAGAATGATAATTATGATAAAGTCTGTACAGTTTACAGGATTAATTTACCTTACAATTACATTGGTTTTCCTGCTTCTCTCCCCGAACCACATAGTTGATGGTTTAATACTAATGACACGCAGAGGGACATTATCATCTGTGCGCATCCCACATGGTAACCTGTTGCCTTGCATAAATTCTTCATTCTTAGCAAAAGAAAGATTTTGCAACATTAAAATGCAAAGACTCATGTGAGACCAAAACACATGTACATAGACTGAAATGGTATACGCTTAGCCTTCACCCTTTGTAAGAAATCATGCAGTTATGTGTTATTTATTTGTAACATTTGGGTAAATTATGAATTACCACTGGATGACGGCATGCGTGAATCTGAGTGCGGCGGTCAGTCGTTATGTGGCACAGGATATCAGGCATGTTCTTAAACATGTCTTGTTTATTCACGTGGACCTGAAGATACAAACAATAGTTTTCTTTATATTTACACAAGATCGGTTAAATGCTGCATAATCCATTTCTTAAACCCAAATGCGCTTGTCCCTTGCAATTTATCAAGAGTAACTGAACTTGGAGACTTTTCACATGTCATGTTACCAATCTGATATTCCAGAACACAAAGCAATTTTGGAATTTGTTCTCTAATATCAATATACTAGTCGCATTACTCAATAAGAAAAAAAAAGTTTAAGGACAATGCCTTGCTCTTTTTATTAAATTCTTTATTTTGGTTGTGCAGGGGTATTACAAAACAAATGAAGCCGTCTGTGTGTCAGGTCCATCTAGGATTAACCCTTTCTGCTGTAACAACTTTAGGGTTAATCCAGCCTCTAGTGGCTGTCTCACTGACAGCCGCTAGAGGCGCTTCCGCGCTGCTCACTGTGATTTTCCAGTGAGAAGATGCCAGCGTGCGGCTCATACCTTCAGCCATTGACGACCGAAGGAGAAGGAGAGTCCCTAGCCCGGCGGGAGGGGGGCCCAGAGGGTGAGGGGGACCCAAGGACCCTATAGAGCCAGGAAAATTGGTATGTTTTCCTGGCACTATAGTGGTCCTTTAACCCCTTAAGAACAAAACTTCTGGAATAAAAGGGAATCATGACATGTCACACACAAGGGGTTAAGTTTGCACATTTTATTTTTAGTAAAGGTAAGCATGTTTAGTAACTGCAGGTTATATTAAATAAAATAAACAGGAATCCCAGTTAGGCATGAAATGGTTGCGGGACACAATGGCGAACTCTCATCCAACACCCAATCTTGAGGCCGTGGCAGCATAGTAAATATCTGCTTGATTACATGGGGCCGCCAGCCACCTTGAGAAATGCAAGGTGAAGCAGCATATGAGGAGCTAGAGTGACACTCTGGTGAGACTAATTTGAATTTTCCTGCTCTTCTCAGGCGCTGACAAGGCTCAATCCCAGACACTGCATTCCCATGACAGGAAGGCCTTACAGGGCCTGTGCCTCCGCACCTATCTGATTCCGCTGGGCATACAGCCCAAAGCTTTAGGGGTGAATTGGACAGATATTGCCTTGTGTTATTACCGATGAGAAGGAGCAGCCTCGGAGTTCCCCTGCCTGGCATATAGTATATATCCAAATCAGGAAGTCTTCAAAGATAGAGTCCAATCTGCTTTTGCTGGCTGCTTCCTATGAGGAAGGAGAAGGGCAGGCCTCATTTGCCTGCCGTTGTGATGCAGAAAGTGGACTCCTTGAGCCAGGGTAATCCCCAGTGGTGCAGAAAGAGTATGCAGGACACTTGATAAGGTATCCAGACTTTCCGGGCAGCAGAAGAGCAGCAATTATTCCTGCGCCCTCACTTCGAGGATGCCGCATGTAAATCAGAGCCAGCCAGCAGGCCAGCTCGGTTAATAAAAGTGCTGGTGCAAACATCTAAGCATTCACAGCAAGCAGATGTTTTGCTTTGTCGAAAATTACAGATAATTACGTCAATTCAAATTGGGTGTCCTCCCTGCATGGTGGCCGAGCCCTGCCCCAACACTTTTTTTCTTTTTAGAAAAGCAAACAGACACACTGCTGTTGCTTTCTAAAATGTAATGTGTATTCTGCGTTTTGCAGTTAGATAAGAAGTTTGTGTGGGTCAGCTCAGCTGCAGAAGCAAATTCTATAGCTAAGCACAATTTTAGGCTATTAGGAATGGAATTGTGAAAAACTAGAAAATACATGTTTTTTAAAGGAATCCTCCAAGCACCATAACCACCACAGTGCACAGTAATGGTTATGTTGCCAAATATGCCCTGGCTCCCCACCCAATGTTTGACTTTTAACATGGGGTTCAGCAGGGGGAGCTCTCTGCCTCCCCTATGCTGTAAGCCTGCCTCCAGGCTTAGCTCAATGAAGAGAACATCCAGCAGACAGGATATGAGGGGGGACCCAATCATTACTACTGGTTCCCTACTTACCTGAAGAGGCGCCCGAGCACTCCTGACACAATAACCACTACAGCAAACTGTAATGTTTAGGATACTTGGAGAATTCTATTAACTTCATTTTAAAAATACATTCAAAATATGACTGTAACCTGGACATTACCTTAGACAGTAATTTAACAACATGGATTTGGAACGCTGTCCGAAATATAGACATATATTCGTAACGCAATAGTATTCTAACGAATAAAATTTAAAAAAACTGACTTAACTTTTATTCCTTGCCTCGACCACCCCATCTTCCCTGCTGAGATCATCAGCCCAGATTGTCTCAGCCAATTCAATTTTTCATCATAGGGAATCATTGAGAGGTTAGGGTCTATATGCAGCAACCACAATTTCCTTACAGAGATACATTGAGTCAATACATCGCTATGGTGAGCGTTCAGCGTCTCCATGCTGAATGGCGGTCCTGCAATCGGTGGAGGACCGAACCTAACAAGCCTTTCTAATGGCTGTCCAAGTGACAGCAACTAGAGGTGGCCTTAAGCAGAAGTGTATACACTGGCTTTTATCAGAAAAGGTAGCATTTACCATGCTGAGCCTGGAGGTATAGGCTATACGTCCCAGAATCTCTACATTAATTTGTAGTATCTCTTGTATCTATACGATCGCTTTAATTGTACATCAGAAAGTTGTCAGATTTAAATATGTGCAGTCTGTACATGCTCATAGTGGTTGCTGCAGCAACTGCAAGTGGTCCACCCCCCGGTAAAACAAACAAAAAAGACAAACTTTTAATGAATCTTTCAGCATTAATCTGAATACGACACCTTGCTGATGTTGTAAAATGAAAGGTGCACTATAAACGAATAAAAATGTGAACAGTTGTTAAAATACAGAAAATATATTACATAGAGTAGTCAAATTTTTTTTTTTTAAATGTCTAGATAACTTCAAATCGATATTAGTTACTATACATTTTATTTCATTGTAAACTAATAATTTTCCTTGTTTTACAAATATGCGCAAAAACAAAACACGCATTTATAAAGAAAATATAAATGAGCAGGGTAAGATGAATCATCTAAGTTTGCAGATGCTGTTCAATAGTTGCACATTTTACCCCCCCATTCATTTTAATGGTTGGATGGGCAGGAGTTTATGACAAGTACCACAGTGTATGGAGAAAAGCATTGAACTCTTACCTTGATGCCAAATTCCTCACTAAGGTTTGTAAATAAATATTCATATCCATAGGCTGCTTTGCAATTTAACCATACAACATGATAAGGGCCCATTTTGATCCAGCTACGGACTAACTCTAGAATTCCAATCAGACATTCCTCCTATAAAAGATCAATTAGACGTTAAAAGCAGAATGTGATTTAAATGTTTAACCATTCCCCTCCAATACAACTGTGCATCAGTAAACATTTTGCTGTGGAACTAAAAACTAAATGTTTTATAATTAAAAGGACAGCTTAGGCAACACAACCACCTAAGTCCACCAGCCTCTGGTGCAATCCCATGGTAAACATATAGGGTGCAGGTGGATATAGGGAGCAGCTCTAGTGATCATCTGAGTGACTGCCACTAGAGGTGTTACTAGGCAGCAATGTAAACACTGTCTTTTCTCTAAAAAGGTAGCGTTTGCATTGCTCAGACTGCAAGTACATGCTATAGTCATTAGAACTACTACATTAAGCAGTAGAGGCTCCGGGTAACTATACTGTCCCTTTAAAATCATCAATGTGGCCTGATTCTTTTCAAACCTGTAAAAAAAAAAAAAAAATCTACATACAAACATTATAAACTCAATATCTACCACTATTAAACTAAACAGCACACATGCAAGTACCTTTAAATATTACTTACCCTACTAGGGATTTGAAAGTATTTGGGATCACAGAATGTTGTATCTAAATAAACACTCTCAATGTCCTTCACTCTAAAAATAAAAAAATTCAATTAAAAAAACAGATAACATTAAGCTTAAATATAATGATATTATAAAACCCCCCCAAATTTTTTTTTTTTTTATTGGGCTAACAAAATAAATATATATTTGATATTGTGATAAGACAGGCTGTTTTCATCTAGCTAGGAAGAAAAACATTAGAAATCCTCCTCTATATTATCAATCCTACTCTATATTAAGGTTTCAGCTGGTTTTGTGGCAGCTTTTTATGTTTCTGTAGAAGAAACCAGTGGGAAGGTGGAGAGAAAGTGAGTTAGTGAGAGAGTGTGTGTGTGTGTGTCTACACACACACACACATTTCTTTTTTTATATATTGATTGTATAAGACCCCTTTCCTTTATAGGTCTATGATCTGACTATGTAGGAGTCACTCCCTCAGTGCTCCAATAGGTAAGCAAAAAATACTCTCAAGCAAGATTTGCCACTTTTCTTTCTATAAAGATGTGTATACACATAAAGCAACATGTGGACTCAGACACAGCAGCTCTGCAAAGTGTATCCATACAACTTCCCTATTATCCAATAGAAAACATGTAAATAAGAACAGAGAAAAATGTAAATACTGCAGACATCTCTCACACATTATGTAAGCACCCTATGCCGCGACCAGCTATTTAATTACATGTTTGAATGCCAAATCACGTTAGAATTTGAGTTAAAATTCCAGCCGCTTTTGTCAACTTCACACATTTGATACCATGGTTTTTTATATTTATTGTTGGCAATCACACTGCCAGGTTCACGTGAACATTATTAAAGATGTGGTGAGATTTAAAAAAAGGGACAAACTCCCTCTGGATTTAAATAAACTCTCAAACTACTTCTGTAGAGAAGCTATACATCATAAGGCATATTTAAAATGAAAAGAAAACGTGCTCTAGACCTGGCAACTTCATAACCCACAGAATGGCGGTAAAAACAATGTTGTGAGCACCTGTTTCCTGAGTGTAGTAGTTCCATTCGAGCCACTTCCCCTTTCGCCAGTCTGAAATCCCCAGTGTAAAGTACAGTCCCATTTAATCCTTGAAAGAGAAACCTGCAAAATTTCAGAGTGAATTACAAAATTACTTAGTAGTTTGTATGTACAGACCAATCAATACACATGTAATTTACATCTACTCAGAGAGGATTAAAAAATAAATAAATTAAAAAAAAAAAAAAAAAACAATAATCAGAAATTTAAAGTGAAAAAAATATATTTCAAGACATTTTTATTTTGGGCATAATTTTAATTAACAAAAAAAAAAAACAACAAAACACAACGATCTTTGAATGTTTGGCAGCTATTGATTATTATAACTTATATTTATATTTAATATCAACTTCAATACATAAGCGCTGGTTCCATTGTCTATAACAACAACAAAAAGGGCTGTCAGGACCAAATCCCAGGCACCAGGACAAAATTTCTACCTGGCACTTGTCGGTCCTGGGTTAAAGGGCCACTATAGTGCCAGGAAAACATACTCGTTTTCCTGGCACTATAGTGCCCTGAGGGTGCCCCCACCCTTAGGAACCCCCTCCTCCCAGGCTCTGGGGAGAGGAAAGGGGTTAAGCACTTACCTTTCTCCAGCGCCGGGCCTGGAGCTCTCCGCCACCGATCCTACTCCTCTCCTCACTTTCGGCTGAATGCGCACGCACGGCAAGAGCTGCGCGCGCATTCAGCCGGTCTCATAGGAAAGCATTTTCCTACAATGCTTTCCTATGGACGCTTGCGTGTTCTCACTGTGATTTTCACAGTGAGAATCACGCAAGCGCCTCTAGCAGCTGTCAATGAGACAGCCACTAGAGGATTTGAGGGCTGGATTAACCCATTTATAAACATAGCAGTTTCTCTGAACTGCTATGTTTAGAAAAAATTGGGTTAACTCTAGCTGGACCTGGCACCCAGACCACTTCATTAAGCTAAAGTGGTCTGGGTGCCTAGAGTGGTCCTTTAATGCCAGCTATTAAAGCATTTGCTGTAACTGGTAATAGTAAAGAAGAGAATGTGACCACGACAAGTCTCCAGGTGATGTAATTGCCATAGGAAAAAAGACAAGACTACACAGTCAGTGTTTTACAACATCTACATAGATACAAAGTAAAAATAAACTGAGCTTACAAATATTTTAATTTGGATAATTTTTTAAGGAGGTTACACCATAAAAGAAAAACATTACACCATAAAATATATATCATACATTACAGAGCCAGGACAGTGACCAGCTGGTAAGAGTGTGACCAAAATATCTTCTTTCTGCAATAAAAAAAAAAAAAAAAAAAACTTACTTTTTTTGATGATCAAATCCTATTTTGTTGTAGTTGTTAATACAGAGTTTGTGCAATTTTTGCGACTACGTACAAATCCCTTTCAGACAGGGTTTCATGTTTAGTGTTAAATAATAGTAAATTTCCCAAAGATTCAAGATAAATACTTACTTCTCCTGTAATTTCATCAAGTAAAGAAATCTGAGTTGGAGTATCAATCTCTATAGCGATCTATATAAAATAAACAAATGCAATCAATTATGTTACTATATGAAAGGTAACACCTTTAATATAAGACCTATAAAACTTAATTTTCCTTTTCAAAACAGTGGAGCACTTGAATCATTGAATAAGGGTATAACCTGGCAAACAATCCAAATGGTTTAAGAAACCCTCTCTTTCCTAAACCATTTAAGAGTAACTAATGATGTAGAACCCAATGTGGCAACTAAACTGACTCAAGGTTCAATGTCTTTCATATTTTGCTAGTGATAAAATGGTGGTTTAAATTATATTTATAATATATTGTGAGAGGAAAAAAAAAAAAAAAATCAAGCAATGTAGTTTGTCTCAACATATCAATGTCAATCAAAATATATACGATTTAAAAAATAAAATAAAAATGGGTCCGTAGCCAAAAAAAACCAACAACAACTTTATAGATAGAATGCAAAATTACTTAAGCAAAAACTGTTGCAAATAGTACCGCTAAGCATGTCATTATGCTCCCCCCTCCTCCCAGCATTACATGCTAAACAAAAGACCGGGAAGAGGAGCCAATTATGCACTGCACAGCACGCATTAATGTGACAGTTATTTTTGTGGTCATGCACTTAAGCACAGACCGCAACACTTTCATGAATATACTTTTATTATGCTGAAAACATGATGGTAGTATTCTGACATTTGTCCTACTAACCTAGTAAATAGGACTCAAGTTTTGAGATAAAGGAATAAAAAAAAAGAAATAAACAAAATTAACTTACTATGTGTTTTTCCCAGAATGCATACTTTGGATTTGTTAATAATAATTCCTTAGTGACTGGGGAACAATACAGGTAAAGTTTTAGTCTGCAAAAGAAACAAAATAATTTCATTATATTTTACTTGTGTTTTAACAGGCCTGGGAAAGGTAAATTCTACAGCTGGTGTAGGATGTAATCCCCAGTGAAGATTAGCAAACCTGGGAGTTACTGTTTAAATCCAGATTTTTGGCAGCCAGCATTATAGGACATTAATTGCTTTTCATTAAGGCAAAAAATGTATATGGACAGTTTATAGCATGAAGAAGAATTGAGGATAAAAAGATGGAAGAGAACTAAGAAACATCCCAAGATAAAAGACTAGATATATACAAAAAACATACTTGCACTGCAATCTTCGTTTTAAAAGGGGCGCACGCAGTCCTTTCATGTGATCTTAAAAGAGAACATAAACCGTAAAAACAAAAGGAGTATTATTAAAAATGAATTATAAATGCTTTGTTAATACAGTTTTAAGATTTAAGAAATGATAGACAAGAGGCAGCAAACACTGTAAAAAGGGGCCTCCCTCTATACCCCAAATAGTAAATTAAATGGTTATTCTTTTAAACGTGTATAAAGTGTACAATTTAAAAAATTATCTGATAAACTGGAAATTGTGGGCAAGTGAACAGAGAATTCAAACTTAATTGAAATATCTGCAAAAACTGCAGCTTATCTTGACATTTCATAATATACTTTAATTGCCTTTCATATTTGTTCACATCCATGTCATATGTCAATATTGCTACGTTGTACCACTGCACTACAAAAAAAATGTATTTAAAAAAACAAACAAGAAAAAATAACAACACTACACATATTACAATAAGGGAATTGTTGACACCATTGGGATATTTTCATTAAACACAGAATTTTGCTAAACTGAAAAAAAACAAAAAGTGCAAACTTTGGTGAAATAAATAAAAAGCAGACATGGAGAGCAATCCTCCAACTCAACTCAGTCACATGCTGGCTCTGTTAGGCTGGAGAGTTTGCAGTTTATTACTGAATAAACCTCACGGGTTAGGAGTCCTGTAATTATAATGAATGGAGGTGAATATAATAAATCGAGGGTAGATGAAATAAGTTGCAAAACTAAGGCCAAGGCAGGTGGAGGGTGCTGTTTGGATGCAGTGGTTGTGGTGCCTGGGTGACACTGCCATGGAGGTCCTACCTTTGTGGCAGTGAGACAGGAAGTAAGCCCTGGCGGACAGATTCTCTTTATCGAACTTGTCGATGGCTATAGTTGGATACTCCTTCATGCGGCCCGGGAAGGAGCTCATGGTGTCTGAGTGTCAGCTCCCTGACTGAGCCCCAGCATATCCCGGAAGCGGCAAAACGCAGCGAACAACGTGCACTCTGCGCTCCAACCAATCAGAGAGCAGAACTGACTAGGGGCTGCTGAGCGTCCAATCAGACGAGTTGTTTACAAGTGACTCGCCTCACTCTGCGTTCAGGCCCCGCCCTCGGCCGTGGGCAGTTGGTGCTCGTGCCTGCAGTGAGCGTGCGTTGCTGGTTGCTAGGATACCGCGGGCTCTGTTCGTTGTGGCCGTTGAATCCGAGGCAGCTGGAAGAGACGGCGATACCCACAGCGATACCGGCAGCGATACCCACAAACCGGGGGACAGTCAGACTTATTACACACCTCACACAGCCGCAGCCCTGCAGGTACCGCTGGGTGACTTATAGTCTGATCAGTGCTAAGTTCATTGTCAATATGTAAAACATGTATAAAGTAAATTAACTGCTTTAAACAATATTCTACAAACTATACATTGTCAGTTTAGTGATATAAAACAAACCTTACACAGGGAGCCATGATATTCAGTAACATAACAGTCTATAACACTATAAACATAGTGTCAGGACAACTTTCACATAATATACAGTATATATAATTATAAAATGTTATCTTACTCTATATTAATAATAATAATAATCGTTTCATCAAGTTTTAAAAGGCTATATATATTTAATGAGAAGTATCATCCCTCCCCTCAGTATGTGAGAGGACCTGTCTGCCAAATACTAACACCTTGGGTCACACAGAGTTTGAAAGCAGTCAGTCTCTATGGTCTTGGCTGTGTTAATGCAGGGATTACCATAGAGACTGACTGACAGTCTGACTGACCTATGGTGTATGTCTATGGCTGAAGGATCCTGTCATATACTAAAGCACCAGAGCCCCACTCCAAAGGCAACCCCAATCTTGGGGTCCTGTCCCACTGACCCGATTTAGTTCCTTGGTGCTCGCTGTTACAAATGCGTCAAACTCCAAGTGTGCGCATGACTTGGTTCTGGCAGTGTACGGGTTAAACTGCACTATTTGGTGAATACAACTCTTTAAGTGACGTAGGCGCTAAACAGTGATTATTTATCTAAAACAGTTTACACAATTGTGCAAATATAGCAGCACTTTAAAGTGTACTTAGCTCCACAAAACACTCCAAATAGATAAAAATATTTTAAGGCGCGCTGTGATTTTAAGACAATTTTTTTTTTTTATATACAAAACCCATGTAATGTAATGTAGATGAGTGTAATATTTAAAGTGCAAATATCTATGGGCTTAATTTATACTGAAAGTGCACTTCAAACCCACTTACAAACATCACTTGGATGTTTTATCAAGGCAATTACAGTTAGTGCATGCTTCATCTGCTCTCTGTTTGTGAGTGGTTTCATTCATAGAATTTTACTCTCTTGTATTTTAACTATATTACACTATATATTTATTTCCTTTATATGGAATGTGTAAGCTGTGTGACCACACCGGGGGCCCTAGCAGCAGGTGTGCCATGTGGCCGACATAACTCCCACACTCCCACAATGACAGGTGTGATGGGGTGCAAAGAACACTCCTATAATGTAGGTTTTGCTCTGTAGCATGGCCGCACGGCACCCGAGTGGAAGATTTCCATATTCTCCACCTGGGCCTATCAGAGAACATAATAAGGCAGCCGGGGGGCAGAACTACATGGGAGTGGGGTGCAGCTAAGCAAGCAACAGGGGCAGAGATGAATGGCCAACGGGGGCGATCTGGACCTGTGTCCGGTTGCTTCTGCATACTGAGGGGGAAGCACAAAGGAGTCTCTGCTTCCCCAACAACTACACACCTGGGACTGCAGTGCCCCTGCTCCTCATCCAGCAAGTGCCTCTAATGGAAAGAGGTACTTGTGTGTGTGTGTGTGTGTGTGACGGTTTGTCTGTAACTGTGAGTGTGTCTGCCTGTAACTGTGTGTTTGTCAGCATAACTGTCTGTGTGTGTGTGTGTGTCTGTCTGTCTGTAACTGTTTGGGTGTTTTTCTGTCATTAACTGCATGGGTGTATGTCTGTAACTGTTTGTTTGTCAGCCTGTAACTGTGTGTCTGTCTGTAACTCTGTGTGTGTGTCTGCCTGTAACTGTGTGTGTCTGCCTGCATGTAATTGTGTGACTGCCTGTAACTGTGTGTGTGATTGTCTGCAACTGTGTTTGTATATGTGTGTCTGTCTGCCTGCCAGTAACTGTGTGTGTATGTGTGTCTGACTATCTGCGTGTCACTGTGTGCTTGACTGTCTGTAACTGTGTTTGTGTATGCGTGACTGTCTCTAACTGTGTATCTGTCTGTAATGATGTGTGTGACAGTTTGTAACAGTGTGTGTGTTACTGTCTGCTTGTAATGTGTGTGTGTGTGTGACTGTAACTGAGTGTTTGACTACCTGTAATTGTGTGGGATAGTGTGCGTGTGACTCTGCAAAAATACACACCTTCCTTCACACATGGGCATATGTGCATAAACACACAGCCAATAAACCCTGCACAAACATCAAACGCAGCCAATAAACCCTGCATAAACATCACACACATGGCCAAAAAGTGCATATGACACACAGTCAATATACCCATTACAATATCATACATGGCCATCACGGGTATTAAAGACAACACACACAGTACATCATATTGTTCTGATATTTATTACAGGGGAGCTCTGTCTTAGAGAATGCACATTACTTTGTGTTTTATAGTTGGGATGCTCTGTGATACACTAAAATGCACATTACTGGGAGTTGTATTGCAACACTAAGTCTGCCCTCACTGGCTGTCTACCAGCTACCTAATTGAAGATATTGCCTTTTCTGAGAAAACTGTCAAACAGTGGGTGCAAGAGTCAGGGATATAAGAATTATATCACCACTCTCACCAGGGCCGGTGCAAGGATTTTTGCCGCCCTAGGCAAAAGAAAGATTTGCCACCACCCCCGGAACTGCAATGCCCCACCCATATGAACTAATGCCAGTGCTGCACACAGTGTGTGTTTACATTAAAAAGCCTGCAGGGACAAACTATAGACACCAGAACAACTTTATTAAGCTGCAGTGGTTCTAGGGGACTATAGTGTCCATTTAATGTGAGGTAAATTAGAGATTAGTGTCACTAATAATATACTAGATTGCCTACTTACAATCAGATTAGGATGGTGATGGGCTCTGGCTGCAGTCTGGCTCCACTGGTCTGGTGTAGAACAGGATCTCTGGAGGCTGTTTGTAACTGTGGTCACAAAATTCAATGTTCTGGGAGAACGGGAAGCAGCTCCATTTTTGGGGCCTCTTACATAGCTCAAGGTCTGGGCCCCAGGGCCTGACGGTGAGTATGCCCATAAAGCCCACCCATAAGGCCACCTACATGTTCCACCCATGAACTCACAGGGAGTAGAGTGTGTAGGGGATGTGTTATGTGTTACTGTAGAGGATCTAATGTGTGTGCTTACGAATGTAGTGTATAGGGATACCAGTTTGTGTAGGTGATGCAGTGTTGTTTGTGTAAGGGATAGAAAGCAGTGAGTGTTTGTGTATAAGGGATGTATTGTGTGTTTCTTGTTGTGTGTTAGGGATGCATTGTGTGAATCTGTGTTTGTATGCATAAGGGATGCAAAGTGTGTTTCTGTGTATGTAAGGGATGCAGTGTGTGTGTCTGTAAGGGGTGTGTTGAGATGCATTGTGTTTCTGTGTGTGTGTGTAAGAAAAACAGTGTGTGTTTGCATGTGTGTGTAACGGATGCATTGTGTGTGTTCTGTGTATATGTGCAAAGGATGCATTGTCTTTATGTGTAAGGTTTGCATTGTGTGTTTCTCTGTGTGTAAGGGAAGCATGTTGTGTTTCTGTGTGTATAGGGATGCATTGTGTGTGTGTGTGTGTGTGTGTGTGCGCGTGGTGTGAAAGAGCTCCCTGTCCCTCTGTCCTATAGAGCTCTCCCTTCCATTCCTTAGAGATCTCCCCTGCCCCTTAGTGGTCTCTCCTCTCCCCCCCACCTCCCTTAGTGGTCTCCTTTTCTCCCCGACTTTCCATTAGTGGTCTCTCCTCTCCCCCCACCCTCCCCTATCCTCCACCCCCCTCCCTTAGCGGTCTCTCCACTGCCCCCTCCCTCCTTTAGTGGTCTCTCCCTCCCCTACTTTCTCATCTCCCACCCCTCGTGTTCTCCTCTTCTTCTCCCCCCGTGTTTTCCTCTTATTCCCCCCCTCCCTGTGTTCTCCGCTTCTTCTCCCCCCTGTAATTTTGTCTTCTTCTCCCCTCCCCCCATAATCTTCTCCCCTCCCCCCCCTGTAATCACTTCTTCTCCCCCGTAATCTTCTCTTCTTCTCCCCCTATAATCTTCTCTTCTTCTCCCCCCCTCCCATCAATCATCTCCCCCTCCCATCAATCATCTCCCCCCCTCCTGCATCAATCATCTCCCCCCAATCAATCATCTCCCCCCCTCCCTCCCATCAAACATCTCCCCCATGTCTCCCCCCTCCCATCTTCCCCTCCCTCCCATCAAATCTCCCCCCATCATCGCCTCCTCTCCCCATCATCATCATCCCCATCCCATCAATCATCTCCCCATCATCTCCCCCCTCCACTCAATCAATCATCCCCCCCTCCCCATCTCCCCCCATGATCATCATCTCCCCATCATCATCATCTCCCCCTTCCCTCCCATCAATCATCTCCCCATCATCATCTCCCCTCCCATCATCTCCCCCTCCATCTCCCCCATCATCATCATCTCCCCCCTCCATCAATCATCCTCCCCTCCCATCATCTTCATCATCTCCCCCCTCCACTCCAATCAATCATCTCCCCCATCATCTCCCCCCTCCATCTCCCCCATCATCATCTCCCCTCCCATCTCCCCATCATCATCATCTCCCCCCCCTCCCAGCAGCTTCTCCTCACCTCCCCGGCCCTGTAGCGTGGCCGAGCTCCTATCCGGTCCGCGACCCGGCGGACTGACAGGAAGTGCACACTCGGTGTGCACTTCCTGTCAGTCCGGCCGGGTCGCGGACCGGAAAGGAGCTCGGCCACGCTACAGCAGGGCAGGGGAGGTGAGGCACTGCGGCAGCCGCCTGAGCGCTCTCTATAGAGCGCTCAGGCGGCTGCAGAATTTAAAGGGCCGGCGATGGGGGCGCAGGGCGCCCCCTCCTATATGGCGCCCTAGGCGGCTGCCTAGTTCGCCTTATAGGAAGCGCCGGCCCTGACTCTCACCAGTGTATATAAATAAGAGAAAAACTGAATAACTTACCATTAATCAAACGATATTGCTATGTGCATTTAAATAAGAGGTTTAGATTAAAATAACAAAGTGTAAATTCACTTGCCATTGTCAATGCAAGTCACTTAGGTGAGTCAGACACTAACAATTTGAAAAGGCATAGACCAGTGGTTCCCAAACGTTTTATGTTCAAGGCGCCCTTAATATTTCAGTATTTTTCCAAGGCACCCCAAGTCAAAATTTCTAGGTTGTATATCTGTACAGCGCTGCTGCATTTACTGGCGCTATAGTGTAATGTACAGTGTTGGTGTTTTAAGGGATGCTTGTATACATTTATTGAGTTTTAATACAGGGGTGTGCTTGTGATGTTTGCGTTTGATTGCAGGAGTGTGCTTGTATGTTGTGCTGGTGTTTGACTGCTTGGCTGTGTGCACATACATACATACTTACACAGATATTCATGCACATTAACACACAAATGCATATAAATACACCGACATATACACACAAATTGATATATACACCGACACCTACACACAAATTGATATATACACCGACACCTACACACAAACATTGATACATGTCCACACCATGATAGAGATACACATTGACATAAAAACACACACCCTGACACACAGATGTGTATATATCTAAAAAATAAAAATCCCCTGTACTCACACTTTAACTCACTCATTGCCAGGTGCATAAGCCTGAGCTCCAACAACACAACATTCGATATAGAATGGCTACTCACCAGTCTTTTAAAATGCAAATATTTTATTGGATAAAGTTTAAAAAGTTTGTTGTCCTGTTATTGACCCTGAAGAAAGTCCAGATCGGGGACTGAAACGTTGGTCATTTAAAAAAACTTTATCCAATAAAATATTTGCATTTTAAAAGACCGGTGAGCCGCCATTGTATATCGGGTGTTAAATACACACACACTCATACACATACCCACACAAACACTCAAACTCATACACACACACTCATACACTCACGTGATTTTTTTTAATTTTGTTATATCTCCAACCACCCTCCTGTTAGCTTACCTTATGTGCCAGAAATGTGGCTTGGAGTCCTGCTGCTGTCTTTGAGCTCCTTTCCCCTCACGCTGTGGCTGCCTCCTCTGACTCCCGCGCTGTGTCCCTGCAGAATGAAGTGACAGGCTGTCATAAAGGACCGTGGCACTCGACCCGGACCCTGTTGAACAATAAATATTCTGTGGCACCCCTGTTTGCACGTCGCGGTGCCCACACAGTTTGGGAACCGCTGGCATAGACCAAATCATTCAACTTACTCTTCTTCATTGCATAAAACTTACCAGTAGGACCCTCATAAACCTTTAACCTTCAGGGTGGTTTTACTGGGGACTGAATATGGAAATATTTGTTAACTACTATAGAAGGAATAGCTTGAGATATGCATTCTCCATATATCAATATATCTGTTTTGCTTTCAAACATTTACATCAGTTTGCTGTTAAAGAAAACATCAGAAGATTTTAATAGAATGTCTGGGCAGGATATTGGAGACGTGAATTCTGAAGTCAAACCAAAATCAATGACTCGTGCAAAGCAGTGGTCAGATGAGATTGAAAATTTGTACAGATTCCAAACAGCAGGCTATCGAGATGAACTGGAATACAAGCATGTAAAACACGTTGACTTGGTAAGGTATTTGTTTGACTTTTATAGCTATACAAATGAGATACAATTTATTTTAAAGTGACACTATAGTCACCAGAACAACTACAGCTTATTGAATTTGTTCTGGTGAGTTGATTCATTACCTTCAGGCTTTTTGCTGTAAACACTGTCTTTTCAGAGAAAATGCAGTGTTTACATTACAACCTAGTGATACATCCACTTGCCACTCCTCAGATAGCTGTTAGAGATCCTTCCTGGGTCATGGCTGCCTAAAATGCATCCAAACATTCAGTATCTCCTCACTCTGCATGCAGACACTGAACTTTCCTCATAGAGATTCATTGATTCAATTCATCTCTATGAGGAGATGCTGATTGGCCAGGGATGTGTTTGAAGCATGCTGGCTCTGCCCCTGATCTGCCTCTTTGTCCGTCTCAGCCAATCCTATGGGGAAGCATTGTGATTGGATCAGGCTACCACTTCTGATGATGTCAGCACACTGCTTGTTTTTTGAGTCTAACAGCATGAAGAGTTACAGCTTCAAGCTTGAATACAGTAAGATTTTTACTATATTTATGGAGGCATGAGGGACCCAGGGGGCCTAGATGGTGGTTTTAACACTATAGGGTCAGGAATACATGTTTGTGTTCCTGACCCTATAGCGATCCTTTAATTGAATACACCAAAGGACAGTCTTAACTCTTCATAGGTAAAGAATGTGAGCATTGTGGCAAATTAATTGTTGAATGAATGAGAACATACCCTTAAGGGATCCTCAATTGGTTGAAATTTTTTTTGTAGCATTAAAGGGTTACGCCAACCCTTTGTTGTGAGAGGCTTTTTTTGTATAAAAGGCCTACTGGGCACTAAAAAGTAGGTCCCCCTCCTTAGTTAGCAGTAAAATCTGTATATATATAAAAATAAAAAAATAAAGGTTTTTACTCATCTGGAATCCAGCATCAGACACCACCAAGGATCTCGCACTGTACAATTACAGGCTTCTCATAAAGTAGCCTGTAATTGGACTGTTTTACTGGCAGAGACGGCATAATCTAAACAGACCAGGGAGGGGGTGGGAATTATTATTATTTATTTTTTTTAAAACAAACAATTTTATTGGGTGGGGAGAAAAATGCTACTCCTTGCCGGAGCAGCCTGGCTGTGCGTGCTGATGACAGACATATTTTATGAGTTGACATTGGGTAGCCCAGAATAGAGTGTAACTCTGGGGTATAACTAGCCCCGGTACACAAGTGCAGATTACTGAAACACTGCACATACATACTTCTACCACTATGACCACTTCAAATCACTGAATTGGTCATGGTGGTTGTAGTAACCCTTCAAAACCATTTTGTTGCTTTTTGCCTACATTTTGTAATACAAACTGTAGTGTATTGCAAAATGTATGCAAAAAGCATAGATTTATTGGAGACACTTTCCCCAACTCTATAGAAAGTTCTAGAGGGTTAGAGTCTTCCCTGTCTCATTCCCAGCACAGTAACAAGGAAGACAATAGTGACTAACTGCTGGTTTTCAACATTGTCTGACCCAAGGTGCATGTATACGGCTGAGGGATCCTGTAATATACTAGGGATGAGTTTTTCATAATTTTTTACATATATTTAATTATTTTTTTTTTTAAATCGATTTCCTTTCTATACTTGATTAAACTAATGAACTAATGGAAACAGGAGGCAAACCTCCCTGGCTATCTGATTGACAGTGATGGGTGTCTTATTAATTCATTATAAAACTGCCAAGCTGAAGAGCTTTATTGGTCTGTAGTGGTCCTTTAATGCATAATATAGACAGATCTCAAAATGTGATTCCTACACTACGAACTAGACCTAAAATTTAGTTGGAAAAAAAGCTCGACTTAACCTCCAACAAGCACATAAACATCTTTGTGTATGAATGTTGATGCTTATTGGCATGGAGGGCCAGTGCATATGAATGATGGGGTATAATTGAGTGTCAGTGCATGTAAATGTGAATGCTTAAATCATTGGATTAATTTGTGCAAATGCTATTTTAATATAATAGTGTTAGTGCACTGTAAAAAAAAATGAGCTGGTTTCATAGTAGTAGTGTAATGGGCAAGGGCAGTGTGAGGATTGTGGGAGTAAAGGAATAGTGCACAATAGCAAGATTGTGGGCATAAAGGATGAGTGGAAAATGTCTGGATAGTAGATATAAAGGAAGAATAACAAAGTTAGTCCCATTAAAATGAAGATTTTATATTTTGAAATGACTTTCAAAATTCAAGGGAGGTTGTATATCCCTGTATAGCTTGTGTCTTTTGGTTTTCTCTAGAGCAGGGGTTTGAAAGTCAAGGCACGTTTCACAGTTGTACTTCCAGATAGATGTGCATGTGCAAAGATGTGTAACCACAAGTACACATAGAGATATATATACTCCCCAACATTTCCATAATCATAATATACATTCCCCCACAAATCATTCACCATGGCCAAGCTCTCGATGGAGAATGCTTCCCTGTGCTGTGTGCCCCCACAGCATCATCACGAGAGCTGCATGAAAGTTTTGGGTTGCTAGGAATAGTGTGTGAATTGCTAGCTTGAGAACCCTGCTTTAAGGGAATACCTGATTGTTTAATCAAATCTATCTTCTATTTGTTATTGATATTTTGTTTTTCCTTTTTCATGTGACAGGTGGATCGTTGGCCTGAAACAGGCTTTGTGAAAAAACTGCAAAGAAAAGATAATACCTTCTATTACTACAATAAGCTTAGAGAATGTGAAGATAAGGAGGTTCATAAAGTTAAGGTGTATGCATATTAAAAAAAATAAATAAATAAAAACAGCTTGATGGATGAACTGCCAATTGTAGTATTCATACTGATTTATTTTCTCGATATGTCTGACTTTTTTTTTAAAAGACACGTGTTTCAATAAATGTCAATCTGAAATAACTAAGCTTATGATTCAAAGGTAACAAGGGGTGATAATAGGTTTCTAGCACTTGTTGTGTGATGATAGAGGCAGCTCGAACAACTCAAACATGAGTCTCTCCTTTCCGGTGGTGAGTAAATCGTATGGTATAGAGCAAAAATGATTTTTCTCAATCCAATTCAGCCTTTCTCACATTTGTTTTGTTTTTGCTGTTGATCCAAAAGAAAGCAAAAACACAGTTAAAAGCGCTTTCCAATTTTGCAAAAAACTAGGAAAAAATGCTTCTTGACACCAGAATAGCAGTCATCTCTCTCCTTGGATCACAAATCTTTTATTTGTGGAAGAACACTTCAGGGAAGATTTATCAAAGTATTCTGAAAATATCTTTTTTTAGAGGGTCCAACATCTCTTAAGGTTGATTGGAGTTGTAAAGGTAGTCTGAAATAGTTGAATGTTTTTATTTGTATATTCTGACAGATTTTGTCCACTACACAATTATATCCTACTAAGTAGGAATGCTGTGGGAATGTTTCCACTCCCCACTTTCTATGCCAGCATAAAGAGGTGTAAGTGAATGTAAGGAAAAGGTCCTGCTTTTTCTTTTGCAAAAAGAGGTGAAAATATTAAAAGGTCAGAGCATGTAATTATTATTGCTACTAATGTTAAAGAAACACTCCACTGCTCATATGCAAAATAAATAAAAATCACTGTTCAATAGACATACCCCAAGGGAAAACTTGCATGCATTTAATTGTGCATTTTTAATTGGAGAAAGATCTAAAAACCTCTTGCCAAACCTGCAGTTCTCTTGTTTGCTGCCTTTGCAAACCCACCCCTTCTAACCACGCCCAGACTTTATGTGGCTGTCCAATCACAGACTTCCCAATGCAACTCAATGAGAAGTCTTTGTAAGGTAGATAACCAAACCAAGAAGTAACAGGACCTGTTGTCGGCTTGAAAGCCAAGGGGGTGTAACCAAGTTAATTTATAAAAGTTAAAAATTTTTATAAAAATCTGCACTTCTTGCAAAATGAAAAAGGACACAACTCTTTACATGTTTTGGCAAGCAAAAGTGCTTTAGGGGTCTGGAGTGTCCCTTTAAGACCTGCCATTGTCACTTAGGCCCCTCCTCTTTTTTTGCTGCATAAAGTGATAAAAATGTTTAAAACTTATCTTGAATCCAGTGCTCGGCCAAGTTCTCTCAGATCCATTCCATGTCTTTTTCCACATCATAGTTTGCCATTCCTTGGTCCAATCAAATGCTTCTTATAGAGAAGGACTGGCAAATGCGCCTATCAGTGTCTTCTGATTAGAAACATTGAATGCTACACCACATCATGCTGAGTGACCGCTAATCTCAATGCTAATGCCTACCAACCACCCCCAAGACAACGCTTGGAATCAAGGAGGGAAGATAGTGAGCAGTAGCAGTAGTAGACCAGATGGGAAGGCAGGGGATGTGAGTGCTCAAATTAGGAAAGGAGCAAAAAAAGACTAATAAAATATAGGGAGGCTAGGTGAGCTGGCATGAGGGTGGGAGAGGACCAGAGTCTGGCTGGGCCAGAGAGCTGCCCCAAAATTCTAGTCATACTGGCCAGTAATCCAGCCATTGCCGGCATTAGAAATACACCAACTGCACTGCCAGTATATTTTGTGGCTGGCAACCAGCCATCTGACTCTGTGGGGAGGGAGAAGCAGCACTATGTCTGTGCACTGTTCTCGTGCTCCCTATGTGTCATGAAGTCAGAGGTCGCAACTAATGTGACCTGCGACCTATGACTTCACCAAATGAGAGCACAAGAGGCAAACAGAATGTCTGTGCACATACATAGTGCACAGGCACCGCGGTGGCTCCCACTAGACACCAGGGAGGTCCTTAGAATGCCATATGGGTCCTGTGAGTGCTGGGAATGTCATCTAATCCTGGGGTAAGTGCAGGTGTTGCATTCAGGATGCCTGAGCAAATTGGTGGAGGCAGAAAGATGGGACAGAGCTGCTGGAAACAGAACGATGGCAGAGAGATGGCACAGGACCTGTATGTGGGCACAGATGACACTAGCAGGCACATATGGCTGATTAGCATGATAGGCAAATGTTTACCAATTGACTGGTCTTTTGCATGATATACAAGGTTTATGCTTCTACTGCTCATTGTCATGATATACCAAGGTAATGCATTAACTGCTCTTTAGCTTGATATACAAGGTTTATGCATTTACTGCTCACTGGCACTTAAATACCAATTATATATACCAAGTATATGCACAGTGGCGGAACTACCTCAGTTGCAGGGGTTGCAATTGTGACCAGGCCCGTCATTCCAGGGGGCTCGGCCACTCTGTGGACCACTGCAACCGGTGTGCCTGCCTGCCATGCAATGGGCCCAGGCTCGCGCAGCCGGGGCTGCTATTAGGGCCACCCGATGGCAATGTATTTCCAGGGTCAGCGCTGCAGTGCTTTAACAGCGCGACCGGACCCCCTGTGATGATGTCAGATGCTGGGAGGAAGTGACAGCCCCAGTCACTTCCTCCCAGCAATTACCGAGAGCCGCGCGGGAGAAGAAGAGGAGGAGGGAGTCAGAGTTGGAACTCTGACTTCCATCAGCTTGAGTCAGCCACTAGACCCCAGGGAAGTCACCTCCCTGCACCTAAAAGGTAGGAAACAGGAGGGTGACTAAAACATTTTGCATGTGTGTCTGTATGTATGTGTCTCTGTACGTTTGTATGTGTGTGTCTATATGTGTATCTGTATGTCTGCATATTTGTATAACGGTGTCTGCCCTATGTATCTTTATGTGTGTCACTGTTTGTATCTGTATGAGTGTCATTCTGTGTTTCTGAATGTTTGTCTTTAAGTGTCTGTGTATCTGCAAGTGTGTCAGTGCATCTGTATGTGTGTCAGTGTTTGTATCTGTAGGAGTTTCATTCTGTGTACCTAAATGTGTGTCATTCTGTTTATCTGCATGTGTATGTGTTTATATATGTGTCTGTGTATCAGCATGTGTCCGTGTATGTATCTGTATGTTATATAGTGTATATCTGCATGTATGCCAGTGTGTGTTTGTTTGTCTGCATGTGTGTCAGTGTATGCACCTGTGAGTCTGTGTAACTGTCACCCCCCTTCACTCTGCCACACACAATAACTTCCCCAATCCTGTCACTCAGCCATACCATACTGACCTCCCATCGCTCTGCCATATTCACCCTATCACACTCATCTTCTCTAGCACTGTCCCACTCACCCCTCTCCCTCCAATCCTGTCACACTCATTCTCCATTGCTCTGTCACACTCGCCCCCTTTCATCCTGCCACACTCACCCCTCCAATTCCGTCATACTCATACCCCCAACCATGCCACACTCACCCTGTGTGTGTAAATGAAACACATGGAGGGGCTGGGGGGAGTGAATGTGACACATGGAGGGGCTGCGGGGGGCAAGTCGAATGGGGTGGCCCAGAGCAATTTTCGCACGGGGGACCCGTGGTTTCTAGTTATGCCGCTGTATAAGCATTTGCTGCTCATTGGCACGATATACCAAATACAGGGCCTGCGCCACCATTAGGCAAACTAATCATTCCTGGTGGGCTCCCCCTGTGTGGGGTGGCAGCGCTGGCCAAGTGGCTATTCAGCCGCCCCCAGCGCCGGGCCGATCCTCATGGCACCCAAAGGTGGGGGCGCCAAGAGGATCCCTGGCCACCTCAGGACGTTCCGATGCTGTGCTACAGTAAGGCAGAGCAGGCACCTGCTTTCCTTGATGGCAGGTGCCTGATCTGCCACTAAACACCGGTGACCGGAGGAGAGGGGATGGAGCAGGCAGGCATTGCGGCGAGGGAGGCTGTTCTAGAAGCCTCTCACTCCTCCCTTGCGCGCCCTCTGTGATGCCAGGAGCCAGAATATGACGTCATTCTGGCCCCGGCATACTAAACGGTGTGCTGGAGAAGTGAGGAGCTGCCGCACACTGGACCCCAGGGAGGTGAGTGTTTGACTGTCAGTGAGTGTATGTCTGTCAGTAAGTGTGTGTGTTTGTGTCTGTCACTGAGTGAGTGTACGTCTGTCAGTAAGTGTCTGTGTGTGCCTGTCAGTGAGTTTATGTGTGTGTCAGTGAGTGTGTGCCTGTCAGTGAGTGAGTGACACTGGGGGCTGCAAAATGGATCTTTGCCTTGCACCATGCATATACTGCTCATTGGCTTGATATACAAAGTTTATGCTATAATAGCATTCCATTGCTGGAAAATCCTTCACAACTCCTTTTAGTAAATGTTTGCTTGCTTGGGGAGAGCTTCCTTATTGATTAGTGATGTCCAAGTGGGCAGGGCTGCTCTCTAACCACTTTTCACATCTACATGCCCAAGTGCATCAACACCAGGCCCTGACTGGCCATTGGGCAAATGCCAAAGCCAACAGGGGAGATGATTTCATCTCACATGCCGGCCCATGGAGAGCCAGCCTTGCTATCTGCCTTTTCTGTCCTGTGGGGAGATCAAATATATCCTTCACCGGAATCTTGGCACTTCACTGCAGGAGAGGTAGGGACGAGGATCAGGGATGCTGTTTGTTCCTCCTGCGAGCAGACAGTTTGGAGCATTGCAGCGCGATACCATGGAAACGCTCAGTCATAGTGCTTAGTACTCAAAAAGAGTGAAGTTCACAAGCCACCACCGGACCACCAGGGCTTGCAATATCTACCTTGCCTGGCCAAGGGTGGGAAAACATCATTTATTTATTTTGAATAAAGAATACATACAAACTTGATTGCATCTCAACCCCCACATAACAAAGACCATATACACCTCTCACACACACTGCACCCAGTGTTATTTTCGGACACTTTGGTAAATCTCCCCTTTCATGTCAGTAGTAATAGCCTTATGGTGTGTGAGCAGCTTGGTTAACCTGGTCAGTCAGCAGACAGTACAGGTATAGAGGAGTGCATTATACCAGCTATATGTCCCACCAATGCTGGTACTGGGTGTAGTGCGGAGTTACTTCCTGCTGGGAATACACTAACAACACCAACGTTCCATTACAATAATCCCGCACTGTAAATGACGCACTAGTGGGCGGAGCCAAGCTCCCCCAGCCAAGCCCTCTCTAGAAGTTAAGAAGTACGGTTACGCATGCGCACACTCTTCCTCCGTTGCACCTTTAGAACGCCGGCCCGGGCTCTGGTTGTCCGGGTAACGCGCTCCTGGTCTGGGCTCATGCTGGCGCCGCCCTCTCCGGTGGGATGCTGCAGGTGACACGCTCTGAGGGGGAGGGGCGGCGCGCGACGCTGCGGGCAACGGCTGTTTCACTGTAACACCGGCGAGGCGGGCACGCGCAGCGCGGGACACAGACCGGTACCTGCCTCACTGTCACGCGCTGTCACTATAGAGCGCATAGCGCGTTAAAGGAGGGAGGGGCGGGGACACGGCTGTCAGTGCAGTGCCCGGATTGTGTGTGCTGTGATTGGAGCTCCGAGCTGGCTGGCTGTGGGGTAAGATAGTGTCACCCTCCATGTCACCCGGTGTGGGGGGCCATTCACACAGAGCCCGGGTAACCCGCAGCCCTGCTCCCAGCCCGGCATGCGGCCATTGTAGGGGAACTCCGGGGTCAACATCGCGCAATCAAACCATACATAACTTGGAGATTTGTGACTTATTTCTCTGTTTTTTGTCTAAAATTTGAAGTTCACTTTTAGTTGCCTTTAAATTCCAGACAATTGGTTTTTAACCTCCCCTCCCCATATGTTACTCAGACTGTGCCTGGCTGGACATGGGTAACACATTGCTGCTCTGCTTGCTTAGGTTTCATTTTTTTTGGACTTGAAATTTCATTTTATTGTTATTGTTATTTTGGCATTGAGTTTGAAATTCCCTCTCCCTGATAACACTCCATGTGTATAGTTTGTTTCCTGGGTAGTCTCCAGCATAGTGTGTGTTCTCTATTGCAATTAAACTTTTGTTGTGTTTTGGTATTTATGATCACAAATATTAATTCTTCTAAGGTTTTCTGGCTTCAAGGATCATCTGAGATAAAGATATGATAAACACATGCTTATTTAAAGCAGTAGTCCTTACGTTGGAAATTATTCAATAGGAATAAGAATTGAGCAGAATTTACTTTGGAAATTGTACATTTTATGCTAAAATATATTGCGAAAAAAAAATATAACCCATTTTGACAATTTACACTAAAACATGATATTATTTTATTATTTTTTTTATAGTGCTATCACATTCCGTAGCGCTGTACATTGGGACCCAAGGAGTGTATTTGTTAAAGAGTGAATTGTGATGAACTGATAATCAAATTGCAAGATGTTGGGAAAATGTCAAGAACAATATGGGCACCATAACAACTTCATCGGAATGAAGTTATGGGGTGAGGAGGTGCCTGGGCGCAATAGCAAACTAGTTTATCCCCAAAGTCCAAAATCCGGTGCCTGTCGGCTCTGCCCATTGGAAACCTCAGACTGGGAGCCGCTGAGAGTGTCAGCTGATGCTCCAAATCTTAGACTTTCTGGAGTGTCCTTTTTTTTTTTTAAAGGGACAGTCTATGCACATGAGGATATATTTGTTACGGGCCATTCGGCCATCCTTTAGTTCCAAGCCAAACATTTTTCAGAGGGCTTGATCGCAATGGATGTTACCAAGACACTCGTAGCCCAGACCACTGTTCGGTATTGGTAATACAGAAGTTCCTTTACTGCATTAACAATGTTTGTTTTATCCATATCTTAGAGGAACATTATAGCATTTGAAATACAAATCTGTATTCCTAATGCTTTAGTGTCACAGTCCCTACCGGTATTAAAGTCTATCCCCCACTATGCATATTAAAATGTAAAAAGGAATATAAAAGTTTTGCTCAGCTTTTTCCAGCGCCAAGATCCCCTTGGCACTGCTGACCTCTCGACCTCCCCTGATGTCCTCGAGGAGGCATGGCCTTCTCTGAAATTGTCCAATCCAATGTTCGTCATAGAGGAGCATTGGGGACCTAATGCGCATGCACAGAAAACACCATGCTTGTATTTAAACTTCCCCGTTGGAAAGTATTGAATCAGTGCTTTCCGATGGGGGCTTCTGCATCACCCGACCAGGTTTTACTTGGAAGTGTACTTAACCATGCAATGTAAAACAAAAAACCTGCAATGAGTAAAATTTAAGGGTTAAAGGGACAGGTCCACTGCACCCAGGCCACTTCATTGAGGTGAAGTGGTTTGGGGGCCTTATTTATGGCCCTGTTAAAGTAATTTAACCAGTGAATGGCTTTAAAGTAAATTGGTCATTATAGGTTGACTTTCATATCGATCCCTTCACATGCATTGAATAGGACAGTTTATATATCACAGAGATACATGATTCATTCAATACAAAATATAAACTCTCCTCTGATCCAGCGTTGCTATATCCTCACCTAAGAGGGTTCTTCACTTCTGTAACACCTGCCTCTGGTTTGTCTACGCTTTGCCTTTGCTCTCCTTTCATTTGCTCTAATCAGAGATGCTTCCCCAAACAGCGTCTGCTAGTGAGTTATTATAGCTATCACAGCAGTTTCACGGTGGTTGCCATGCCTGGAGATCATAAGGACTGCCTGTGGGAGGTCTGTCATGCTTTTCCTGTCAGTAAATTCTTCTGCAAAGCTAAATAATTGATAAATGACCCCCTCCCCCACCCCCATCAATATATAAATTTGCTAGGGTTTATGTGAGAGTTTTTTTTAAAGGCGATTATTACATGTATTTGGTTGAGATCATCAATGTTCATTATCTCAGCCAATCCAATGCTTCCTCACTGAGACGCATTGGGAGGCTAGTGCACATTGGTGGCTGTGTCATTAGTCAACCTGGAACTAGAGTACGGTACTTGTTAATGTCAATTCTGTGCAAATTTCACTGCACCAAATTGCATTCATTGGCTAAAGGGATCTGTTGACGTTGTAAGCCAATGAATGGTTGCAGCTTCTGCTATTCTGCCGAAGTCTGAAGCATATCAGTTGACCAACATCATTGGAGCCTGTAATGAACCCAGGTAATGGGTGAAACTGTGGCTTACCAGTTTTCCCCATTACCAAGGAACCAGACTAGTGTACGCCTCACATCTTAACTGCTACAGTGGTGTGTAGTAGTTTTGATGATTGGAGTAGCTCTTTTATCATCAGATGTTGTATAATGTTCTTCATTTTGCATTTTTGCAAGTATAGAGTGCTTAGCTATTTTCATTTATTGAAATTACAAATAGTGGTCTTTATTTGTTTTTATCTTGTGCTTGCTGGAGGCAGGACTATTTCTTGAAAGATTCATGACAGCTCGTTATAATTTAACTGAAAAAAAAAAAATGAAGATGGATGAGCACATCTCTAAGTGATACACTAGTGCAGGGCTAAACAACCTTCGGCACTTCAGATGTTGTGCACTACATCTCCCATATTTTTCTTACAGACATAATGCTGGCAAAGCATTGTGGCAGATGTAGTCCACAATATCGGAAGTGACAAGGGTTGCCTACTAGTGATTATTCCGTCCTGATTTGTGGAAAAACTCATGAGTGAGATTTAGTTCTAAATTAAGTTGTGCATCATTGTTTCAGAACTTTATTATTTTTTTTCAAATCATTTTTTAAAGTGTATTTTGAGCTTAATAATTGTTTTGGAGTTTCAACTGGCAACAAAAGTATATATTTTATAAACATAGACAGCTATAGATGTTTACCAATGAGCATTTTTGTATGTATTGTGGAAATATTTTGGATTGTGATTGGGATATGTTGGGTGTTGTCCTGCTGTGCTTGAAAGGTTCTTCCTTACATGTACAGTGTATTCATTTCTACATTTGATATGCAGAGAAAGATAAGATGTGGCATGACAATTCAACCGTGTAACTTTCATGTGGATGGCCTTTTAAACCCAACTTTCCAACCATGTAAAAGGTAATCGTTTAAAGGGTTAAACGCACAGTAATTGCCCCGGATACCAATGGAATGCTCCTGTTGATTTAATTGGCTTACATGGTGTCTGTTTCCCTTAACCCTTTTTTAACAAAGCCTAATTTTACTTGTTTGGTACTTAAAGACACAAGCTGTTTTGACTTTTTGGTAAAAATGAATGCACCTACACATATTACATGCTGTTTGTTATTTTTACAGACAAGACTTTCAATTGTTTAGATGCATAAACTGTTGCTTGTAGAAGAAGAAAAAACTGTGAATATATGGAGAGGTATATAGCAGTTTAATAGCAGTTACGGAAATATCAGTTGCCAGTAGATATCACCAGGTGTGTACCTGAGGGTTGTTTGTTTCATATGTGCTTCTTGTTTATGAAATCCCAAAATAGACCTCCCCATTTCATTTTATTAAGGTAAAATTTTGGCAGAAGGATTTGTTGGGCCTATGTTGGGGCATATTGGCTGTTTGTCAGTCCGTATTACCCTATAAAGGCTTACATGATATGAATATTGCTGCCATTTTCTTCACCACAGTGTTGCTCTTTGACCATTATGTTTTATATACTGTTTGGTTGTGGTGTTTGTGGAGAAACCCACAAGAGTGTTGCTATATATTGTAATATGCTTTTTTGCATTCTATAATAATTTAAAGCCAGAATAGCTGAATTGAAAGCCAAGCTGACTTTTTTTTCAGTTTGGTTATTTTGACTAAATTTCCAAGGGGTTAGTCACTCTGTGTCCGGATAAACTATGACCCAAAATGCAGCGTCTCAGTAAAGCAATATATAATCTAAAATAATTAGAAATATAGATATTATAAGGCCTTAGTGTGGCCATATTTTACGTAAATATAGAATGGTCCGAGACAATCTAAGGTAACAAATACAAAATGAGACCGGTTTGAGAAGACAGGCCAATAGATCTAGGATACCTGAAATAAGAATAGTTAATAACAAGCCAAGGTCAAAATAGCCAAATTGAAATTCAAGATAAATGCACTCTCTGAATACCAGTAAATGGAAACCACGACAGGGTACTGATGAAAATCTAAAATGTGTTTAAATATCCCTAAGATGGTAGAGATTGGTCAGAAATGCCATTGTGATGCCAAAGTATGTGTGTGCGTCTGTGATGCCCGCGTGCAATTATGTCAGCATATAGGTGAAGCTATAAACCGGCTCAGCCCTGAAGCGGCTGGCGCATGGGAGACGGCACATAACGGCATCCACCGTATGATCTGTATCCTTCTAGGGTTGTAGCTGCCCTGCTCGGCCATGTGATTGTGCCTCTCCTTCCTCTGGTTTTACAAGAAATGTACTTTTACGTGGAAAGCATGAGTCATCTCCAAATATTTTAAAGAACTTTTTAACTGAGAATACTTAAGGTTATCAAGAAAAGATCTCTTGGTCTTGAGGGTTCTTCTCAGAGTGGAATGGCAAACATCCATATTGCAAAACAGAAAGTAATGTAAACTACACCTTTCATCTGTTAGAGTGCATTTTGATGTGCAATCCGTTTTGAATGATGCCTTTTTCTCAGTATTGGAATGCAATTCTTGTATATGCTCCATAACGCACACTACATCTTCAAAACTTGAAATCCTTTACTCATGAAGAATTGGCTACTCTTTAAGTGATATATCAATTTGTTTTAAATACATATTATATATAAATATCTAGATAATAAAATGAATGAGCTGCAAATGATAGCCTTTTCCCTATTATTTTGTCCTATAGTTATTCATCTTAATTTTAATTATAGTGTGTGCATTGCAAAAGCCTATGAAACAATTTCAATGGGTCATGAAATTAAACTGGAGTGAAAGGGATTATTCTGGTTTTATTTTTATCTTGGACACACTAGCTCATAAGACTGTGAGCAGAAAGAAAATGATTTATTTTAGTATCTATTTGTAATTACCAAGGAAAGTAGTGCAAAAAGCTGCTTTAGATGAAAGTGTTCATTGTTCCAGTGAAAATGTGTGGAAAAGCCTAGCGCTTCTTTGTTTGGAATACCTATTTAACTGTACATTTTGAAGGACAAACTAAAGTCACTCAGGCCACTTTATCTTAATGCCATGGTCCTATAATTTTAACCTTTCCATATAAAAATTACAGTTTTTGTATAAATATCAGTTTTCATGGAAGGGTTAAATGCAACTCTAATGGTTGTCTTCCTGACCGTACTAAAGGGGCTTCTGCCTCTATAGTTAAACTTGGCTATTAAATCGGATTGTCTCAAAGAGATTATTGGATTGGCGCAGCGCAACATTTAGCTGTGCGTGCTGTCTATCCTCCCAATGTTTTTCTATGGGGAAACATTGGATTGGCTGAGATCATTAATCTTTATGATCTCAGCCAAGGAGGCGGAGCAACTGCGGGGAGATTAGCGTGGCAATGGGATTAAAGGTTAGTAAAACTCAGCTTTTCGAACTCTCACAACAGGTGGGCCAAAACTGTTCTTATCTGCCGTCACATTCTATGTTTCTAAAAGCTGCACATGTATATTTTTTCTTTGTTCAATACTGAACCAATAAAATCATGAGGAAATAGCAATGTGTTTGTTCTGGCAGTGTTTCTATTATAAAAACTGAATAGAAACTTGTTTGAGCAGGTCCCTCGTCTTCTACTGTTGCTATACGTCTAATTTTCTCTAAACTAAATGTTTGTTAGTATACCTTTTGTACAGCGATGCAGAATATGTTGATGCTATATAAATAACATGCTTTACTTTAAAGGGACGCTCCATTGCCAAAATTTAAAAACCACTGTTTAATACATATACTTCCAATGAAAACATGCATGTATGTAATTAAATATCTATCTATCTGGACCTGACAAATTTGCTTTAAATCTAGAAGTCTGTTAAAAATGTTAAGAGCCAGGTTTTCTTTAATCTTACAAAGCTTTATTTTTACTGCCAAAATTAAAATTCTTAAAGGGACACTATAGTCACCAGGATCACTACAGATGATTTAGTGGTTCTGTTGTCTATAGCCTGTCTCTGCAGGGTTTTCAATGTAAACACTGCCTTTTCAGAGAAAAGGCAGTGTTTACATTTCTGCCTAGTAACACAAGTAATGTCAGTCAAACAGATGGCCGCTAAAGTGCTTCCTATCTCAGCAGCACCTATATTAAGTGTATCCACACTCTGCATGGAGGCACTGAACATTCCCCATAGAGATGCATTGATGAGATGCTGATTGGTGCAGCGTTTTGGAGCACATGCGCAATAGCTTCCCAATACTTTTCCTATGGATATAATCAAGCTTGATGATCTTTGCCATAGAGGCAGGGCAAGACGCAGGGAGACAGGCACAGCATGGGGAAGAAAGGAGAGTAAAAAAAAAAAAAAAAACTAAAAAACATTCCCATGTATAAGGTTGAATCATGCGATCGGAGGGTGGCTTGTTGTCTGGTCATACTGTAGGCAGCTGGCAAGGAAGCTCTGCTCCTTCCACAGCCACTTAGTGATGCTGGGGGCAGAGTGACATCATAACCTGGATCAAGGCATCACTGCAGGGCGCTGGGGGAAGTACTGGAAGAGCACAGACATCAGAGCTCGCTGGCCGCCCGCCTTCATTCTCCCTTCCTGATACAGCACATTCAGGCAGAATATGCATCTGCTATCTGTAAAAAAAAAACAAACAGGTTGCCTAGGCTTGCCTTAGCACACAGCTGACCAGCTTTTGGCTCTCTTTTGTAAAATGAAAAGCAGATACACTCTTCATACATAAAGCTTTTCAGGGGGGGTTTCTTAGTTTTTTTTCTTGCCAGGTCTGGACGTTAAAATGAGCCAGTACAGCCTGTTGTATTAGTTATGATGCCAGGTTACCCTGGAGCCTATCCCCGGTAAGAAGGCAATCTTTCTTTTTTTTTTTTTTTTGTTTTTTTTTTTTTGCAACTTACCTGGGTCCCTCCGGATGGTAAGCCTCAGGGTTTGGGGCTGAATGGTATCTGGTTTCTGTAGTGCATCTCTTCTTAAAGTACATATTTCTCTTCATTCCAGTTTTATATTCCTTTTGTTGATAAAACTGGGGTTCGCCCTCATCATTGCAAATTGCATCAAACCTAGATACGTTGTTTGTCTGAGAGTGCAGGTTGTCAAACATTTATGTTGATATTCTGTCATTCAAATGTTCTTTATGCAACAGAGGAGAGGGTGGTCTCTGAATCCTGGGTAGGGGGGATATGGTCAACGTTTCAGCTCTTGTACAGATGAAAGCTCTGTACAAGAGCTGAAACGTTGACAGTTTGGAACTGTAAGAATAAAGAAGAACTTATCTTTTTTTTACCAAATCCTGGAGTGCCGATATTTCTTTCAATATTTATACTTTATGTGATCAGAGCATCAGGTATTTATTTTGTTAAAGTTGGAGTTCAGGAGCTTTGGAGAGAGAGAATTTGTTCAGTTCTTATTTGTCTTCAAACTGCTCCTAAACAGTGCTGACAGATTCTTGTAAACATAACCGAGCTGTAGTGGTTATGTTGCTTAGTGTCCCTTTAAATTACTTGTGGTTTGAAAAGTGATTTTAGCAAAAAAAATTTATGTGCTAAAATATTGCTACATATGAGCACAAGCTGGATAGCTATTATCATAGACCACAATCAATGTAGTTAATTTCACAAGTATAGAAGCCTTAGGTCATACTGTGATCTAATTCAAGCTTCACTTTCAAAGCAATGTCCTTGAAAATCAAATCTTAAAAGTGTACTTCAAATTGTAAAGATTGAAAAAATTATGTAAATCGTGCTTTTGTTGGCAGTATTTGAGAACCAACTATAAGAGGTTTGCGTGTTGCTTAATACCTCACTGTTTTGTGAATTGTCTCCTCATTTAATTTTTTTCCATGTGCAACACTAGTTCTTTATGTTTACAGGAATCAAATAACCATGAAGTGAAGATTCAAAGTACTGTATCACTCTCACAGAGAGTCCATCTGTACTTCTGCCACTACAGTGTACAGTCCACGAATAAGCTTCTCTCGACGACCTATGTTGAAGGTGCTTGCATTCCTGCAGAAAGGTGTATGCTTTAATACACAAACTCTAGTTTAATGACTGAAGAAGATACTCCGTTTATAATGGAGGATTATACCACCAGGACCTATGGAACAGGTGGCCTGGACAACAGACCTTTGTTTGGGGAAACCTCTGCTAGGGTAAGCATGCAATATATTTCTGGTATGTTTTCAATTCTATATATACATATATGGCAGGGGTGGTCTTGTCCGTAAGAGCCTCATGTTAACATTTAGAAATATTCAAGAGCTCCAATTTAATTTATTGGAGTATTCAACAGAATCAAATATTGTCTCATTTCAAATATTATCCCATGTGTCTCATTCCCACAGTCCTTCCAATGTGTCTCATTCCCACAGCCTCCTTTCCTTGTGTGTCTCATTCCTTTGCAGCACCTCTATTCATGGGTTTTATTCCCTCCCCACCATCTGTCTTATTTCCTTAGCACTCCCACCCTCCACATGTCTCATTCATTCTCCCAGTACCTACATTCATGTTTAATTCCAGCCCCACCATGTGTCTTACCCCTCCCACACCCCTTCCACATGTGCAAGCTTGTGTAAAGTGGTCGAGCCATGGACCCCAGTAAAGTAGCTTGTTTCCCTCCACTGGTTTAACAGGAAGCAGTTTGGCACCATCAGTTCACGGTTCCTGTCAGACCGGGTAGAGGGAAACAAGCTCCTCGTCTGCAGCTTGGCCACAATACAAGGAATAAATAGTAGGGTGGGAGCGCTGTGCAGTGTGCTCCCCTCCTGCTGCCAGCCGGATCAAAACCATGGGACAGTGTCCACAGACTACTTGCAATCCAACCACAACAGCATGTAGTGGTTCTGGTGTTTGTAGGCTGTCCCTTTTAAAAAAAAAAAAAAAAAAAAAAAACCTAATAGCAGCTGCTACCTGTTGGAGAAATTCAGCCCCCCAACCTTAACTAGACCAAAACATTTATGATTAAAGGGACACTATAGTCACAAAAACAACTTTAGCTTAATGAAGCTGTTCTGGTGTATAGATCATGCCCCTGCAGTCTCACTGCTCCATTTTCTGCCATTTAGGAATTAAATCACTTTGTTTAAATAGCCCTATTCATACCTCAAATACCTACTGTAAATAGGCATTTAATGTTTAAACTTACTTTATTGCAAATTCTGTTTAATTTAGAATTTATCTCCTACTCTGTTAATAGCATGCTAGACCCTGCAGAAGAAAGTTTAATTTACAGAGCAGGGGATAAAAACTTTGAAATGAAGTTACATGTGATTGAAAATGAAACCATTTTGTTTTAATGCAGGCTGTGTCAGTAACAGACAGGGGAGGTGTGCCTAGGGCTGCATAAACAGAAACAAAAGTGATTTAACTTATAAATGGCAGAGAATTGAACAATGAGACTGCAGGGGCAAGATCTATACACCAGAACAGCTTCATTAAGCTAAATTTATTTTGGTGGCTATAGTGTCCCTTTACAATATTACAGAGATGATATAAATGGACAGTATAACCATTATACAGCACTATGGCACTTGCTGGTGCTGTATAAATAATAATAAAAGGCAGTGGCAGGGTCATATCAGCAGATGAGCTCACACTGATCTCTCCTTGCATAAATTATGCATGCAAATGTTTTGTGAAAAGTGGGTAAGGTTATGCAGCTCAAAGCTGCAATTGTTTTTAATTTTTTTTAGAAACATTTATTGCAAATGACTATGGGAAAAAACTAAGCATGAATACGAGACCAAAATGCACTTGTGTTAGAACCTCAAATGTAACTATAGTGTCCCTTTAAGACAACCATATCTCAGAAGCACTTTGGCGTACCACCGATGATTAAGTCCTTTAATATTCTCTGTGCGCAAGTCTTTTGACTTCTTATTACCATAAAGCCATACTCGGCAGGCTTCTTTCCAATGATCTCCAGCTAACTTGTGCATGTTCTCTTCAATGATTCATAGAATACCAGAGTATTTACATTGTTTAAGTCTTTGTCTTTTTTGAAAAGAGCAGAGTTTTATGTTAGACCAGGCCTCCTGAATAGTAAATGGTTCTAGCCTTAAAGAAGTGCACTCCTAATAAGATCCTACCTCATCGAGTGAAAAATAAAATGCATGTTGGATGCCTTGTTTCTATCCCGATTTTGTGTTTGGAAGCATACCCACCTATTTGGGTGGTGTTAACTTTATTTGTTTATAATTATCTACATAATTATATAATATGATAAACAACGGCTCATATACCCTGGACAGTTTAGTTAACTGGCATATATGGCATGCACAAATCCAAGACCTGTTGAAAAATAAAATAAATAATTCAGTGAGACTTGGGTGTATCTGTAGGTCTATAATAAAAGCGGACTTGCAGTTTTGAAATCTATTTACTTAGAAGTTTAATTTGTATAAATGCCGTAACGCAAACGTAATTCCTGGCTCTGCTGTATCTGGAAGGGAGCTGAGATGGATCATTATACAGCTGATGTGAGTGACTATCCAGTCACAGTTTACATGTATTTTAATATTTCATTTTATGCTTTTTAGGATAGAATCATCAATATCATTGTTGGTGGAGTAACATCCCTATTCGCTCTAGTGAGTATGTTTAATTTTCTTTTTTTTTATTTATTTAGAATATGATACAGCATGTGAGCTGGTAAAATGAAGGAAACCATTAGGGTAATTTTTTTTTATTGTTGTCAAATATTCACTATTTGGAGTAAAAACTTTCAATTCCACTTCAGTTTACAGGAGTGTGAAAAAAAAAAAAAAAAAGTACTCCTCAGAGGCTAAAGCGGAAGCCCAATCTACTTGTCTTGACAAAATAAAGTAAATTACAAAGATTGGGATCCATACCCAGAGCCCAGACATTTACAGGGCTAATTGTTAAGCTCTGAATTTTCATAAATTAAATCTTAATGGAAACACTGAGGCAAAAATAGATGAACTGGTATCCTCCTAGCCACAACATGGCTATTTTTGCTCCCATTTTGCAAAAATTCACTTTTATGAATTACCCTGAGTGTCATACCTTCTTCACTGCAAACACTGCCCTTTCAGGTGCCTGAGAGTGATACGGGAACTTGAGAGATCTGCTAGGGCACAGGGGCCTTTATTTACAGAGGAAGCGTAGAAACCAGAAAGGAGCAGACAGGAAGCAGTGTCCGGTGGTCAAGGCTGGCAGCAAAGAAACAAGGTCAAGGGTCAAGCCAAAGGTCAGAAGTCATTTGACTGCCTCTCACCCCTTGCAGACGGAGCACCACTGGCTGTTTACAAGGAGCAGGCACTCAGTGCCATGCCAAAGACCCTGCCTCTTTAATTACTGGACAGCCCTCCTGTGGCTACATCAAAAGAATTGTCCATAAAATTAAGAGACAAGATCATCGCCCTTCACAAACAAGAAACAGGATACAAATAGATAGGAAAACACTGAAATGTTCCTAGAGACACTGTTGGAAGCATAGTTCGCAAGTTCAGAGTTGAAAGAACAGTGGTTACACTAACTGGATGGGGCAGAAAAAGGAAGCTATCAGTGGCCAGATTTCTGAGAAGGCAGGTTTAAAAAAAAAAAAAAGAGTGACGGAGGGCGGGGCCGGGCGGCCATGCTAGCAGGCTGCAAGTCACTATGGCTCCTTAGGAATACACAATTTTTGGTGAAAACTCACCTTACCCTGCTTGCAACACCCTGGAAGTCTGTAGTAAAGGTCCTGGAGTGTCCCGGTGCAGCTGGAACACCCAATCTCTGGTGATTCTGGGTCCTGGGGGCTGAAGCATACCCAGGAGGGGAGTGGAGTGGACGGCCGCTGCCTCGCTTTCTGCCCCGGCTGATATTAAACTACAGCGTACCTGGACCCCCCCGGTCCCGTTCACCCCCTCCCTATGGACCGGCGGGGGTTATCCCGGTCCCCACCAGGCCAGTTACCACCTATGCAGCCCAACTGAGCAGATCAACGCCTAAAGCAAACACTGCAATGCGGCCTTACCAAAATGGCCGACAGCGATTACACTAGCTACCAAGGATGAACCCTCTGTGGTGCGCTGCAGCATTGCCTGTGAACCTCACAATCTGAGCTGACATCGTGGGGATTTCCACATTGCCCTCGACCTCCACTGTGAACATTCCTGGAGTAAAATTAAAGACAGGCACGAACCACAGTGGTCTGTGATTCTTTTACTTACCCACACTGCGGCTGCAATCCCTAGGAGCGGGCGCGGTGCCTACCTTAAATGAGTGCACCTCACCAACGCTTCCCAAACCGATGCCAGCGAATAGCACTGGAAGTGCACTCAGGGAAATCATCCCCAGACGCCGACTCCATTTTACTGAAGCCCGCACCTGGACAATGTCACTTGGAAAGCACCTAGCCTATACCTGTTCAACAACCGGGAAGCCTGTTAATACTGGTAGGCAGACACTGCGCCCCTTGGCGGGACTTTGGGAATCAGCGGGCCACCTGGGTGCACAACCTTATGTCTTGGAATAGGCTGCCTCTCTTATCCTCTGCATCGTCAGAGCCAGCGGCAACCTCAATTTTAAACGATATGCAACACCTAAGGCACGCACCGTGTATTATACCAATGATAGCCCCAACAGTTGCCACTTGGGCTGCATTTACTGATTAGCATGCATACCCTCAGTTAATGTTCACGAAGAGTTTGTTTATTTTCATGCCTTCTGCTGACTGCTTAATATGTGACAACATGACTGGTGGTATCCTACCTTCATACCTATGTTGGCTAAGCTTATGACCTAAAAACTCAATAGAAATGTCAGTATGTTTATCTGTATTAGTATCTCATATGTCATAACTTATAACTGACAAATTAGACTAACTCTTGATGAAACCGTAAAACTTTAAATAGTGCTGTGAAACAGACATGTGAAGCTCTTTGCTGGATGATGTGTTCTGTTGATACTATTTGCAATGTCTATGATTATATGTGAAACCTGCAAAGCACTACAAAAATAAAGAATTATAATAAAAAAAAAATTAAAAAAAAAGTGACTGTCACGGCAAGGGTGTATAATTTATTATTACACTATGGAATATCATCATTTAATGTAATTTGTGTAGTAAATGGCACAAATTACAGACATGCTATGGCTGAGGTCAACAGGGGTTACATCTTTTGAAGCTGGGACCACCACAGAGGTCAGATGACAGAAGGGGTAGTGTGAATGGCATAGCAATGTGAAAAGGATTTTACTATATGGATGTGAAGTCTGCAAGGTGTGAGGTTCTACACTTGGGAAAAGTCTGAATGTCTCTTCATCCATTTGGCATGTACCTTGTAAAGGATAGTTCAATCCTTTGAAATGGTAATGGGATTCGTTTCATGAAGATCCTTGTGTTCCAGTATCTTATCCAAGTGAAACGTTCATACTTACCCACAGGTTAATAATTAAGCCTCATTTTTATTATATTTGGAATGGGACAAGCCCAATCTTTTAATTAAGCCCAAACATGAGTTGCACAACTTAAACCGTGTGGCAGGACTTGTGATGTCCGTCCTATTGGATCGTGGGCGGGTTGTGCAACATGTCTTTGGAATGGGAAAACAATAACAAATTCATAGAGGCAATTATTATTTCTGTGGCAAGTACAGTAGAGGAGATAAAACCAAAAGTCTGTATGTGGCTTGCTGGTTTCTGGAACAAAGGAGGTGGTCACTTAGTATCCCTATTGCTCCCCCCCCGGATGAGGCGTGGCAATTCATAGGGTATATCTCCTGTGATTCTGAAGGGTGTTTGTGTACTTGTTTGGGGCCAAGATCTAATTTTGAGTGAGTCACCATCTTTCCTTGCCAGAGACCCCCTGGACAGAAGTTGTACTTTGAAAACCTAGTGAGTAATTAGGACTTCTGTTTTTTTATCCTTTTTATTTTTACCTGTTGTTGGTGTAAATAATTTGTTTATGATATATTTTTATATGCACTGTGACCATTTTTTTTGCTCATAATAAACATTCATTTATTAAGTTCTGCCTTTGTCTGGTTAAGAATCACGTTACCTGAAGAGACTAGTTAGTATTTTTATAATTCCTTAAATATTGTGCTAAGTAATATTTGGTGGGTTTTATTATTGATTTACCTGGGGGACCAAGGCACCCCATTTATAAATTGTCTTGGTGGTGGCAGCGTTAAAATAGTAATAGTTATATTATTATGTTTAAGTGTGGGTGGTGTTAAAGGGGGATTTTGTCATTATTTCCGGTCTAGTGCAGACAAATAGTGAACGTTAACCCTTTCACCACCACAACTACGTCATGCGCACTCTTGGAGTAGTGTGCGTTCGTGACAGTGACTATGAAAAAGCTTTAGCAAGACTTACACCACTACTGACCCAAATGAAAAATTGGCTTCAATATGCTCAAAATCATATAAAGAAGCCACAGAAGTTTTGAGATTCTGTTTTGTGGAGCTATGAAACAAAACTGAAACTTTTCAGCCTAATAGATCAGCGGTATGTCTGAGGACGAATGAAGCATACGCTGAAAAGAACTCTCTGCCTGTAGTGAAGCATGGTGGTGGCTCGATGATGCTCTGTGGCTGCTTTGCATCCTCTGGCACTGGAAACCTGCAGCATGTGGAAGGCAAGATATACTACTTAACCTGTCCAAAACAGAACTTCTGGTCTTTCCTCCCTCAAGTGTTGCTACTCCCTTTTTTCCCTCCAAGTCAATGGCTACCATCAGCTCTACCTCGCAGGCTCACTGCTTAGGTGTTCTTTGACTACAGCCTCTCCTTCACCCCTCCTGTCCAATTAATCACCAAATCCTGCCACTTCCATCTCAGAAGCCCTATGTAATGCCTGATACAGCTAAGGTGCATGTCCATGCCTCTGTCCTCTCTCGCTTTTGCTACTGTAATGCGCTTCTCAGTGGTCTTGCGTATACCCAATTTGCCCCGCTACAGTCTACAATAAATGCGGCAGCGAGGCACATCTTCCTATCAGCCCATGCCTCCCCCCTATATTGGTTTCCCATAACATAAGTCTCAATTTAAAATCCTGGTACTTGATTACAAATCTCTACATAATGTTGCTCCGACCTACTTATCCTCACTAATACACAAATATGTCCCATCTAGGCCCCTACGGTCTGCCAAAGACTTACGTCTAACCTCTGGTGTTCGCATTAAAGACTCCTCTAGGGCTGCACTATTCCTATGGCGCGCCCTTCCCCTCTCTTTTAGACTTTTACCCAATCTCCGCTCCTTCAAAAAAATCTTTGAAAACTTACTTCTTCAGAAAAGCATATCAATTAAACTGTGAACAGCTTTCCTTCCCAGCACCCTGATTCCTTTCCTGCAACTGTCATCAAAACACAAAGTCCTCCGTGAATACTAACCTTGCAACCTACTTTTCTACCCTACTCTTACCCTTTGTGTCACTATACCCCACTCCCTCTGCAGGGCCCCCAATTCCTCGGTTCCTTTGTGTCCAACTCGACTGGTTACAACTACGTGTCTGTTAGCCCCCCATTGTACAGTGCTGTGAAACTTGTTGGCGCTTTATAAATAATAATCATCGAAGTACCAGGAAACCCTAGGAAAAAACGTCAACTCGTCTGTGAGAAGGCTTAAACTTTGGCTTCATTTGACCTTTCAACAAGAAAACAAATTCCACCAAAGCTTGGTTACAGAAGAAGACTGGAAAATTCTACAGTGGCCATCACAGTCACCTGAGTGCTAAGGGATTCAGGGACACTGCATCCAGGTCTTTCAATGTATATTATCCCTTTAAGACTCTCCTGGATATTGGAGATATAACGTCTGTAAAACCACTGACCTAAATAATGACACGTCATTTTCTGTAAATCACAACTTTAACTTTCATTTTCTCAGACGCTGTTGGGAATGTATATGTAATATCAGTGTGCTGACTATGGTGAATGAGGGGTGTTTAGTAGTACCCCAATTTGTAATTATTATTTTTAGCCGATTTACCCAATACAGTAAAGGAGGCAATCTGTTACCAATAGAACTTGCATTTGTTTTAATTGTCTGTAATTATGTGAGGTTGAATTTGTTTTTTCTATCCACACAGGTAACACTTATCAGTGCTTTTGTCTTTCCTCAACCACCTCCAAAACCATTGAATGTATTCTTTGCATTCTGCATAATTTTGTGCTCTATTACATGTCTCGTACTGGTAAGTATTATTAACGTGAAGTGCCGCCCCTCGTGTGCATACAGTGGGGTACCCTAACTGAAAAGCTATAAATATTTTGATGGATCACTAAATTCTGTGCATATGTGTGTATGAATGTACCATACTACTAGTGTTCCAATATACAGTGAGGGGAAAAAAAATAATTTAATCCCCCTGCTGATTTTGAACGTTATCCCACTGACAAAGAAATGATCAGTCTATAATTTTAATGGTAGGTGTATTTTAACAGTGAGAGACAGAATAACAAAACAAAAAAAATCAAGAAAAACTCATGTCGAAGTTATAAATTGATTTGCATGTCAATGAGTAAAACAAGTATTTGACCCCTCCGACTTGATGGCAAGACCCTTGTTGGCAATCACAGAGGTCAGACATTTCTTGTAGTTGGCCACCAGGCTTGCACACATCTCAGGAGTGATTTTGGCCCACTCCTCTTTGCAAATCCTCTCCAAGTCAATAAGGTTTCGAGGCTGACGTTGGGCAACTCGAACCTTCAGCTCCCTCCACAGATTTTCTATAGGATTAAGGGCTGGAGACTGGCTAGGCCACTCCAGGACCTTAATGTGCTTCTTCTTGAGCCACTCCTTTGTTGCCTTGGCTGTGTGTTTGGGGTCATTGTCATGCTTGAATACCTACCCATGTTCAATGCCCTGGCTGAGGGAAGGAGGTTCTCACTAAAGATTTGACGGTCCAACATCCCTCTGATGCGGTGCAGTTGTCCTATCCCCTTAGCAGAAAAACACCCCCAAAGCATAATGTTTCCACCTCCGTGTTTGACAGTGGGGATGGTGCTCTTGGGGTTATAGGCAGCTTTCCTCCTCCTCCAAATACGGCAAGTTGAGTTGATGCCAAATAGCTAAATTTTTTTATCTCATCTGACCACAACACTTTCACCCAGTTCTCCTCTGAATCATTCAGATGTTCATTGGCAGACGGGCCTGTACATTTCTTGAGCAGGGGGACCTTGCGGACGCTGCAGGATTTCAGTCCTTCACGGCGTAGTGTGTTACCAGTTGTTTTCTTGGTGACTATGGTCCCAGCTGCCTTAATATCATTAACAAGATCCTCCTGTGTAGTTCTGGGTTGATTCCTCATCGTTCTCATGATCATTGAAACTCCACGAGGTGAGATCTTGCATGGAGCACCAGACTGAGGGAGAGTGACAGTTATTTTGTGTTGCTTCCATTTGCGAATAATCGCACCAGCTGTTGTCACCTTCTCACCAAGCTGCTTGGCAATAGACTTGTATCCCATTCCAGCCTTGTGTAGCTCTACAATCTTGTCCCTGACATCCTTGGACAGCTCTTTGGTCTTGGTGGAGAGCTTGGAATCTGATTTGCTTCTGTGGACAGGTGTCCTTTTTACAGATAACTAGCTGAGATTAGGAGCACTCCCTTTAAGAGAGTGCTCCTAATCTCAGCTCGCTATATGTATAAAAGATACCTGGGAGCCAGAAATCTTACTGATTGATAGGGGATCCAATACTTATTTCACTCATTGACATGCAAATCAATTTATCCATGTGTTTTTCTGTTTTGTTTTTTTGTTTGTTATTCTGTCTCTCTTTTAAATCATTCTTTATTTTTATTGTGCGTTATATATCAAACAAGCTTGGTTAGACATTTCATAGTAGTATAGATGACAACATACATAAAGATGTAGGTTTGACAGGAAATGTCAAAAACACTGCACATTTTATAGTTAACGCGAAAAAACATCAAGAACACAATTCTATAGAGTTAACAGAAAGAATGTGATAAGATATAGGTTAGAACAGTAGTTAATTGTAAGATATGATTACCACTGGGTGATAAGGTTCAGCTGCAGAAAGGATACCTTTGTAGAATAAAACTTAAACCTCGCTAAAATTTATGCCCTATACTGACAGACTGATAATACAGAGGCTAACAGCTCAGGATGAGGAACATACTTTTGTAAAACAATATTAATGTTGGTGGACATGCACTTTTAACTGCTCCTATATCACAAATTGATTAAGACGATGTAGAAAAGAGAAGTATGGCAGCCCCCCGTGAGAGACCCCCCCACCAACTCAGACCTTCGCTGTGTCAGATAAGAAAATTGGTGTGAAAGTCCCAGCACACTGACAGGTTCCTCAGAATCCGCTCCACCAGCCCTAAGCCCCATTAAAGGTGCCCCCAGTGCTGGCAGACCACTCTCGAGGGTGTTTGGTTGCAATGAGCAGATCTCCCCTCCACTAGACTCAAGCCTCAAGTAAGGGAGGGCAGGAACCATTTGCAGATGTCTAGTATGCGCAGAAATATTGCCGGCAGCCTCCACTTCCAAGCCGAGGTACAGTGATGCCATGTAGCGTCTGCATTTGCCTGAACAGAGCCCAGGAGATGCCATGAGTGTATAAGGGAGCTCCTCCACCGGATGGGTGAGGGATCAGATCCCACAGGGCTGCTGCGGTGGCCATCTTGGAATCTCAGCACTGGAGCTCGGGCTGCATGCCACATCGATGCCAGCTGCTATGCCTTCCAGTGGGGACCGGGATAACCCCCACCGGTCCAAAAAGGGAGGGGGGACCAGCGGGATGGAATCTCAGGAGCCAATGTGTTGCGATCAGGCGCGAGAGTAGAGAGGCAGCCGTCCACTTTGCTCTCGGCCCAATAGGCCGCAGGCCTACAATCCCTTCTCTGGGCTTCATAATCAGCGGGGATCAAATAATTTTTCCCCCTCAATGCATGGTTAGATGTTCCAACTGTTTTCTTAAATGTCAAGGCAACTAAGACCTACAGTCACTGTGCAGATTGTATTTATTGATCTCTTAAATTAAAAGGGGCACTTTGGGTTGACGTTTTATTCTATTTATAATTTAAAAAAAAGGAAATAAAAATATGCGGGTGCTGCAGCTTTTACAATCAGCTCTTACTAAACAAAGAAGTACCTCCACCAATAATGATCAATTTTATTGCAGCAATGAGTAATGCTGTATTGGCAACACACTGGTTTCTTGAAGTTTAAGTTCAGTTGTGGCTTTATAATATTATTGTCCTGACACCCTTTTCAGTAAAATGGAAAAGCACTGCACTGTGGGTGGAAACAACTGAAAAAGTGGGCTTGTAGAGTAAAACAAAAAAAGCTATCTTTCACAACTGTAACCTAAATTTTTATTAAACCTAATGTAACAGTTCACCAATGTATTTTTTTTTTAATGATTACTTATTCTTTATAATGGTAATATGGGTTACAAGGATTATATGGGGATTAGTTAGACTAAAATATCCAAGATGCAGCTATAGTGGTGTAGGAGAATATTCCTAAACTATTGTTTTGGCCTTAAAGGATCACTATAGTGCCAGGAAAACAAACTTGTTTTCCTGACACTATATCATCCTTAGGACCTTCCCTTGGTGCTGAAGGGGTTAAAACCCCTTCAGTTACTTACCTTAATTCAGTGCTGGTGACCTCTCCTCTCCCACCAGCTCCTGAGTGGAGCGGAATGCGCATGTGCACATTCAAACAGTCCATAGGAAAGCATTTTTCAATGCTTTCCTATGGACATTCTGCACGCTGAATGCGATTTTCGCATCCAGCTTCGCAGAAGCGCCTCTAGCGGCTGTCAGGAAGACAGCCACTAGAGGCTGGATTAACCCTGCAATGTAAACATAGCAGTTTCTCTGAAACTGCCATGTTTACATCTGAAGGGTTAAAACCTGTGGGACTTGGCACCCAGACCACTTCATTGAGCTGAAGTGGTCTGGGTAACTATAGTGTCCCTTTAAGTGTGCTACTCGCAACAATATGCAGACTGTTTCATTTACTTCAGTGTTGTGGTGAGGCACACCACCATCCAATTTTCACAACTTATCTAGTTTTTGTAGTGGAGGAGGTACACACTTTTCCCCCAAGTTCTCTCCTGGCCCATTTAGTATTAGTTTTTTGATTATGATAAGTGAGGCACAATAACTGGATATATCCTGTCATTGTTTTAAATAGAACATGTAATCCACTTGTATGTACAGTATTCTGGGTTCATCCAAACCTGATTTGGGAAGAAGGTGAATACCATACTCATACATTATCAATTTAAAACAAAATACTTTTTTTGTTTTACACACATTTGTGCAAAACTGGAACTGACTTTTACTTTCAAAATATTGATACATTGATTTAGATGAGACAAGTAAATTTTAAATTAAACTGAACTATAAAAATATTTAGGTCAAAAATTGCTGCTGTTGCTAATAGCAAATTGAATATGCAGTAATAACACTGTAGGATGTTTTTAGCACATGAATAATTTTTATAATTTTCTTCATGCTGCAGATTTTTTGGTACCGACAAGGAGACCTGGAACCTAAATTTAGAAAATTGATCTATTATATTTTATTTTCTATTGTCATGTTATGTATATGTGCCAACTTATACTTTCATGATGTGGGGAAATGAAACATGGACAATAGCAGAAAGCCTGTTCCAGAGCGTTGTGATGAACAGAAGGACACCTCGTGGATCAAACTATGGAGTTGCAGTTATCCCTTTTTTGTTCTGAAGTGACGATGACTTACTGCCATAAGAGACTAAACCCCCACTTTTTTTTTCCTCTTTTTTCTTTTATTTAAAAAAACAAAAAACTAAAAAAAAAAACACCATTGTTGCACTTAAGACATTCTGGTGAAAGCACTTTTGTTTCTGAAATTCTGATCAATTCCGGAAGAACAACCTTCAAAGGCATTATGTCAAGTGTGTTTATTTAGTTTAAATATAACAGTTTGTTTTTACTATGCAACAGATGCCAGTAAGTACTATTTCACATTACCAAAACTGTAATATTAGGTTATGAAAGACATTTTGAATGAAGGTTTAAATAAATAAAAGAAAATATTTACATGCCATTTTGTCAGTTATCTTTGAAAAGGTCTACAAAATGCCAGCACCTATCTTATGGGGGAAAACCATACAAGAAAATAAATATATTCCAACAATACTTCAACTACATGAAATCAGACTAGCACCTTTGGCAGATTACCACCCATCCCAAAGTAAAATGATCATACAAAGTGGACTCTTTGGTACTATTGGTGGTCTGATATATTTATATATTTTATGTACCATATTTTAATGCATCAACACTGCAATTTTGGGACTGTAAAAAGTGGCCCTCTACCACAGTTTAAACCACTGAAGAACCCCACTTACATTCTTTGCTGACATTACAGTCTACTCCCCATGACCTTATACAAGCAGACATTTCATGCATATTCAGTATATACAGCTGTTTAACACCCTGCTATGCTAAGGAAATGTTTTATTTTAGATTCCAAAATTATTAGATTGTTTTGACAGCATAAAGTGCAACTGTCACTTCTCTGGAAATTACACCCTTGAATAAAACATTGAACACCACATAAAAAGTTAACCAGTTATAGGTGACTTTCCATTTTCTTTTAAAATGTATATACTCTGGGCAATTAAGTTTTTTATGGTACCAGAAGGTTTCTGGCACTAACTTACATTTAGGGGTTAAATCATTCATGAATGGCAGCAGTCCAAGACTTATTTGAGAAGAATTTCTGACCGCGGATGAGGACAAAGAACCTGCGCCACAGACCAGATTTGGGGTTAAACCATTCGTGAATGGTTTAACCCCTAAAGGTAAGGAAGCAGCCGGATATTACTCCCTCTTTGCCTTTTTATAAGTTTTTGCTTGGTACTAGATATCAGTACTTGGGAACCTTCATCCTATGTTTGTCTACCGTTTTCCATTCTTCTGGGATTCCTTTGATGGATTGTAAGTAAATTAACTTAGCAACTAAAATGGGTCACAAACTCTCTATAAGAAAAAGTAGTCAACCCATTTTACGTATAGCTAAACCTCCAAAATGAATTTAAAAAAATTTCACAAGGGAAAATGGGACAAAACAAGATTATTCTACAAACAAAACGTTAAGGTCCATGTGTTTAAGGATTGTCTTGTGAGACAATTAGGAAAATACAGCTGGCTGAAAGTGCAATAGAAATCTTCTGTTTAACTTGTAAAAGAGTGGAAAAAAATAAAAATTGCAAAGACAATTTTGTCTTTAGAAAAAGTAAAAATTAATATACTTTTATCAGATGAGCAAAGCCCATCTTTTATAAGAAATCTGGACCTTTCATGGTTTTCAATAGAAAACAAAGTGAATCAAATTACCACATTTAAGAAAATTCTCCAAATGGGTCTAGTCCATGACCTTTGCAAGTCTGAACACAATTTGAATGGTGGCAAGCTATGGACTAATCTGACAGGAAATCTCAATCTGATCTGGCTGCCAGTATCACAAGGTCACAGTTTTCTGCACCTGTATGAGAGGTCATAAAACAACTCCACTTTAAGTTAAAAAAAAAAAGTTTAATGGTTGTTATAGTTAAACTTGTTTAGAATAAAATCTACTGAGAATGTTGACCTAGATATTTCTAAGTGTCTGGTGGAACAGTCACTTTTAGGCTCCGTCAATAAATACATTTTACAAATAAAAGTAAATTCGTGGGGGTGGGGGTGGGGGAGGTCTCTGCATATGCTGCTAATTTTAGTGTTGAACTTTAAGTTAATTATATTTTATACTGATCACAACCTATAATGCAATATCACTACCTGTAATTATGACCATGATAAAGATCTGCTGCTTAAATAGTTTGTCATTTTGCCATTACCATAACTGTATCTTACACCAATGGGGAATTAAATTACATAAATATATTATTTGTGTGAATATCATCTTATTGTTTACTTTTTAGTATCTCACATCATGCAGACTGCATGTGTTTGCAGTGTGACCTCAGTTAGGCCCTGTAACATTACATTTTCTAATGTGGTTAAAGGGTAACGCTAAGCACCATAACCATTTCATACAACTGAAAGGATTGGGATTCACAAATACGGTTCCTGTAGTTTCTTTGCATAGTTCACATAAAGTCCTGTAGATATATGCATTTATATAGGTGCCCTGCCAGACACCCACTATAACAATTTTCTCTGAACTTGATCTATATTTCCTATTCAGAGCGAATTCTATTGACTGCCTGTAACATAACTTGGAACAAAATTGAATCTCTCACGAGCTTGCTGCTTACACGATACTCACTAGAGAGATCCATAACCAGACAGGAAGGCCCTGCTGTTTGATCAGAAAAGGCTATGTAAGCAAATGTTAATCAGTGACATCTGTTGTTAAAGCTGACCCAAAGTACTAACACCGGGCTTTATACAGACCACACCTTCTTATGGTCAAGAATATAAACCTTTCCAAAATGTCTATTGCACTTAGTACTTTACTTCAAAGTGAATTAAAATGCAGACAAAGCAAGGAAATCTTGTGGTTTTGTAAACTTCCTCTAATTTCCAATCTGTATGCAGCTAAAGGAAACTGGCTTTCCTAAGATATTTAATCTAGGGAGAGTGCTGGCCAAAGCAATATGTGTCCAGTTGTAATACAATAAGCTGGTGATATGAGGGCATTTAGAAAAATAGTCAACTCATTTGAAACCACCTGGGGTTGCCATTCCCAAGAAAGCACTTGGAGGTGGGTGGAATGGATGCAGCAAGGCCCAGTAAAGGACCAGTGAGTAGGAATGGAGGAATGCACTGTTAAAGATCTTCAACATCTTTTGAGTCATCAGAGTCTGGTCCATCTAGAGATGAGTCGTTCAGGTTTGGTCTCTCACCATGATGTTGCAGAATCGGATCTTAGATTGAAACAAATAAAAAGTTAGTGTTAATGAAATTGGCAATATAAATATTGCTCATATTTGGAAAGGACCTTGATTTGTGAGGGGAAAATAAATAAATAACAGTTAAAAAAATATATTTATATAATATGTTATTTATTCCACATTTTACAGTAGGTACTTCTGTTTGCAAGAGTCATAATTTTCAGATATTAAATTGAATTACAATATGGTGCAAACTAATACATTGAAAGATTGTGAACTTTTATCAAATCTTACACTCTACAGGAAAAATATTGCTACCTTGAGCTCTACTATATGACTAATGTCTATATACAAAATGAGCAACATCCCATTTTCATGTATCAATAATGATACAGCATGCTTTCCATCTACATACATTGTTTCCTAAAGCAGAACATGAACGTGAAAAAATATATTTTATTTTACATTTTCTAACTTTTATTTTTCAGTTATATTAACAAAAACACTATTTATAGGAAGCATGGTCATGAAATACCAAGGTGGATGCCTGGCACATATGGATCACAGGATTGGTGTTCTTCTCAAACACTCAATTTATGGCAACAATCGTGGAAAGGAGTGGTGTCCTAATATAAACATCCCTCATCCGCACACAAAAGGAGAGAAGAGCAGCATTTCACTGCTTTTACCCATCCTGTTAGTTCACTCAGTGTATAGGGAATGGTAATTAACACATTCTGCAGATGGTATCCACAATTGCTTTCATTTACCACAAATATAAATGCTAACTTACACATTTTGATGATAATACTGGGATTTTTATAGCAGAGGGCTACTGCCAAGATGCACCAAAATAATATAATTTCCCACTAATATGTAATGGAGATAACTGTTGGGCTCTAGGTCAGTGACGGAACCACAGTGCTCATCTTCTTTGCAATAGTAGTGTTACTATGGGTGGACTTTAAGGATTAAACCCCTGAATTGTGGATGTAAAAGCCCTCTATCACATCAGGACTAGGGGTTATTAAGCAGCAACGTCAATACCATTTCAGTATTGCATCACAAAGCTTTGCATGCCTAGGCCCACCCTGACCCCCACAGTTCTCTGCTTTTCCCTTTACTACCACTTCTAAGCACGTGGTCACAGCAAGATAATGTGCACTGCATTATCCTGCACATAACAGTGAGAAAAGATATTACTTTGCAGCAGACGGACAGGTTGGAGGACTGGGCACTCAAATAGCAAATGAAGTTTAATGTAGAAAAATGCAAAGTTATGCAATTTGGGATAAAGAATGCACAAGCAACCAATACCTGAAATGGTAGTGAATTAGGGATAACAACACACAAGAAGGATTTGGGATTAGTTATAGACAACAAACTAGGCAACAATGTGCAATGTCGATCAGCAGTGACCAAGGCCAGTAAGGTTTTGTCATGTATAAATAGAGAAATTTATTCTCTGGATGAACATGTAATTTTGCCTCTTTATAAATTACTGGTAAGACCACACCTTGAATATGCTGTTTAATTGTGGGCACCTGTTCTAAAGAAGAATATTATGGCACTAGGAAAAGTGCAGCGGTGGGCTACAAAATGATTAAAGGAATGGAACATTTTAGTTATGAAGGAATGTTAAATTCAATCCTCTTTAGTTTAGAAAAATTGTGTCAAAGTGGATATGATAGCATTATGCAAATATATCCAGGGCCAATACCAATCTTTGTCTGGAAATTTATTCACACACATTACTATACATAAGACAAGAAGTCACATGTTTAGACTGGAAGAAAGGAGATTTTGTCTAAGACAAAGGAAAGGATTTTTTTTGTTTTTTTTACAGTAAGAACAATAAGTATGTGGAATCCTCTGCTTAAAGAAGTGGTTTTAGCAGATTCTGTACAGATGTCTAAACAGCAACTGGATGCATACTTGCAAAAATATAATAGTCAGGAATATAATTTTTAAATTGTGTGGTATTAGCTTCTTGATCCAAGGATAAATCTGACTGCCATTCTAGGGGTCAAAAGTATTTTTTTCCTAGCTTGTTGTAAAATTGAAAGTGCTTCGAACTGGGTTTTTTGCCTTCTTTTGGATCAACAGAAAAAAACAGATGTGAGAAAGGCTGAACTTGATGGACTAATTTTTTTTTCAGCCTGTAACTAAAAAAACAAAATTAAAACAAAAGAATGCTCTAGGAACATGAGACAGAAGACAGAGAAGTAAATGTTTACAATACCTGCAAGTGTTGTAAGGGGAAGCACTGACTCGCCATCAATGTCATCAGTCTGAATGTAACTATGGGACGATGGGACTATAAGCAGTGTTCCATTTTCAGAGATTTGCTGACCCACTTGTTCTTCTAACATAACAGGCCTCAGACCCTACACAACATTTAAGAAGAGCAGTAAAAACAGTTGCACAATAATTATACAAATGAAGAAACTGATTTTTTTAAAACTTTAAAAAATGTGGAATAAGAGATACTACTTTTTCTTATAGTAATCATGATAGTAGTAATTTCTTGTCTTCTTTGCACAATATGAGAAGAAAACACTATAAATGATAGATTTCCTACTGTGCCTTTAAAATGCTACTGACCACAAAGTCTGCTGGATGCAAGAATTGTTGACCTACTCAAAAAAAACCAAACACTTAAAGGAACACTCCAGGCACCATAACAACTTAATCGAAATTAAGTTGCCTTGGTGCCAGGAGGTTGGTGGCAGACTTTGGGGTTGAACCGTTCAAGACCGTCTGGCACCATAACAACTTAATTTCTGTTAAATTGCTATAGTGCCCAAACTGGCACTTGAAAAAGAATAAATCATATACATACATGGAATATGAATGGAAGAGGAGTAACCAATACTGTTGCTGTTCTCCTACTCATTTGCATGGAATGCTCTTGTAGTGCCTGAACTGAATTGGACTGTATTGTACTAGCATTTATTAAACCTGTAATATACATTGTAAAACAGAATGGAGCATTACATGACAAAAGGGTAACATGAGTTAAAGGATGATTTCACGGTTTCATCGCATGTTCTAATTTCTAGATAAGTGTCAGTTCTGCTTTAAAATAGCACACAAATAGAAAACAAACAACAAAAGTTAGAGAATAGCCTAATTTTCTAGCATGTCACAGTTAGATTCAATAATACATACAACTATTAAATTATCAAACTGTATGAATAGTGAGTTCATATTTAAAGGGTCCCCCTAAAGCTTACAACTTTAACACCCATTGTAAAGGACATGGTTATAGTGTCTTGGATGCCACCCCTCCCAACAACCCTAACCCCCAATTTGTTTAAAAATCTCTCTGCTGCATCTTAGCTAATGCAAAAGTGAGTTTCTACACTAGCCATCCAACGTTTGGCAGACAGGATACAAAGCAAGAACTGGGGGTGGTTAGCCTAGTCATAAGTGAACTTCTGCATCAGCAAAGCACAGCAAAATTGACACGACAGCCCACACAGTGCATCTTAATGCTAGAATATAATTTACAACAAACGGGACGATTCCTCCCACTGATTCTTTAGCTCATTCCCTATATGAGCTGTTGAGTTTGTAGTGTACCGAGTGCCTCTCTCTGTTCTTCCTTGAAATAAAAGCAGTTTGTCTGTGTGACGGTCCAACCCTCTCTGACCGTCTTGGTTCCCTTTCTCCCAGTAGTTAGTGAATAATCCTTCCAGGCAGAGTGTAGACACAGGCATAGCATAACCCTCCACATATGAGCCGAGGCTTAATGCTGGGTAGAGATCTGTTTAATGGCACACAAAGCAACAGTATTCATGCAGTATAACAACTCCTTCTTTGAGGAAAAACAAAAAACAAAATAATGACAGTTATTGGGTCAGACCGTGTTTGAATGTAACAAGGTATTAAGGGTTTAACTGGTGTTCTAGGAGGGGAATAAAACAGTCAAACTAAGTCCATAAAACAGGGGTTTTCTTCACAGCCCCGATCTGGGTGAACAACATATCCAGTTAAAAGTCCAAGCGGTAGAAACAGTGCCTTTGAAATCCAATATGCCCAAATAGTGTTTTTAAAGGGCAATATATCCCAGGGGCCATAGTCACAGGGCAAGAGGCTGGCAAGCAAGCCTCTCCAAGTACAAGTGGCGAGGTTACTTTCGCCACAGTTTGTAAATATATCGAACTTTTTCAATTAAAATAGATACACCACACATCACTCTTTTATTTATTTATATAATTATATAAAACACGACAAGCTATTAGATAAAACAAGATGAAAAGTTACGGGGCGTGGTCTAACTGCCGAGCTGGAAAGACGCACCGAGAAACAGCTCCTGACCAAAATCGACAAAATCAGGGGTAAATACCCCGAAAACCGGAGCAGTCACCGGCAGGAGAGCACGCGACATGCCGAGAGAATCCGGCGGCATCTAATGACACCACAAACGGGACGCACACTTCCCGGGAACCCGCAAAAGCAAATTCGGCCTACTCGCAACCGAGCCAGGGTGAGGCGGCTGCTCTCCCCGATGGCAAAGCCACGCACAGACACCTCGATACACTCACCTCCTTACCCCCTCCCCACGGACCGGCTGGGATTATCCCGGTCCTCACTGGACGTCTAGGGCGGCCTGTCAAGGCCTTACCACAAGCATGAGCCTGAAAGACAGAGGGGCAGCCCTTCACAAGGCGCATCCAAGATGGCGGCGGACAGCATATCGCACCAGCAGAGCATGCTGCTGACACTACAACAGCAACAGTCTGACCTTCCGCAGCGACTAGAGGCGATTTTCAACCGCTTCTGGGACAAGCTCAGGGACCGGCAGTCAGCAGCCCAAACCGACATGCCTGAACCACAGAAGGCAGGTGAGCAGAAGCGCAGACAGCAGGGAGTGAGGGGCAGACCCTTGGGCGCAAAGCAACCGCATCCATTCACCCACACTCTACCTGGCCCACCCGGGGTGCAGGCCACTGGGCTGATAACCCAGACGCATCGCCCACACGTACAGAGGCATAAACAACGCAAGCGACAGAAGACTACAAGACCCTCCGTCACTCCCACACATGGAGAAAACTCGGGCCCCAGAGGTGACCGAGTTTGTGGCCAAGAGATGCAGGCCAGCACACCAGCCTGGAGCTGGAGGGACACCTTCATCTACATCTGCACAGAAGGGGACTGCAGAGACCCACTAAAGGGCCCCTAAAAAAGGCATCAGATGACGATGATTCTACCTGAGACCCCATTAACCCGCGGCAACACGACCACTTACTAACATTGGAATACTTCACAAACAAGACTGTGGAGCTTAATGGGCAGCATGACACACAAGTTGACCCCAGATCACAGTGAATAATTAACCTGTCTGGCGGGCATAACTAGTTCCGGTTTAGACAGTATGCACCCTGCCATGCTTTTAGCTAGTCATGTAACTTAACACACACGGAGGTCAGGCACTATGTGTTTATTTTATCGCCTACCAAGGAGCTCCTCATAATCTCACCACCCATATCTTACCAGTGGGGGATTGACGCCACTGAATGCTATGAAAACTTGAGCTAGTCCATGCTCATGAATAGGTGAGTGGATTATCTGCCATTTGATTTTTATCTCTTAACTCGTCGATTTGCAATCTGCACTATTGGAGTATTTTTGTCTCTTTTACATATCCATATATCTACAATTGGACTGAGACACCTTCAGCTCCAGAAGATCCAGCTACTCATTGGACTCACTCCATATTCAAGCACTTTTACAGGTGTATTTAAAAGACATTCTAGTACTGGGACTATTATTTTATTTATTCTCTTTACATATATATATTTATTTTACCTATTATTTTCATGTCCCTATAGCGCGACCTATATACCATTTGTCTGTTAGCGTATGCATCCGCCTAGTTAGAATCAATGTCCTAAACCTAACGTCATTAATTATTAAAAATGTGCAGTTATTGAATGCCACAATACTGTTTACTCTGTACACCGTCCTACGCTTGCATCTGCTGTTGTGGCAGCGCAAGGCTGTTTGTTACACCATGCACTGCAAAAATAAAAATATTGTTAATAAATAAATAAATTTTAAAAAAATAAACAAAAAGATGAAAAGTTACATTAGATTTACTGCAGCCAGCTTTCCTAATGGTGTAGTGCCTTAAGTGGTACTGTGTCTTGTGTGGATTTGCATGTTCTCCAAAGATCATATGGTGATATGTCTGCTTGCCTAGAAGGAAATAAACTTACCTAAAGTTCCATGTTCCATTTGTTCTATCTATTCAGCTTCCATTGATAAGATCTGAGCCATGTTTTTACTCTAGAGCAGTGTTTCCCAATTGGTGTTTCGTTCCGTGAGAACAATATTGGGGTTCTGTGGCATTTTACCACATCCAACATGGCCGCCGCTACCTGATGTTCCCGGAAGGTCGGAAACAGCACAGATCGCGCAACCGCGATCTTAAGCCCGCCCTGCCTTCAGCCAGCCACTTAAGAGACTTAGCTCGTCCGTTAGCCAGCCCTGCCATCAGCCATTTTCTATCACTCATGGTAGAGGAGTGATAGAGAGTGGAGCTGATAGTTAAAGCTCTCTTATTGTCAGATAGAAAGCTCTGTTAGGTAGGGACATAGAAATCTGTTAGGTAGGGAAGTAGAAATCTCTGTTAGGTAGGGACATTGAAAGCCTCTGTCAGGGGCATTGAAAGACTGTCGGGGACATTGAAATTCTCTGCTAGGGACAAAAGGCTCTGTAAGGCATATTAAAAGGCTCTGTCAAGGGCATTGCAATTCTCTGTTAGGGGCATTCAAAGACTCTGTCAGAGGCATTCAAAGATTGTCAGGGACATTGAAATTATCTGCTAGGGACATCAAAAGGCTCTGAATGGCATATTAAAAGGCTCTGTCAAGGGCATTGCAATTCTCTGTTAGGGGCATTCAAAGACTCTGTCAGAGGCATTCAAAGATTGTCAGGGGCATTGAAATTCTCTGCTAGGGACATCAACAAGCTCGGTCAGGGGCATTGAAATTATCTGCTAGGGACATTAAAAGGCTCTGTAAGGGTTATTGAAATTCTCTGCTAGGGACATTAAAATCTCTACCAGGGGCATTGAAAGACTCTTTAAAGGGGGAAAAAACTGTTAACTGTATTTTTTTCAAAGTGTTCAAATCTTTTAGCTCCATGTGTAACTCAAAAATCCTGCAAAGGTTCAGTTCTTTCTAAGAACATAATCAAAATCAGCATCCTTTTCAGTCAGGTTGTGAGATCTGTATATTTTCAAAGTGTTCAAATACATATATTTTTTATTTACCAATAAACAAATAAGAATTTGGAAAGCTGGTTAAAGAACTCTTCAGAGAAATATTATTACTACCTCTACTTGTTTGGCACTTATAGAAAGGAGATACAACAAAAAATCCTGAAAACAAGCCCGAAATAGTTTTATCTACGGTTCCTCAAATAGCAGAGACAAGTGACAAGTCAAAAAAAAAAAATAAATAGCACACAATGCTAGCCAATTTTCTTCTCAAACAAAGAAAAAAAATATGATGATAGCTACTTGTCATTTGGATTTACAAGTGCCAGAAATGAAGATTGTCCTGAAGCACAATGCGTACTTTGCAATAAAATATTACCAAACAGTTAATTAGCACCTGCTAAATTATGTCGTCATTTTGAGCAAAATCATGCAGAGTACAAAGAAAAAGACGTTGACTTTTTTAAGCGAAAGCTAAAAGGAGTATCAGAAGAGTAAACAATTTATGAGCAAAAAAATTCAAAATGCTAATGAAAGAGCCACAGAGGCTTCTTACAGAGTGAATTACCACATAGCACTTGCAGGAGAAGCACACACAATTGAAGAATCACGAATAAAACCAAGTGCAAAAGAAAGAAGTTGAGTAAAAAAAATTGAAGCTGTGCCACTTTCCAACAACACAATTTTGCAACGTATTCACGATCTTGCTGATGACATCAATATTGAACTAATTTCTCGACTGCATCAATGTGATGGATACTAACTCTAATTAGATGAGTCCACAGATGTTGCAGGACTTTCAGTTTTGTTGGTTTTTGTTAGATATTATTTTGACAGATTGAAGAAAACTTGCTTCTGTGTGAAACTTTGAAAACTCATACCACTGGTGAGAACATCTTTAACTGTATCCAGAAGTTCGTGAACACACACAGTATAAATTGGGACAAATGTGTAGATGTGTGCAGTGATGGTGCCTAAGCAATGGTTGGGAAAGTGGCAGGCGCTGTGACACGAATAAGAAATGTAGCAAAAAACAGCACCTGTTCTTCACATACATGCACTGGTAGCCAAAAATATTTTAATCTCACTTTAAATTGTTCTAGACGAATCGGTCCAGATTAATTTTATAAAAAGTCGACCATTACAGTCACGACTATTTAAAATAATATGTAAAGATATGGGTAGTCACCACTCTGCTCTGCTTTAAAAATTCAGAACTCCGTTGACTATCACAAGGTGAGATACTTGTTAGAATGTTTGAATTGCGTCAAGAGTTGTTTGCGTATTTCCAGGATCATAAATTTGGATTATCTGATCAATTAACACTATGTGGTTATCTGGAGTAGCATTTCTTGCAGACATATTTACAAAATTACATGATGTATGTTTATCATTCCAAGGAAAAAACACTAATATTTTTAATGCAAGAGATAAAATATTGTCACTGTTTCGTAAGCTGCAGTTTTGGACTTCATCTGTTGAGCAAAATAATTTGAACTCATTGCCAACACTTATGGATTTTCTTGAAGTATCAGAAATTGAACATGAAGATGAAATTTGCAATGAAATTGTAGATCATCTTTGCCATTTAATCACATCTATTAATCAGTATTTTCCATTCTTGAATAAAAACAATAATGACTGGGTATGAAATCCATTCATAAATTTTTTTCCAATTTTTCTGATGTAGATTTTGAGAATCTGATTGATATAACTTCTGACAGTCAACTAAGCCAAAAATGTAAAGAAGTTTCTCTTATTACTTTTTGGGGTGATTTACGCAAAGAATACCCAGAATTGTCCAAGCGGGCAATCAAAGTTCTGTTGCCATTCGCAAGCACATACTAATGTGAAACTGGATTCTCGCTCTACTCTGCAACAAAAACAAAGTATCGAAATCGACTTGACGCAACTGCAGACATGCGAATACAATTGTCAACAATTAAACCAGATATAAAAAGAATTTGCCAGCATAAGAGAACATTACACTCTGCTCATTGAAAGGTCTGCGCTGCACTACGGTGCACATTTTTTTGGGGGGGTTACAAAGTTTTGCTATACCATGTCAAAGAGTTCCAAGGGAAAAATTAATTGGGAAACCCTGCTCTAGAGTATGCATGAATGCAAAAGGAGGGTCTAGGGAAAATCCTGTAAGGCTACTGCATTTTCCATAGATCTTCTCGTATAAGGAAATGTATAGCTTACATGTAGATGCCATTGTGAATGACAGGATGTGGTGGTGGAAGCCCCATTCATTGTCATATTTTGCCAAACATACCTATTTTATTTCATGTATACCTTATGACTGTAATAATTTCCACGGAAATCCAATACAGTCAATATGATCTAGTCCAAAATTTCAAAAGTGGAAGTTGTGCTTTAAGTTACAGATGCAGTTCAAATGGCTCTTCTATCCACTAAACATTGGTATTTCCTCCAATCTGAAGAGTGGTTTAATAATGGCTGCCCAATGCACTCATCCTAAGTTCTACTGCCCCCTCTTCTTCCATGCTGATGCTCAGTTGATTCTGACTCTAGACTGTAAACATGCAGAAGATGGACACATACGTACAAATAGTAGATGTTAAAAGCTGAAGTAAAGCAGTTAAACAAGTTTACATGTTTAGAGGTAGTGTCCTTTTAAACAGCCATTCTTCTTCCAACCAAATCAAAATAGACAATTTCTCAATCTACTAAAAAAGGCTTCCCTATAACATATTGACAAGTTTTAGGATTAGCCTGAGAACTATGTTAATTGTCTTAACACTTACTCCTTTTACATAATTTGAAGTCAGGCCAATGTGGTTGTCATTGTCACTGCTTAAATCTCCTGAGCAGGTTTCATCAGATGCTTCAACATGATGCATTAATTTCATGCTTCTTCTGGACCGTGACTTTAAAGATTGCTCAGCGCAGTATAAAGCTTCCTGGTCTGCATCAATGTCTGTGTGATGGATATCCTGGGAGAATGAGTTCGCTTCCAGGGCATTATGTGGATTGCTCAGGTTATCTTGCTGCAAGTCTGAATCGATAGAATGTTGTGCCTGAGCCAAGGGTGATGTGATCTCATCTGATGTCACTGTACGAATTATAATGCCAGGTGTATGACAATGGACTGTGACATTATCACTAGTGTTGAGTAGGTGCTCAGGCTGTTAATAGAGTTATAGAAATAACATAGTTAAAGTCAAGAGAGCAGTGGACACATGTGCCCAAATAAACATGTATGACATTAAGGGATACTCTACTGCCGAAATCAAAGTATAAAAAATAAAAACAAAAACATGCACACATTGAATTATGCATTTTTTTAATTAAGGGTATATCTAAAACGAATTTCAAAAGCTCTTGTCTAAAGTCTTTGCAAGCTCCCCTCTAATTTAGTCCAGACTAATGTGGCTGTCCAATCACACAATGCAGCTCAATGAGAAGTCTTTGCTTAAGTACCAGCAAGTTATAGGACCGGTTATCCAATTGATAGCAAGGGATGTGTAACACTGTTAATTTATAAAAGTTTTAATTTCTATTGAAATCTGCACTTTTTGTAATATAAAAAAAAAGAGCACTCTATTCACACTTAGAGAACTCCAGCAAGCTGAAGTGTTTTAGGGGTGTGGATTGTCCCTTTAACCCCTTAAGGACCAAACTTCTGGAATAAAAGGGAATCATGACATGTCACACATGTCTTGTGTTCTTAAGGGCCTTTCCAAGGCCCTCTCCTGCTTCCCCAGCCCAGACTTTCTGTAGCTGTTCAATCACAGACTTCCAAATGCATCTCAATGAGAAGTCTCTGTAAGAAATGTGCTCTGAGTAATTGTCTGTCTCTTTAGTTTAGCTCTGGGCACCATAACAAATTAATCAGACAGAAGTTATAATGGTGTGAGGATGTTTCTGTGAACTGTGTTACCTAAAGCGTTAAAACCAACATCACACCTAGCCTGAGGATCTATCAGAGGGTATTCATTTGGATTATAGGAAATTGTGCAATAAATAAAACATAAAAAATATTCTGAGATAAAATAAAAAGATGGGCAAACTCATTAAAGGTGACAAATGCCACAAATACTTAGTAGGTATTCGTACAGGGGATTATATATTAAGCTAAAGGTCAATGTTTGGCTACTTGTGTTAACGAACATGTGTATCTAACACCAAAGGTATGTTGAACTCATGGAATAAACTCAGGGAAGAATATGCTAGCACACCTAGAGCACCATGGAAGCGATCCACAGTCCATTCAAAGTATTCAGAAATCAAAATCCAAAGGTTTCAAAGTAGTGCAAATAGGAAGGAGTTTTATTCAGGATCAGGACAACAAAATTATATACAATATTTTTGCATCAAGCCCTAGTCATGTACATTTAATGTATATACTTTTGTTCTCCTGATCCTGAATAAAACTCCTTCCTATTTGAACTACTCTGTAAAGTCTTTGGAATTTGATTTTGAATGTGTATCTCACAGTATGACCAGATTGTTGACGTTTTATAGCCCATTAAATTCCTATATAAAAAATGCTTACAAAAATACAATTAGAGCTCAAAATCCTGTTCCTTTCAGGCAGTTTTTGCATGTTTCCAAGACAAATGAGTGTTTTACAATCTCCTAAATTAATAAGAAAAATTGAGCATGTGTTCACATTCTACAATTTTGTTAGGGGGATGCAAACACTCAAATTTAACTAAATTGTTTTATTTATTGTACAGAGCATTGGACTCTTGATTGTTTTACCACTAATGAGCAATATAGGTGCAAAGATGATGGTAAAAGAGAGCCAACTCACAGTTAAGGCATGCACGATGATTTGTTCTGGTGATGCTGGAGAGGAGTTGGATGTGAGAGTCACTGATGGGTTCGAGGTTAGTGTTATTGGAAGACCTTGACTTGAACCCGTCTGAAGGATAAATGTTCCTGTGGTGCCACTTGGCTGCAAGTAAAATGACTAAGATGAAAAAGAAAAGAGAATTAAGTTAGGGCGATGACAAATAAAATATAAAGACATATAAATCTGCTTAATATTCATAGTACCATCATTGCATAAAGAAGCCTTTACTTCCATGATATCCAATACAGCAATGTAAGAACTACTATTTCACAAATAGTATTATATGGATAGAAACGGTATGGTGGACAGTGGTGTCTTAATTACTGTTCCTCCTTCCTATGCAGCCTTTTACTGTACAACAGGCAAAAATAACAACTGATAAATGAATACCTTCCTACCAGACTGTCTTTATAAAATCTTAAAAATACAATAACATGTATTTACAAATATCCAAAATTAAGTCCTCCCACTACTCCTGGGCAGCTTTGTATTTGCTTTTCTATTACACAGCCATGTTACAGTGCAGCTGCCCAACCCATGTGTTCCCCATTAAGGGTTAATACGTGTGCAGCAGTTAAGATAAATACCCATCTCTGTCTTATTAGAGATTTTGCCTTTTAGTGTAGGAGTCATCTAAGAAGTGGCAGGTAAGCTTACACTTTAATGGCCAGTGATACTAAAAACATTCAGTTATTTAAATGTGCACAAGTAACTTTTTTATTTGGTTTTTAAAAACTTTTATTTGCTTCTGTACAGTACATTAAAAAACAAGGAAATATGCTTAAACATGTTTAGTTATCCACTTACTGGAAGGATTTCAAATGTCTGTAGTGTGCCGCTGTTTAGTGTTACTGTTTCTGGGTCAGTTGTGGGAGAAGATGAATCTGAAGAGGCTAAAAGGGAAAAAAAAGGAAATAAAAATTGTATATATATATACATATATATCCTACAAACATTAACTCTCATCTGGTGGTTTCCATACATAGCAATCTGCACATCATTTATGTATTTAGCAATATAGTTTATGCAGTGCACCAAAGTTCTAACTATGGAACAATCCAATTGGTGAACCAAATTAATGGATTGGCTCATTATTTGACCTCTTTGCCATTTGATCCTCCCTGATTCACTCTCTTTAAAGAAGCAGGGGAGGCCAGAGAGAGTAACAAGATTTTTATTTTACATTTACTTCATTTAATAAACAATCTGTTTCTTTTTGGAACGTAAAGAAAGGATATTAAAAACTAGTTTTGAGGTGAGAGTTGTCCTTTCATTTTTATCTTTCTCTGATAATACCAAACATGTTGCAGCTGTAAAAACAGTGCAAATATATCCATGATACTCTCAGCATTTCCAGATATATTTGACCTCTTAAATTAAAAATCCTTTCTATTAAGACATTACTAATTTTTTTAGTCTCTTATGAAAGGCTGAACGCACAAGACATTTGACTTACAGACATGGGTAATTTGTACAGGAATCTGTAAGGCTGACATGGAGCTTTGTGGCAGACCTGGGCTGTCCTCCAAGTGAGCTACTCTTATCTGCACATGCTGCACATTGCCATTACTGCCCTGAGACTGAATATCTGGTTTGTTCTCCAATTCCTCCGTGCCCAGGAGAGTGCTGTGGTGTTCGTGCAACTGCCGCAGACCTTTTATCAACACTGAAAGCAATACATATATTCATTGTTAATAGAGAATGCCAGTAAACAAAGTGTCTAATCTAATGACTTCGTGAGCGAAAACTACCACAAGAGTTATAGTTTCACAATAACTGGAAACTAGTTTTTGGCCACCCCTAGTCTGCAGCTATACCATCCAAATGGACGTTACCCATTTTTTGGGTAGAGCCATTCAGTCATGCACAAAGACAAGCATAAAGACAAGTGTAAGAATGGGGGGACACTCATACAGAAAATAACATACATACAAGTGCAGTCATGGCGACAGACGCACATATACAGAGTTATTTACAAAAGTAAATTGTCAGCAATTTCAAATTTAAGACCAAAAAAGCTGAATTGAAAAAAAAAAATCTCGAGGTAATCAATGGTTCCCATTTGGCTATTTTGATCTAAAGTGTTAAATTAACTTTGAATTCCCAACAATTTTTATACAAGACATAGACACACACACACTGCTAGGGGTATGACCCAGGCTGAGTCTTAAAAGGTCCTGGGTCTGCTTTTGGCACCCTTTCTTTGTTAGCCAAGAGTAATATTGAGAGACAAAGAATACCTCCAATTTTATAATTAATGACAGTGACACTTTAATGCAACATTTTGGAGTTAATTATACAACACTGTGTGCTGTTACTGCTGTGGGTACAAGGGTATAATGCAATAAATGCAGTTTTAATGCTCCAAGTTTGGAGTTAATGCAAGTTTAGAGTAATGTAGAATTCATATACTGAAGGATTCCTCATCAATTATCTGAATTTCTAGCCACAGTTACGTATGTTTCACACCTTGATACCAAAACAGCATACCTTTTTTCTATGAAAGCAGTATTTTTATATTGTCCAACTGTAGTAGCATTTCCTTTCAATAGGGACTAAAAGTGTGTTAGCAAGTGTGTTTAAAGCACAAACTTACACATGGATATTCATTAAAAGGAGAATTGTCAGGAATTCCAAAAGGTATAACTGACTTGTTGGAATTTGCCTTATTTCTTTAAGATTTCAACTGCACTTTGAATTCTAGACAAATAACACTTCAGTGTCTATATCTGACAAAGCAGAAAGATATGTTTTGTAATGCAACTATTTCACTCTAAAATGATTATCACTCTTATAAATCAGAGAGTGTTAGCAATTTAAAAACATTGGGATAATCTTATATGCTAGTGTTTTTAAAATCACATAAACCTTACCAGGAAATGACACATCCTTGTGATTAGCAATTTGCCGTTTGACAGTCCACCATTTACTTCGGAGCCACTGTGGTGAGCGGACACTGGTCCATCCCTCTGACAATATATCCCAGTTTATGTCATTTTCATCTAACACGCCAAGCTCTGCTATCCTGGCATAGGAACAAACATGAGAATGATTTTCTGAAAAAGGATTCAGACTGATTTCAAGAACTATTGATAATACAAAGCCTGCAAAAACCCCAAGGGTGAGATCTGCTGCTTGTTTCTGGTGACCAATGGTGTATTTTGGATTTGTGCTGACCTTGGCGTGATGGAACTAGGGGACCCCCTAATTTGACTTTGCCCTACCCCTTCCTGTCAAGGCCACACCTCTTCCTGTTAAAAACGAACACATGCTTTGACTGACATACACACAGACACACTGACATACACACCGACATACCCACACACTCACTGATTTGACACAAACTGACAGACACACAATCACTCAGACACGCATTAACAGACACACACACTCACTGACAGACGCACATTGACAGACATATATACACACACTCACAGGCACACACTGATAGACATAAACACATATTCACTGACAGACATACACATACATTCACCGGCAGAGACACACAACTCACTAACAGAAACACACACGCATTAACTGACAAACAAACTCACTGACAGATATAAACACACATTCACTGAGAGACAGACACACACACACCGACTACCCACACACTCACTGCTTTGACTCAAGTTGACAGCGGAGCTCTGCCTTTTGTCAACCTACTTTGACACCACTTTATTGATTTAGATGACGCACACACACACATTTCAACCTGCTAAGGATTTATGATTCTATTTATGTCAGCATTACAATCTCTGTAGAATTTCTGCAGTTACTAAAAACCAGGCCTCAACGGTTTGCCAGAGGAGGTGTGTTTGTGTGTGATCAACCCACTATGGAAGCATTCTGGAACATGGTCACATGTGCTAGATCTCAAACTGACAACCCTATCACATTTGTGTAATACAAATAAGAAATGTAGAAAGGCAAGTAGAGTAAAGTAATAAAAAGATAAAACATCTTATTTTTAAGGGACACTATAGTCAGCAGAACAACTACTTAATGTAGTTGTTCTGGTGTGTACTGCTTGTCCCTGTAGGCATTTTTTAATGTAAACACAGCCTTTTCAGAGGCAGCACCTCTAGTGGCCACTAGAGGCGCTTCCTGGTTTAGTGCTGAGCCCTGACGTTTAGTGTCTCTGCATGAAGGCACTGAAAGTTCCTCATGGAGATGCATTTATTAAATACATCTCTATGAGGAGATGCTGATTGGCTCAGTGCGAATTTGATAATCTCAGCCAAGGAGAAGGAGCAGAACAGGGACAGCCATGAGGAGACCTGCACGACACTGAAAAAAAAAGTGAGTAAATCAAATTTTTAACAGGGGGGAAGTGGACCTAAGTGGCTATTTTAAACCTAAAGTGTCAGGAATACACATCTGTATTCTTGGTACCATAGTTTTCCTTTAAATGACCTACATGGGAATATCTCCAGTCTAATGTGAATTCTCTGTTAGAAAAAGTCTTTTATATTTGAACTAGAAAAGCTACAATTTCTGGGGAAATTGTGTGAAGTGTTCTTGCCTCCACCAGTAGTCTACAACTGGAGTGGGCAGAGTAACTGGGTGGAGTATCTTGAGTAACTGTTGTGTGGTTGGAGTGGGTGGAGTAACTGTGGAAAGGTTGGACTGGGCAGAGTAACTTTATGGAGTGGGCAGAGTAACTGTGTGGAGTGTTTGGAGTGAGTAAAGATAGTAAACATTACACTAACCAATTGATTGATCAAATTTAAAAAAAGTGCACATGGCAAGCTTGATAGAGTGAGAAATGCATTTCAACTTTTATTTATTTATATAGCAAATTTAATTTCAATGTTGTTGCCCAAAGTGCTTCACAGTTACATTAAAACATACATTTATAAAAACATTAGCAGGTGTAAAAAAAACCCTGTCTATGACATCACTTGCTGCTCCAGCCTGGCACAGGTCAGAGTATTTTGGCGGTTGCCATCTTCAAACGGTCGTATTTTAGAAACTATACATCCTACAGCGAAGAAGTATTAAAAATGAAGGCACAGTCGCAGTTTAGAAATTGCCCTTCAAATTTAAGTTGGCTGGAGTGGCGTTTCAATGAATGTCAATGGATGGCGTGAGTTGCAAACAAATGGTCATATAGTGAAAACTATCAGGACTATGGCTTAGCCATGGATTTTTAGTGGCAGCAGGGATAGCTGAACGTTTTGATATAAGATTTGTGTAGGTGGGCTTGAAAATGAGGGACTGGTGGCAGTTTAGAAATCATGTCCTGATTTTTCACCTTGCTAGCTCCCACTCTAGTTTTGAACATTTTGCCATTCATTCCTATGGGACCAATTTCGCCACAAGAACGACGATATTCCGTGAACCATTCGGCGAAACGTTCCACAAAGTAATAGCAATCCGCATGTTTCGGTATATTACTGTCTATGTAGTGTAAAAACTGTGGGAGGAGTTAGGGTGGTAAATTTGGCTTTAATGAGAATAATAATAATAATATATATGTGAGATAACATTAAGTGGTCTTGCTATGCAAGAACACTTAATAAGAATAATATATATGTGAGATAACATTACGTGGTCTTGCTATGCAGATGGTTAACAAGTTAAACTGATCTTAAGAAACAAACCTTAGTATTAAATTGATTTCATCCTCTTTGGTCCACTGGGTGCCTCCACTCTGCTTCCAATTCAAATAATTCAACCACTTAGATCGACACTGTTTTTCAGATCGTGTTCCAACTCTTTCTGCCACTGAAGCCCAGGACACTCCTTGAGTTACAATATCTCCTGTCTCAGTGCCGGTCAGCTCATGGACTACTTCTGTCAGTCGTCGCTCTTCATCATCTGTCCACTTCCCTAACAAATTTGAAATTAACCACAACAATTGAGACTGTGTGTAAGCTAGAGTAGTGGCTAAAAGGAATAAATATATATGTAAATAAAAATAGTCTATATGTGATATCTAATACTACCTTGATATCTTTTAAATTAGAGGGTGTACCTACATACTCTATAGGAAAGAACAGCAGACACCTCTAAAACAATTGTCATAAGGTCTGCTAAAACATTCCTACCTGAGATAAACTTCAGAAGACAGCCATGTTGAAAACATTAGGCTTCATGTTACTGAGGTCCTATTCTTCTGCTAGTGGCTGTAAAAGTAGTCATAAGTAACACTTTTTTTTACCTCCACCAACAAACATCTAAACATAATTAACAATACCCAGGCAGGATGGAGGCCTTGGAATCTTTAGAGAATTGGCCATGAGCATGGACTTCTACGAATCACTAAAGGTAGTAAAAGTATTAATGATCAGCTTAATATTAAATTATCACAATTTAAAATCCTACGTCCACCAGACAGCCTACATAAAGATTGTAGCAAATATTTGTACTGTCAGCTGGATCCATTTCAGGATGTCTGTAAGAACATAATTTGGTTTATGAAAGTCCAATAAAGATAAACTTGTAAAAACCTGTTCTGCATGTTTCTTTCATTAGCCGGCAGCGATCCTTGACTGATGAGGCACTTCTACCAAGAGCAGCACCTATTGTAGCCCAGTCATTACCATGCTTCATTCGTAACCTGACAATAAGACAAGAAAACGGTCTACAAAATGGATTTAAAGACTTGTACCCTATGTAAATATTTCATCCTCGATTTATGGCTTCAAGAAACAGAAGTAATTCGTAAGTGGTTATTCTTAAATGCCTGCTTTAAACAACAAATTTCCCATTTAATTTATAAACAAAACAAACAGTTTTCAAAAAGACTGCAGAACGATAGCATTTCCTACTACTCCTCAGCTTATTTACTAAGCTCCTACCTGTAAAGACGAAACATATTGTGGTGCTTTATTTATATATAGTTATTTTTATTAACAATAAATATAAACTACTTCCCATTGGTGGTGATCTTATTAATCTGCAAAACATTTTTGAAAGCATAATATGCACACAGTTTTTCACATAATTATATTCATTATAACTTACTCTCTAAGTTTTTCAATTTCCGCATGTGTGTACCTGCAGAAGACAAAAAATGGTCTTTAAAAACAGTGTATTTAGAACACCAAAACAATAAGTGCAGCCATAGAGACGAACTAGAAAATAGCACTGATTTTAAACATACATACTAATTCATTTTGAATTCTTAGTATGGATATTTTCCCAAAAGGAAGACCAGAAGTGTTCTTTCATATGGTGCATTGATTCAAATTTTGATTGGTGGTGGTAGGTGGTGCTTGAAGTAAGCGGCACGTAATGAGTAGATGGGATAGGAAGGTCCTATATGCCGAAAATGTAACTGAGATCGGCTGATGTGTTGGAGGTAATAGGACATTGTAAAAACACTAAAAAATAGAGAGGTCTACATTTCCTTCCACAGGTTTTGCAGGTGACAGGTCCACTTTCACTACATCAATCACTATTGTGTACCAGTAGGATACAGTGGGCAAATGCAGTTTGTGGTTTTTTTTCCTCAAATTTGCAGGAATCCTTACAACTTTCCTTAGACTTCAGTCTTACACTGGGTATACAGTAGGCCCTACACTATTAATTTTGTTACCCAGCGGTTAAAATATCATGTTCTCCACTTCTAGCCAGGCCTTAAGATGTACTTGCCACTGAAAGCTTGGAGGGTTGATAGCACCATCACCCTTGCCAGGGTACGAATTACATTTTCACTCACCAATGACTACTGGAAGGTGGAAATTTTGAGCCTAAACTAGATCATTAATCAAACATTCATTGAAGAGTGGCAATTGCATCATATTTAGGACTGCCAAGGAGTTGTTTTTCTCTTACTTTCCTACATGGTTCCGATCATCATACATGCGGAGGACTCTCCTATACACTGCAAAAAGAGGACGATTCAGACCCCAAGCTATTGTCCTATAGAAGTCTTTTCGCTCATCTTTTGACATTTCAAAGATTATTTCAGTTGCATCTTTTATGCCATGTGTCTAGGAAGGAAAAAATACATTTCATCAGTAGGTCACTCGTAGGCCACACACATTCTTCAGTATATCGAACAGAATAAGTAGGAAAATGCACACTATTACAAATTAGGAAAATGGACATTAAATATGTTAATAATTTGAAGTAGATCCACAATGAGCAATACACTATAGATGAAAGCAAGCATACAAACAAAGCTTGCTGGACTATATAGATACAAAATGGACATATATAAAAGGGCATATTGATCTTCATCCACTAGATAAGTGGTTTTCATTTACCTTCAGGTATTGGTCAATGTTATTCATTAGTATTGCAATTTCTTCTTTGGACCACATCCCTTGTTTCCACCTATGACCTGAAAGATAAGCTGGTTTTAAAAGGAAAGTATTGATAGATGGCATATTCCAAGTTATTCTGCTATAGGTAACTTTTTATTCTTGGTATGCACTTCTTTTTGTTTCTCTGAAACTCATGTACATCAACTTATCTTTTACATGTATCCTCACAGTAAAAAAACTAAAATTGTATTTATTAAAGAAAGTCTATTAATTCAAAGTAAAAGTAGATGGTGGTTTTACTTTAGTAGATGGTGGATATTACTTTGCTGCAGAGGAATTTAGATATACTGGGGGACTGGGCACTCAAATGGCAGAGGAATTTAATGTTGAAAAATGCAAAGTTATGCATTCGGCGTGATGCACAAGCAACTCATACCCATAATGGATGCGAATTAGAGAGAACAACACACAAAAAGGACTTGGTAATTGTTATAGACAACAAACTATGCAACAATGTGCAATGTCAAGGAGCAGTGGCTAAGGCCAGTAAGGTATTGTCATGCATGAAAAAGGGCATTCATTTGTCGGGATGAGAATATCATTTTGCCTCTTTATAAATCACTGGTTGGACCACATCTTGAATATGCTTTGCAATTTTGGGCACCTGTTCTAAAGAATGATATTATAGCTGACTTTGAGAATTTGAGCTACCTTTACATAAAATTTGAAATTCACATGATAAATTCATATTAACCCTGTATTCCTCAACACTCAGAGCAATGAATAACACAGAGAACATCAATAACATGATAAATTACAGCTTTTACATTGTTCATAAATACGATTTATTACTCACAGGTCCTATACATTTACAAAAGATAACGGTTTTGGGAAAAAGTCTGAATGAATGACAGCAGCTAGTATCCAGGACAAGAACTCCTGCTAATTCATGCAGACCAGGACATGCATATTCCTGTGCTGCCCTGGAATTAGAATCACAGTGCTCAGTCAGTAATGCTGTGCATTATAGTATTTGTTACGCCCACTGAAATAAACACATGCAAGCATAGAATAATAATATATGTAACTATTATTTTATTTCCTCACACACCAAAATCATAATGAATTTGTAACAGATTTATAAGAGCAACCTTTATTTGTAAGAGAATCTTTGTCTTCTTTGCTGGTAAACCATGCTCGGCTAACTGCCACCTCTTCACTGTCTGCAGTAGAAATGTCATCAAGTTGTTCGTTCTGAAGAATCTTGAAAAAAATTCAATGTACTTCAGTACCATAATCAATATTTGTAAATAAAGACATATATACTTGCAATCTGAATATATTCACATCATTTCTCATTTGTATATGGTTTTACAACAAGGAACATTTTTTGTTTACATATATGCAGGCTAAGATATCTTCTGGCCAGTTTAGAAGAACTAAACATATAAAAATCTATAGCCATATCAGTTATGTAGCAGGACTGTGCTTTTAAGGTTTTAGTAGGTTATGAAGGAAATACAATTCACAGCAAATATACTTGTGATATAAAGGATTACGGCACAAATAGGCCATTTCACTTCAGTGCCCATTGTCCAGCCATTGCAATTCATGTGATTTCAGTTTTCCTCCCCAATTAGTTTCCTCTGTTTGGATCATACCTGTATTTGAGTAACTGAATCTTCATTTAGGTCATCGTCAGTCACCTCAGTGGTAGCGGTCATTGTCACCTCAAAGCTCTGATCATTTGTGGATACTGGCGAAAAAGACAAAAAAACATGCATCTTATCTTAGATTTTATAGATACACAGATAGAGAGAAAAAGAGAGGCTATTTGTAAGAATATTTGAATTGGGTTATACAGATTCATTAAATATGTATTTTATATATGGGTTAATCACACTTCTTTACTGACATTTAGGGACACTTAGGTGAGAAAAAGAGAGTCATGAAACAATTCAATCTGGTGTGGTGGAGCAACTATAATAACCAAAGTGCCATAAAGGTTCTCTCTATACCGTTAACCACATTTCTAATCTTGTAGCTCTATGTCAATCAGATTTAGGTCATTGCACTGCTCAGAAGATGTTAGTAGGCATTATACATAGCCACTAACTAGCATTCCAAATATATGTATTATCCTGGAAAATGTGGGCCAAAGAAATTTGCTTATGGCAAAAAGGTGCAGTACACCTTATTTCTTTAAATTTATGAGTCAATTACTCATATTGAGACTTCTTATGTACCTAACATTCTGAGCAGAATGTCAAAAAGAATCTTTAATCGAAGCTACCCTGACATCACAGGTTTGGTGAATAAATGCAAGAATAGTGAGAATGTGCATGCTGACTGCCAAGCATTCCATCAATGAGCCCAGTGGTATTTACTGTTTTAAATTCATATATGATTTGCTTTTATAGCATTTATGAAATAATGTACAAATCTAAGTTTATCTCTTGCTTTTAGTTATCACATCTATTAGTTTGAAAAAAAATAAATATAAATATATATATATATATATATATATATATATATATATATAGTAAATTATCAAAAGTGCAATGAGCCCAAAATGTGGTGCCAATATCATAATGTTTCACTCTACCACAAAAAAATTGTTAATACAGGAATCTTGTGCAAAACATTCCCATAACCACAGACTTACATGGTAGGGAAACAACAGATATGCAGGGGGTAGTTTCAGTAAAACTGTGTTCATGCTCAGATGACAAACACAGCCTCTTGGCAGTGGTTCCCACAATGTCCTCCGAGTCTATTTCATCTGTCTCTAAGAACAATTATATATAGATAATATCAAGCTTACACTCTACTTCCACACAAACCAATGCATATCACTAAATTAACTGGGCTTGTTTAACATCTGAAAGCATGTTATGGTTATCACACCTTAAAATAGTAAGCAACAGACTTGTGCAAAAATTGTCTGATTAAAATTCCTTTTAATCCACATCCGAATGAATCGATCTGTCTGGGTTTGACTTGAGGAGTCTTGTTCAAGAAATAAAACTCCACAGGCGGATAGATTTGTTCAGGTGTGGATTAAAAGAAATTTGAAACACATGAACCGCTCCAAACTAATTTTAGCTCAAGTCTAGTAATCAATACGTTACTCTAACACTAAGTTGCATTAATAGACACCTTCAACAAATCCACAACATCAGCATTTGAATCACATAATTAACCAAATGTTTACTATATTAATACGTTGTACAGTTTGCTTTACATTAAAAAAGTATTAAAAGTTCTACTTTTAGTATTTTAAGAAAATTTGTTATATAGTATATAATTAAATGTCAAAGTGACATTCAATTTATATTTTAGATTTTGCATTTGTAATAGATACAAAGAGTAAAATTATTTTGCTGCCTAAGAGTAGACACATGTAATTTACTCTGACATCAGCACACATCACAGTCAATAGATTGCAGCAGTCGGACAGGGAACATAGAATTAGTTGTAACACTCACAAAAAGAAAACCTTGTATATATTGTAATCATAAAAATAAACACTTCCCCAAAATATAGGTCAGGTAAGAAATCCAAAGCCTATTAGGCTAAGCCTCTGACTACTATAGACTTAGACATAAATCCAGGATCCCCTACTTTTCCAGGCTTTATTAAAAATTGCTTATGTATGGGGGTGGGTAAGGATAAAAATATCTCAAAGTATCTGTTATAACAAGGACAGGGAGATGGTATAATGACTACTATGAAAAGTCTAAGGTGAATATCTCCTTAGCATGGAGACTGATATTGGGGTAGATAATAAGTAATGCACAGAGCTAGTATATAGCAAGATAGTAAGGTCTACAGTCACGCATTCACTATGTTTAAGTGAGCAGAGCCCATATGATAAATGGCCCTTACTAAGAATCTTCAACTACATACACAGTTTATTTGAATAGACTGATCTTATGATGAATTAAGATAGAATTTCTATACTCTTTCAAAAATCTCTACAGATGTCTTCATATTCAGTTAGACAGAGTGTAAGGCTATGGTAATGATTCTCTTTCTAAAACTACCTCTACACATTTAATTCATAAAAATAGACTAGAAGTAGAATCAAATTGAATATGGTCTATATGCAGTACCCCGGTATGTTAAATAAATTACAACCTTATGCTAATAGTCAAAAAATAATAACATCTTGCTCTTAAAATATCAGCTCAGATTTATTCAGCCGTTTGAGTATAGAGGTTAAGCCCCGAGACACTACCGGAGTGTCTATATGGTGCTTTAGATTCAGAGGAGGAGACTTTGCAAGTGCAAATCACCTCAAACTGAATATTGTTACGAACAGGGAACATAGCCTCTCATCCCACCAGCGTTAGTGCACATAGCAATGATGTATTTATTTTTGCAGCATTATGGTAATACTGGAAAAAGTTCTAGTCTTCTTGATCAACAAATAGAAAGTATTTGGAGGTGGATAAACTAATAGGTCCTTATAGTAAGTTGTAAATATATAGTAATATTATACCTTTGTAATTACATTACTTAAAGGAACACTATATTCTCAGGAACACAAACATGTATTCCTGACCCTATAGTGCTAAAACCACCGTTTTGGTGGCTTCCCTACCCCCTTAGAAGGGGTTAAAACTCACCTTATTTCCAGCACCACATGGGTCCCATCCAATCTCCTTGGATGGGACCCAGGAAACATTGGGTTGGCTGAAATCGTCAAGGAGGCGGGATGGGGTTGGGACCAAATGCCGTTTTGCCACTCAAAACCTCTTTATAGAGATACACTGAATCAATGCATCTCTATGAGGAAAATTAAGCTTCTCCATGCAGAGCGTGGAGACACTGAAAGGCAGTGCTGCCTCCTGTGCAGCACTGAACCAGGAAGCACCTCTAGTGGTCACCTGAAGAGTGGCCATTGGAGGTGTCCCTAGGGGGCAATGTAAACACTGTCTTTTCTAAGATGTAGTTGTTCTGATGATTATAGTGTTAGGAATACAAAGATTTATTCCTAACACTATAGTGCCCTCTCACTTCGGCACATACAGAGTTAAAAAAAAAACACACCTTTTATCACTTACTCAATTACAGCGCCAAAGTCCCTCGGTGCTAGGTATCGCTCCACCTCCAAAGATGTCATCCGGTGGAGGGACCTAATCGGTATGTACTGTAAGTGCAACACGCGCGTTAGGCCTTCCCCATAGGAAAGTAATTCGTCAATGCTTTCCTTTGGTGTTTTCTTTGATGTTAGACATCCTCATGCAGAGCGTTGTCTCAAGGAGTCAAACTCCGGATGAGTGGGGGACGGTGAGGGCTGGAGGAGATGACTCTAGGTCCCCCTCCGCTGAATCCTATAATAGCCCTCGCTGCTGGTTACAGGTGGTAGCGGGGCAGACATAAGCATGTCCCTCCTCCAATTTATTTTTATTAAATATTCCAGTTCGATGGCCATGGGTGGGGACAGAGAGTTGGATAGTAATCTGTCCACTCCCCATTACTTTTTTTTTTTTTTTTTAAAGTTCCCACTTGTTTTCCCCCCGTTATTTCGCAGGGATGGCTTTTGACTTTGTGCTTTGTGAATGTGTTGAAACCTATACTTTGTATTGGATACAAATGCGTAAGTATAAGTACCAATTTTAATCAGGATATCTACTGTTTAGATTCTCTTGGGCCAACCATATTCCAACTGCATTTGTAGTTAGTATATAAGAGAAATGCCAATGCGGTCGAAATTTTTTAGTTTTGCCCAATTTTGTCTATCCAGACAATATCCAGTGTTTAGTAAATAACCCTGTGTGAGTGTTATTGTTGTGGAGTCCTGTTGTACACTTAGACACACCAACAATATTAGAGAAAAGGGACATTAGGAAAGAAAAGAGGAGCAGATGGACTGCCCCTCCTAAACAGGGATATTTGGGAGTTATGCTTTTACTGACAGAACAATGATCTTGATGCCTGCTGTTAAGCAGACTCTATATACACAGGTTAAGTTTTCTAGGGCAAGAAACTCACTGGTCGATAACAGATTGAATATGGAAATGTTTTGTAAAAATATGCACTTGTGCATTGTTATGCATACAGAAAAAAACTGATGCAGTGTGTGGACGGATGATGGGTCAAAGAAATAGTAAATAAAAAAATAATTTACCACTCTGAGGACAATGGAGGATTAGGTTGCCGTCAAGATCCTGGGTAAGGGTCAGTGAGCTCCTGGTTTGTACTTTCACTGTGCCAGCCTCTTCTTCAGCTGTGCTCATACTCAATCTGTGCAAAGACACAACACATTTACATTGAATTACACAAGTCCTGAAATAAAATCTAAAACAGTCCTACCTTCTCATAACATTAATCTGCATATACAATATTATAAATGCTAGGATTGAACTTGTGCTGTTCTAAATTTACAGTTAACAAAGCCGCTGCTAAAACAAAGAAGAATGTTTCAAAACTTTGTAATACATCAAATACCCACACTATACATAACCTCTAATGCAGGGGTCCTCAAACTCTGGCCCCCCAGATGTTGCTGAACTACAACTCCCATGATTCTTTGAATTACATAGATAGCCAGAGAATCATGGGAGTGGTAGTTCAGCAACATCTGGGGGGCCGGAGTTTGAGGACCCCTGCTCTAATGTATAAATGTATAAAACTTGCATACCCCACTGCCCAAATACAAACAAATAGAAACCAGTGTTTAGTAGATAAACCTTCATTTAAAACATGCATGCATTTAATTATACTTTTTTAAAATTTTGTGTATTCCTACAAAGAGCTTGCATACACTGCAGATCTTGTGTCTGCAGCTTTTGCAGACCCTATCCTAACCACACCCAGACTTTTTCTAGCTGTCCAATCACAGACTTCCTAATGTGGCTCCATTGGAAGTATTTGCAAGTCAGATTCTCTGGGCAATTACTGCCTCTTGAGTTTAGCTCCAGTGACCTAAACAACCAGGAGTAACAGGACAGATTTGTCGGATTGACAATGAGGTTAATTTATAAAAATGCTAATTTCTATTGAAATCTTTTTGTAAAATTAAACAACAACAAAAAAAAAAAAAGGATACACTCTTCACAAGCTTAAGTATTTTAAGGGTCTTAAGTGTGCCTTTAATGGCTATTGATGTTCTATTTAATCGTAACAATCACTTCCTTACACAACCTGTTATTTCGTGATAGCCTGAGATTATCAAGCTCCTGCTAATAGAAAATAATATTACACAGTGGCATTGTGTCTGCTCCTAACAAATTGTCATGGTCACAAGGTTAAATCAGTTGCCAATTCAAGGAATTGCAACCTTTGAGCTTTGAATCCTATCAGGGAAAATTATGAGCTGCTGCGTTTTGTTACCTTTGCAGAGCTCAATGCATGAACTGACTAGGTATTGGGCTACATGAGCTCTTCTACAAAACCTACTAAATCTCTTTTACACGATTGGATTGTATGAAATAAAACTGGATAGAGCTGCTTTATAGTGTCCACTTACAAAGCTTATCGTTTTACTTGAATCAATGTGGGTAGAGCTCTGCAGATATAAAACATTTCAATTACTTCAGATTTAATGAATCTAATAAAATTGAAAAGTCCATCAAACACAAATCATATTGACTCTTCATTTTCCAACTCCCTACAGAGTTTGATCGAATTATTTTAGAGAGGACTTGTTCCAAAGTTGAGCAGATCCCTGCTGAAATTGGGCACGCCACACAACCACACACATCTGGCGTAATGTGTAAATTGTGTTACAGTCAGCTATGCTGGTAGTTTTATATGTTTGTGTTTTTTTATAAATAGTTCATTTGCTCCATGCGTCGATGCTTGCAAACCTGCGGTCTTCCATTTGCTCTTCAAAAATATAGCATTATACGATGTCAGAATTACAGCAGAAAGCTGACAATGGATCTCAAAACACTTGCTATGCCCATAAAGCATGGCTTATTTGATAAGGACAGTACTTCAACAAAAAGCTACATAGTTAAACATGTTGGGGAGAGAAAATACTTGGGACCATGAAGTGATTGCTAATTATGCAATAACTTGTTTTGAACAATCCAAGCACCATAACTACAGCATTACCGCAGTGCACTCCCAGTATAAGTAGTCAATCTGTTTGCTGACAGTTTGACAACATACCTAGGGTCATACAGACACTGATCACCTACTCTAGAATAGAATCCAGCTATCCTGGAGGCTGTGACTGGTACACCCCAGGTTTGTTGTCAAATCATTTGCAAATGGTTTGATAACTTACCTTGGCAAAGCGCCAGGACACACTTTGCACCATAACCTCTACAGAGTGCTAGAAGTGTTCCTTTAATTGAAACCTGCATACTGCCATAGCTATATCATCTGCTTCTAATCATTTTGCCAGTTCCACTTAGGGAATACTTTAGTATCCAAAGCAGCTTGAGTGCCCTTTCACTATAGTGTACCTTTGATCACTAAATCAATAAATACAGCAAGTGAATCCAATTAGAAATGCATTATTAACCCAAAATTAAAGGTTTCTGGGATTCGGTTGGGGAGGTAGTGAGGCAAGTATTCCAACAGGAACCAACTCTCGATCCCTGGGTATAACTATTGAACAGATCAGTGGACGGTTGGTCCAAGCACGGACAAAAGTTATTACACAAGATTACGCTGGCAGCCCATAGGGTAGTGACGTAACATTGGCTAAAAATGGGTACTCCTCCTACACCAGCCATTATTAGCAAAATAAAGGAAACCCATCTCATGGATAAGCTAACGGCAAAGGTATGTGGATCCAATAGAAAGTTCAAAAAAATCTGGGGCTTATGGGAAAACTGTCTGCTAGTGGACTGACACTGACAGGGATACAAACGATCTCTGAAATACGTTAGAGCCACTGCCGACGTGGGTTAGCGCTACGGAGGAGTGGGTGAATGATGTGCAGCCCGTTCCCCGGTCCCCCCCCCCCTCGCCCCTCTGCCTGATGCCCCTATACACCAAACAAGAGGACCTGACTGTGGTCCTTTTTACTGTAGGCGGACGGACGTTACTTTCCCCATACACATGACCCATATGTCCTTCTATTTCTCATCTTTTCTCTCTTTCTCTTCTTTGCCTTTACTTACTCTTTTATGTCACACTGAAATATTTACAATGGGAACATTTCTCATTTTTCATTTTCTTTTTTGAGATGTTGATCCACGAAGGGGAACTACATTGAGAAATGTATGTACTTGCACACTAGTAAGCTCCTACCCGCATATCACAAAGTATGTATATACACTGCATTTTCTGACTTTGTTCCTATTTTATTATAAACACAAAAACCGTGACACAACTGGATTTTGGGAGCCCTCTGGCCCAACATGTTGGTTACCTACATGGCATGTACGTTTTATTTTTAGGTTGGAGAATGTGATATATATTTTGTACATTATGGTAACCTTGTTATGCTTTTTAGCCACTGACCATTATTTATGTCACGCAAAAAAGAATAATAATAAAAATTTTAAAAAATAGTGCCATCCCCTTCCCAAGTGCCGATTAGTGCAAGTTGGTTTTGCGCCCTTTCTCCCGATTGGCTGTCGAGACACCTCCGCTCCCTCAGCGCCGATTGGTGAAAATTGGTTTGCGCCCTTTCTCCTGATTGGTGATTCTATGGAACTTTTTTCGGGTATGTACGGAGCCTCAAGCCCAGACTTTATATGAGGATAGCTCGGGTTTTGTACATCCGATCGCTCTGCAATTTGCAGGGATCATAGCTGGGACCAGGAGCTAGTTGGGGATGTATGGCATGTGGGTGTGCATTACTGTATGGTGTGTATTTTTTTTTTGTGTGTGTGTGTTCGGCTTCCTGTGTCCGGGAGATACCATTATCTCCCAGACGCAGCGAGGCCGGGATAGGCATATGTTTTGTATTGCTGTAAATGGAGACCCCTTGCCGGGGTCTGTGCATAAAGACTGTGTATCTTGCCTGCAATAAAGAGTTATTTTTCACTGTTCACTAATTCTCGACTAGTGTTTGGGTGATACCACTATTGCCCTCCTGCAAGTGACTATGATCACTGGCTTGCCGCTATAATCACTCTAGGGCTGGGCACAACTAGGAAGGGGCGACCACAGGCAGTATAACCCATCCTGAGAGGGTATACCATCACATGCGGTGGCAGCGGTGGGATGATCCCCTTCCTTGAAGCCGGAGTGAAACCATGCAGCAGCCAATCAGGAGACAGGTCGCAAACCAATTTGCACCAATCGGCACTCAGGGAGGGGAGGTGCCCCGCCGGCCAATCAGGAGAATGGGCTCGAAACCAACTTGCACCAATCGGCGCTCGGGGAGATGCTGGCACTCAGTGATGGCGTTCCATCACAATTACAATGATGGACAAATACCTATAAAATAGTAATGGTAAACACTACCTATGTTAAGATAAATAGGGCAACTCTTTTTGGAGGAGGGTGGGGAAGGACAACAACCAAAGTATAACCAGCTTTTGAGGAAGGGAAAGAGAGAGAAAGAAAGCAAGCTATTTAATATGGGCACTGTAAGTAAAAGCATTTGTGAGTAGTTTGATAAATACTGATGCTCTCTGTGATATCCAAAGCCCAGCCCCCTGCAGGGTAATATGAAAGACGCACTTTAGATTATCCATAAAAAGCCTTCAAACCTTGGATGGTAAAGATAGACTTGTAATATATTCCTTAAAACAGATATGGTAAATCTTGACAAAGATTAATTCATAGAAAAAAAAGAAAACAACACTCAAATGTCTGGGTTTCAAAATGCACTGTAATATCTATTCTGGATTCTGCTGTAGTGGTTATGGTTCCAGGAATGCCCCTGCACAGCCCCACTGTAAGTAGTTAGACTGTTTTAAAACAGTTTGCCTTCCTTACATGAGGACCTCCAGACACCGCTCTGTGCCTCCACTACATCTGGCTGGCACAGTGCAGAAAGCTCTCTATGTAAGCTATGTCAGTCTCATTACCTGAGACTGACCAGTTGATTTTCTCTGTGTTTTTAAAACCACCCCAGATCCTGTGGGCACCGGTCTAATACAATATAAGCTCCCTCTCTGCTTCTCATGATAGTAGAAAAGAACTGCAGAGCTCCATGCATTATTACCTGTACCATAAACATAGTACCTGTACCATGAACATAGTTTAGTGCTTATCAGCGTGGTGGTACACTTAGGGTATCTGTGTATTCCTTGGTTTTTATCAACCATTTCAAAATATATGGAGTGACGGTACCCATATTCTCTTAGCACCATAGCCACAACAGTACAGTAACCTGCATGGTACTTGGAGTTTCCCTTTAAATTGTCACTCTGAGAACCAAACCACTTAATCTTAATGACATGCTTTTGGTCCAAAGACCCTATCCCTTTTGTCTGCCAATGTAAAACATTTCTGTTTTAAACAGTAATGTTTACATGTTGCTTAACCACTTAAGGACCAAACTTCTGGAATAAAAGGGAATCATGACATGTCACACGTCATGTGTCCTTAAGGGGTTAAATCAAGCCTCTAGTAGCTGTCAGACTAAAGACATCTAGAGGCAATTTCCTGTAGAAAATCTACACATTTGAAGATCTTCATGTTTGGTGTCATTGTATAATGATGCCGAATATGTCCAGAACATCTCATAGAAAAGCACTGGAATCATGAGAATTGCTGAACTGGCAAGGAATGGCAATTTATGCTCATGTACCCTATATGCCACCTAGATTAAAAAAATCAGAATTGATGATTTCATCATGAGAAAGAGCAAGTGAAGATAGAGGAGAATGTTCTGGTGCTGGATTACCGGTAAGTTTTTATTTATTTTTACACAATGAGGGGCAGTACTCTAAACTAAAAGGGAACACTGTAATTTTATAATAAATATTCATTCTTAACATTCAAGTGTTTTGGCGAGATAGTGTCTTGTACTTGTAGTGACAAATGGAAAGCACACGGCCTGAGACAGAGAAGAGCTTCATAAATGAAAACTGTTTACAGACCTACTCACTTAAATGACAATGATATCCATAACGCATTAAAAAAGGGAAATCACACTCATGTTCAAGTTGCTCTATTTTGTTTAATGATTTCTATCAATAAAACTGTAAAATTATACAAAATAAAAAATGACACATACCAATGTTATCCCATATGAAATTCCTACATTTGCTTTGAACCCCCTGATTTTGCAGTAACACTCAAAAAAACCAAGTAGCACAGGAAAGCACAATTCTCCCACAACTGAACTATAACTCCCATAAACCATTGCCGTGCAGTCTCTCCAGGAAATACATTTATAGAGGACAACATTACAAATGCTGGAAAATTAAGGGAAACACCTTAGGTTAGTTAGGTGGGGGTTAGAAAGAGGTTTTAACTTACAGAGCAAACTTATTACAAGAAAACATCACTTGGCATAATTAACTGTAACACAAATTTAACCCAGGTTTTTCGATTGTTACATTTATTTAATATGGTTCTTTAGTTAGGGTTTTTAATTCTAATAATGCCAGACTGACCATGGCACTGTATAGTTCCTTGTCCCTGCACATAGACTGGGTTAGGTGAGGGCTGGTAGCTTTCCATAATTTCTCCAAACCTTGAAACTGCCAGTGCCCACTTATATTATTTAGTGCCCCATGACACGATTCAATGGCTAGTGGGCAAGTGGAAATTTTAAGTGCTGACCTATATTGTCTATTACAGGGGTGTCCAAAAGGTAGATTCCCAGATGTTGTAGAACTACAGCTTCCATGATGGTTTGTAATTTTAAAGCATCCTAAAGGCATGCAAAGCATCATTGGAGATGTAGTTTTAAAATATCTGGGTATCTACCTTTTGGGAAACCCTGGTATGTGTGTGTGTGTACACACACATACATTTACAATACCAAACAATTTTGCACTCCAGCTATCCCTTGAAGTATTGCCTGGTGCTCGACTGCACAATATATAGATGGATGAAAAAAGACAGCACTCTGGGTCTTGTAAATAATTATTTACAAGACTCAGAGTGCTGGCTTTTTTCATCCATTTATATATATTTTTTATTATTATTATTATTATTATTATTTTAGTGGACTAGAATTTCAAAGCAGTACACACATTTTTTATACAGATTCTAGATTTTTGAAAACCTCACAAGTCAGAAAATGTTAAACTTGCCCCTTTTATCCACACTGTACTCAATGGTTATTCTGCATCCTGAGCACCTAACATTTTGCAATAGATTACTTTAACCTGACTATTCAATGTGTAATACTATAAAGCCACAACGGCCTATTGTAGTGCTACAAAATTAAATAGCTATATATCATAGTTTGGGGAAACGTCATAACAGATGTTATCAAAATGTTTATTTTTCTCTTATTAGAACAAGGCAACAAAGTCATCTTAGGATGTAAAACAACATTTTCAGGTATTTTGTGGAAACAAGTTGCGATTCATCAACTTGCTTGTAGATATAGGACATTCATAGAGTAGTTCTACAACTGTATTTGAAATAAAAGCCTCACGATGCCAAGCAGTCATACAGAAAATAAATCAAAAGTGTGAGTCTGACTGAGCATCACATAAGTTGCAGTCAATTTAGAGAATAACACATTTCATAATAACAAATGGTCCTTGCATAATAATCAATGGCGAGATAGTAAGAATATTATGAGGCATTATTATTTTTATTATTTGTATTTATACAGCGCCACACTTTTCCGTGGCGTTTTACAATAAAATGAAGGGGGTAATTTTAACAATAAATGAGACAATTACAAAATGTAACAGGATAAATAGGGTGAGGAGGGCCCTGCTCAAATGAGCTTACAGTCTAATTAAACTGTGTTTAAAAATATATATATATATATATATATATATATATATATATATATATTTTAACATATTGCTATTTTAATATGGATTTTCTCAGTTACTATACTTTATCTTTATACACAGGCCAGTGGATGTGAATTATTCTCTGTGCTCTTGTTACAGTAATCATTATAGTTGTGGTCCCCATGTCTTTGTAGTGATTAGCTGAGTTAATGAAGTAGTGTTAGTGAGCAGCCCTGCATTATATGCACACTGAGCTCTATGGATACAATGTTACTGCAGCCAGCCAGCCAGCACAGTGTGAGGGGTCCCTCCCAACCCCCCCACAGGGTAGAGTCAGGTTGGGGTCCGCTCAGAGAGGGGCAGGGGGCAGTGAGGTCCCTAATCTTGGGGCTTTCTTCCTTGTCACACTCACACGGGGCCGGGCCTCATACTCACTTCCTGTTTTTAGTCCGGGCACTCGCAGAGCAGGATGGAGGCTCCGAGATACCAGGATGCAGGAACACAGCAGCGCACATAGCCGACTGCAAACACCTCCTCCTCCTCCCCCAACCCGACCTGCTATCGGAAGCGGAGACTACAGCATCACGTCATGTCCGCCCTCAACCGACATGGCGGACAGTGAGGCGCACATTGTATTTAGGGCATGGGGGCACATTCTATTTAGGGCATGGGGGCACAGACACCGGCAAGCTCGGCAGGAGCACTGTGTGGGGTGTTTACCCGCTTATACAGAAATACTACAATGGGGGTGTATTATATAAGATATAATTTTAAAATATAGAGTGTAACATGCCTGATATCGTTTCAAGTGGACTAAGAGAGGGACCCTTTGCGTTTAGGATGTGACCAAAGACAAAGCTGCTTTGGGAGATTTTAGGTGACTTGCTAATAAAAATATATGCGACTAAAATGTAATGTGGCAAAAGGACAATGTATGTTATTTACATAGACTGATTTCTAAACACACTTGTTGTTTACAGACACATCACTGTAAGAATTATTGGTACTGAGCTCTGTTATACACGCAGACACCAACAATATGGAGCAACTAGATAAGACATTTGGACAGTACGCTATCAGTTTCTGGGTTGTTTGCTAAACTGCAAATTGTTGCGTAGTAAAATCCTAAAGTTTTGACCAAAATAGATTATCTGGAATCTATAGATGCAGCATGGCAATTTTAACCTGTATTTTAACGCTCTTTATTTTAAAGCTTGCTGAATATCTTTATGGATTAAAACAAGCAGGACTGAATTTCTCATTAACCAGAGTAAGAGTTTCCTGTTTGTATTCCTAGCGCAATACTGTTCCTTTAAAGGGACACTCCAGGTACCCAGACCACTTCTGCCTATTGGAGTGGTCTGGGTGCCAACACCCTCTACCCTTAACCCTGCAAGTGTAATTATTGCAGTTTTCATAAACTGTAATAATTGACTTGCAGGGTTAAAGGACCACTATAGTGCCAGGAAAAGATACTTGTTTTCCTGGCACTACAGTGCCCTGAAACTGCTATGTTTATAAATGGGTTAATCCAGCCTCTAGTGGCTGTCTCATTGACAGCCGCTAGAGGTCTTCCGCGCTTCTCACTGTGAGAAGACGCCAGCGTCCATAGGAAAGCATTGTGAATTCTTTCCTATGGACTGGCTGAATGTGTGCGCAGCTCCTGCCGTGCATGCACATTCAGACGAAGAGGCAGAGAGAAGGTGAGTTTAACCCCTTCCTCCCCCCAGAGCCCGGCGGGAGGCGGGCCCTGAGGGTGGGGGCACCCACGGGGCACTATAGTGCCAGGAAGGAACAAGTATAGTGCCAGGAAAAAAAGTGTGTTTTCCTGGCACTATAGTGGTCCTTTAAATTGAAAAATCCATCCAGAGGATCAAGAATGGGATCATTGGTTTCCAGGAAAGTATGTGCCCAGGACATTGGTTCACCCCTTTAAAAAGATATCACTGTGCAAACGTTTGTTCTGTCTGTGGGGTATGACCTTGGTTTTAAGGCAAATAGAAGCTTACATGCTTATGAATTATAAAATTCACAGTATTTTGAGTGGTCTACTGAGAATTTTTCTGGGAGACAGGCTGGAGGTTCAGAAACTTCAGGTTGACTGCCTGTAGTGGCTTCAGAGGAAATCAGGTGATTGTAAATTCCACTAATGTAAGACAGGAGACCTTAATTAGCATTTCTTGCAAGCCTTCTGGCATGTCCACTCTTTGGTTTAGTGACGAGATTTAAGATGGAATATCCGCTGTTTCAATGATTAGACACTGCTTATGTTATAATCCCTGTAATTTTAGTTTTTAGGAACTCAACTGCAGATATTGAATAGAAGGATAAGAGAAACATTCTCAAATACTTTCACTCAGTGGTATGTTAAATAGACAATTTAAATAAATAGATTACCTTGATTTGTAAAGTAAGGAGTCATAAGAGTAATGAGATATTGTTTAAGATTAGTAGTTAAGTATTTGAAGTAAAGTACTTGCAGTCCACTTGAGTTAGTAGAAGGTGTTTGAATAATTAGTAATTAGCAGGTTTATATAAGTGTAACAGGAAAAGGCAAAAGGTTGAAATCGGCAAGCAGAGGCAAAGTCATGTCACAGTCCAAATTTCAGGGGCAGGAGAGATCAGCAGTAACGAAGAGGCAAGCAGAGGTCTCATACACGAAACAGCAATAGGGAGCTTACATGGTAACTTTGTATCACAAACTAATAAAATCACTGAGTGATACAAAGTTGCCATGGCTTCCCATTAACATGGCTTGGGGAGATGTCATCACATGGAGGCAGAGCCCTGTCTTCCATGATCCACATACCTGGAAGACTTGAGCTTAGAACCAATGAATTATCTCATCATTTTTTATTTTATTTTTTTACTGTAGTTAAAACAATTTCATAATTTGGGTGAAAAATGTCTAATTGACTGTGAACTGATACCCCATTCTGAAGGGGCGCTATGTCCAGGTACATGTTTAATTAATTATGTTGTGTATTTCTAATAGAGATCCCTATATACCAATCTGTAGTTGACTAGCTTAGATTTTAGTATAAGACTATTTCAAGAATGGGTCATTTATTCACTTCCTATTGTAGGGATAATTGTGGGGCAAAATATTTTACATGATTTGTGTAGGGACATGACATGATTAGTGTAGGGACCATTGGTATTGGGATACTGTGAATTAGTACGGGGCTTAACACAATATGGCCTGATGGTGGAACTGAACCCCCATATTTGTTTGCTGAGATAGGTGATTTTAAGTAGCCTTATACAATGTAAAAATTTATTTTTAGTGTGTGCTGTTCATTAATCTGTACTGTATAAAGGGAGGCATTTACAATTATAATGTCAGTCAAATACCCAAGGTAGTATATGCAGGAATAAATTTACCTTTATAATGCCATTCAAAGTCCTGAGGGGCTATATGACAGCAGAAATTCCCTTTATAATGTCAGTCAAGGTCCTGTTGAACTATAATATCTGCAGAAATGTTTCTCTCATATATCAATGAGATTCCTAGAGGACTAATAGAATATAATGATGTAATCATCTAAACATTTTCGGATATTGTGTATATATTTACTTTTGGAATTATAAAGTCGGTTAGTTTACATACACCCTGTTCCAAATTATTATGCAAATTTGGGGACCCTAGTGGGGTCGACCAGCTCTCTTCCTATGATTCCGGCCCAAAACATGACTCCACCACCGCCTTGCTGATGTTGCAGCCTTGTTGGAACAGGGTGGCCATCCACCAACCATCCAATACTCCATCCATCTGGACCATCCAGGGTTGCATGGCACTCATCAGTAAACAGGACTGTTTGAAAATTAATTGTAAACACGAATTGGCGTGAAAAAGTGGCGCTTATAAGGAATTATATATTAATTGTGATTTAAATTAAGCTGCTGGAAACACTCTGTGGGTACTCCCAATTGCCCACTATAAATGAACACCAAAAGACAACAATTAACTAGAGGTCTGGTTGGTTTTTCACCTTCCAAGCCTCTAATTGGAGTGCAGCGCTATATAGATCTATATAGGACAAGTAGTATAGATGAACATGTAACTTACCCCTCTAAGTACTTATTTGAGGGTATACATGAAAAGCAGAAACAGAAAAAAATATACAGAATGATAGTGCAGTATTGTATATATACAAAATGGTATTATAATGTGGGCTTCTAGGCTTCCGTGTCTCTTTAAGGTAGACAACTTCACCCCTTTCAGTTCTTCAGAAAGTTCTTGCCTTCCTCCACTCCACAATAAATATATAGAAGAGAAGAGGAGAGAGATTCTGGGTGTAGTATTTTCAGGAATCCTATTTGATGTTAGAAAGAAAATAAGGTGCTCACCTTTTTAAGAGCCTTTTGGATACTGGCTCAAAGTTTGCAGGCTCAGTGTCACATTGGGGTGACACCCCCTTTAACCGGAAAAAATGCAGGATGCAGTAATAAATACTAATACATTTATTGTTATATAAAATATAAACATATAAATTATACACAGTAGACTAGAAAATAAAAAACATAAAAATAGCTCTGTATGGTTTTAAATAAATAGTCACAGTCTATGTGTCCGTTGCCAAGATGCGTTTCGCTTCCGATAAGCTTCCTCAGTTGGCTGTCAACTGGCTGCCAACTGAGGAAGCTTATCACCTCATGACCTCTGTGGCTAGCTAACAGACAGCAACTAGAGGGGTTCCAGAATCCAAACTGACTTTTGGTCCGTTATCTGACACTGGACGTCCTCATGGACCTCCAGCGTCAGATTTTCCCCATAGGAAGGCATATAGGAAAGCAGAGTATAATGCTTTTCTATGGGAAAGTCTATTGCTGCGCATGCTCATTAGGTCTGCCCTCGCCGTCTTGTCTCAACGGGGGAGGAGTGAGGGCGGAGCCTGACAAAGCACTGAGGGACATTGGCACTGGATTCAGTTAAGTTTTAACCCCATTCAGCCCTGCGGGAGGAGGGCACTCCAGGAGCCTATAGTGCCAGGAAACGGGTTTGTTTTCCTGGCACTATAGGATCACTTTAAGCTTACTAAACACACTAAAGAGAAGTAATTGTTAAGATATGTACTGGGAGGTATATTGTATAGCAAAAAAAAAATGGAAACAAACTTTCCTTAACTATGATAATATACAGATTAGATTCTGGAGGATTTTGGTAAAGGCATTCTCCTTTCTAGATCATTTAACCTCATGCATTTTCACCTACTCCTATGAGACTGACTAATCTTCTTTTGTTCCATCGTGTCCTTTTTCTACACAAATGTCTTTTTCCTAACTCTAGAATAGATTTTCTGCTTGTTTGAAACATTGTTTTCTCTGACTCACCCTCCCCCCCTTACTTTCTTTGGATACATATGCTCTTTTTCCGAATATGTATTTTGTTACTGCTCTATAGTACATTTGTGAGATTTGAAATTTCTCTTTTGTTTTTGGCCACAGTGTTCACATCTCGTTTAAGAATTGTTCTGCATAAAATAATAGAAATTTGTAGACATGTGCAATTCGTTTCGGTCCGAATTTAAATTGAATTTCGGCAATTCGGACATTCAGATGCTTCCGAATGTCTACGCTACGCTCCTCCCGTCGGTCGCTCCACATCCCCACCTTACTGGCGTCCGACTCCAGTATGAAATCCGAGTGGCTGCCAAAGATGGCTCGCCCATTCCATGCTTGCATGCAATTGAGCCACCATTCGAGTTCTTGACGCACCTTGTCTGTCAGCGGAACTGGTTGGTTGTAGATGGATTTCCTTCAGCCGTTGCATGGCATGATACTGCACAGGACCTGGAAATATGGCTTGGATTGAGGAGGACAGCAAGCCCACGATCCAGGCAAGTTGTCTGAGCAGAATGGAGTAGAGTTTGAGGACCTTGCTGATCTCCTTCCGAATGGCCGTCAATT